CTTTTTCGAATTATCATGGAGACTCTCATTGCAATTCAAGTCCATAATTTTAGAGAGGGGACCATTTAAGAGATCGTGATAGTCGATCAGGTTAAAGCGTCAACTTAAGTATTCCCGAGTCTAGCGACGCCGAAATTTGATTTGTAGTGGTCCACGGAATGAGTCTCGACTTTTCCACTCTTGTTGGAATAGGTTTGGCTGTGCCTCTAGAACAACCCTCTGTATGTCAGAAATGACGAGAAGTGGATAACAGAAACAAATATATACAGATAGGGAACAGTTTAAAAAATGACTACAACGAATAAACTTCTCAAGCAAATCACCCACAACTATGATTTCGATTCGGTATTAGTACAGGAGGGAGATGTATCCTACTTTCAAACAGGTTCCAATTCCTGAGGCAACAACATCGCCTTCCATATGGGAGTCTCAGGACATCGGTAAATATAAATATGGTTATCATATCCTTTAAAAATGCAATCTAACACATCCTTTTAAAATAAATTACGTGTCTTGGTGGTTAACCCGGTTCAAGAGTGCTTAATTTTATTTTAACAATAATGGAAAAAAAAACATATATTGACAATATTTACACCGGAGGCATGAAATTTATTACTTCCAAATCCTCTCAAGAAGATCTTCATTATATTTCCGCCGCCACATAAATAGGAGTCAAGACAACTCCAACTGGTCCCGCATTCTATTTCTTTACGCCTTTTAACAACAGCCCACATACCTTTTATAGTATTGGTGTGAGCTCCTATAATATAGGTGATGTGGAAACTTGTAAAGATAACAACTTAAATAACTAGTACTCAGATTCTGCATTAGAAAGATAAGTCCTTCTATATTTATAACTAATGATGTCTAAAACTACTAAAATCAAGCTTTAATAAAAATACTGTAATACAAGGATATTAATTACATAATCAACAAACAGGAATGTGGATACGGTGAGAAATTTCTTTTTAGACTAGAAGAAACGTTAGTAAATCTAAAGGCGGTCATTGAAGAACGCTCCAGTCAAAACGGCTCCATACCAAATTGAACGCGGAACCACCGTGAGTGTGAAATCCTGGGTTCATTTTTTGGAGTGATGGAGATCAGTTGGAATTCCACTGGTCTACGCCAAAATTCAATCATTCCAACAGACCGTGAAGGCCGAACTTGTTGAAGCACTGCCCGCTTAAACATTCTCAAATACTGCTAAATCAGTTCAAATCCGATCTTGGTGGGTTAACATTTATTTCATGGCGGGTCTCTGGAATAAATCTCGACTTTTTTCAGGATTGAATAGGTTTGGTTCCACAATTAGGACATCTTTTCGCTTATAAGCTAGAAGTAGAAAGGAAATCGGAAACAAAAAAAAAAAAAGAGAGGAGTGAATGAAACATCCAAGAGTATAGAGTAATAATGTTATACTGTACTCTTTAGCTCAAAATTGGTGGGGGCACTAGCGGATCCAGAATTTAATTTTTGGGGGGGGGAGGGAGATTCACCCCGAAAGCTTTTTTTTCCATAAATATAACGATAATTACTTTGGAAAAAAATAAAGAAACTAACTACCTATATGAAATGGTGTTTAAACGATTCCTAAAGTCCTTTTAAATGTGATGACACGAACAATAATACTTTAAGAGATAATTTTTTAATATTGTTCTCCATAAAATAGGGTTATATTTTATCTTATATTCTTATACGGGTTATATTTTTGGGATGGGCTGCAGCCCCAAAGTCCCCCTCCCCGTAGATCCGCCCATGGGTGGAGGGGAACGATAAACTACAGTTTTTAGGCTGTGGCAGCAATGATAAAAAATTGCTGCAGTACTTAGAAAATAATAAAACCAATCAACGCAATGTTTTTTGTTTTTTTTTTTGTTTTTTTTTGGCGTTTGAATTTTCCGTATAGTCAGTATAAAATTATTATATTTAAAATGGAAATAGCGAAGAATATGGACAAAACTAAATAATTTTATACTGACTGTACGGAAAATTCAAATACCAAAAAAAAAAAAAAGAAAACATACCATATGTATATATTTATTGAATACAAATATTGCGTGACATTGATAATGTCCTCGGGATAGCTCGATGTTGATAATTTTTTATATAGATTGTCATCATTGTTGTATGGATTTAGAAAATTTAGAAATTTCCCTCACTGATTTTTATAATGTTTGCTCTTTGTTCAATATCGTAAAACGAAGAAAATCGACTTAAGAAGAAAAAATACCGACCGAGAAGCGTGATTCCAAAAATCTATACTGATTCAGACACACTGAAATGATTTATGTTTCTTAGGCTAAACTCTCTTATAAGATGTCTCCACCATTCGTTTAACTGCAAAAGTTATTCTACAGTTGAAATTAAAGTTAAGAAGACCCGCAAAATTTACTATAAATTTTAGAGCATATACAATAGCCATAAACCAAGATGAGTTTTCTTGCAACAGAACAATATATACTAAAAGCTATTGTTAAGAAATTCTGGGTTAACTTCCCACCACATCAATATTAAATCAGTTCCAATACGAATTTTACTACCGGTTTAATGCCAGCCGCTTGCGCAGTATAGTTTTCCGTTCCAGACAGACGAAATGAAACTGAGCTGTTGTTTTTATTGTCTTGTTAAAAAAAAAAAAACTATTCTCGATGAATTTAGAAAACAAAAAGAAGTTCATACGACGTAATGTTTGGACACTTGTGTCAATATTTGCTTTACAATCCTAAACACACTTTCCTCATTCCGGATTATAAACGATAAACCTGTTAAATCAATATATGCTTTAATTCGACTAGTCATATGGAAAAAAATTAAATAAAGAATTACACGTTAAACAAGTTTATTAACTGACATAGAAACAACTGAATAATGAAATGCATACTCAAATGAGAGAGCTCTAAAATTATGTAGCCATCGTTCTCACTAATGCATTCTTCATCAACGAAATATGTTAATTTGTATACATAATATAATATTATCAAGATAGTATATTCAATAGATACAATTTTTAAAGATTCATACTTTATCACGAATGTAAAAATAAGAAACAATTACCCCTGTACTTACACTAATCCATTATTGTACTCCCAAATCCAAAAGACCTATTTTTTTGGTGCATTAAAGTCTTGGTTTATAATTCTCTTAATTACTAAAACTACTTAAGTCTATTACTGAGAATATAGAAATTATACAAAGATTTTTTAATTTATTTATTAATAATATGACGAATATTTTTTATTCAACTTAATTGCTTTCTATTTCCCAACAGCTATATGTTCTCCTCCTTGACCTTTTCAATATTTTTTTTTATTTCGTTGAAGACTGTCATAAATAGATATTTATAAAACCTAAACATTTACTTAGTATTCGATGACAATAATAATGGCACCTAGGCTTTCGGCAAGAATTACGTTTTATCTCAAAAACGCAGATTTTTTGGCTTAAAACGCTAAACTACGCGTCCGCGTCTAAATCTTTAAGTCAATTTATTCCGTCTTTATCAGTTTTCGTTTGAAACCTCCCACTTTTTTTTTCAATAACTTAAATTGTCACTTGAAGTACCGGTTTGACGTTTTGAAATTAGGATTCATTATTTTTCCATGAAATTTTCTCTCATTTTAAACCTCCTTCATATTATATATAGTGTAGATAAATAAACATTTATAAATTTATGAACAAATTTTATTAACGAATAAATAAATGACCTCAAGGCCTAACAATAATAATAAAAGTAAAAACTGCATCAGAACTATTTGTACTACAGTGTAAGTACTGTTTCTTGGTAAATGGTAGAGGAAAAAAGTAATTTGAACTAGATCAAACCCAACCTATAGATTTTTACTCTTTAATTTATTAAACAAATTACACACATTATAGAGACTTGGTATACGACAAGAGAGTCTTCTGGCATAAAGGTCAATGGTTGGTGTACCAGAATAGTAGTAAATAATTACATCCTACAACTGAACTAGAACCCTAGAATACAATATCTTCCTAAGTGAGTTACAATTCCTTCCTCCTCCACCAAATCAAATACTACCATATAATAATATGCATATTCACATAATCTATTTATTAATAGTGGATGTACTTTAAGGACTAAAATAAGATTAAAATAATGATGATGAATAATGATTTCTCTCTAGTAAGAAATTAATTTAAATTGTACAGCGGGCACTTAGAAAATATCAAGTTAGCCGGCATACTATTTAAAAGAAATACAATTAAAAAAACATGAGCAGCAGGGCTTCATCTAAGGTCACACTTTCCCCTAATTTTTGTCTGACAAACGGGTGAAAATGACTTAATTTAATTAGCGCTTACCTAAGGAAATTGAATAAAATTTTAAAATTAATCAAACTGTTGCATTTTTTCTGATATGTTTCCGGAATTAATTTATCAAAATGACAAGGATGAGATAAAAAAATTTGATAACTAGTCGGTAACGTGGTACTTGTCTATTGCAAACTCAAACTAAACACAACCATGTTCTAGGGGAACTAAAAAAGTTTTAAAATGTAAATTAATCTTTGACATGATAGAAGGTCTATTTTACAAGGAAGGGTTTCGGACTAAACCTTTTATTAATTAAAAGTTTAAAGACTGCACTGTAACAACATTGAATGAGTCAAAATCAAAGCATTAATAACTGTCTTAACAATACTGAGTTTTACATAATGGAAATTCGGTACAAACGTTAAATGAATATATATCAATATGATTTCAACTTTCCGGGCATTTTATTAAGCCACAGCAGCATTATCACTCTTATCAGTGCTTATAATATCAGCTTAATCAATGCTTATAATATAAGGGAACATTTTTAAAACTTCACCAAATATCAGAGCAATAATTCCAAAGATAAAGCTATAAAATGATTATACCACTATTAGTTTCACATCAAACGTAAACGAAACTAAAGACAGACTTTGAAAACACGCTCATTATTAATGTAGTTAACAAGATAACAACTAATTAACCAAATTAAAAAAACTTACTGTGTTTAGCAAGGAAGTTCGGACACCATTTTTCTAAAAGACTGTAACCTGATTCGTTGAGAGGCTTTGCTGTACCATTATAAAAACAATTTTGAGTACGGCCCAAAGCATCAGTATGACACTGTCCGTACCAAATGCAATGGTAAGGAGATTGAGCTGCAGACACCTGAGTAATAAATATAACATAGTGATAAACACAATGAAGCTATTACTCGATACTAACATTTATTTATTTTTTCTATTTCAGTTATTATCAGAGACTAATGTATGAAACCAAAGTGATATGAAAATGATTTTTCATACCTGTCCTGTTAAAGAGCAAAATCCAATCACTAAGACTGCAACTGCTGATAGTGATAGCATGGTGGAACTGTAGTGAGAAGGCATCGTTATTTATTTTGACTGGTGCCTATAATATAAATAAAACGGAAAACATTACTTAACACTCAGTCTTGATAATCATAACGGTCAAAAGTCATTTACATCCCCTCTGTATTACCTATTAAAATGTCATAAAACTGACCCGGACATTATTTTATTAAAAGTAGTACTAGCGAACTATAATGAATAACAAAACTAAGATTTAATGATAAAAACAAGGCGTGACCGACAAGTGACTAAACCCAAGGCAGCACGATTCAACCTCCAAGCTAAAGACTTATTGACAGATGAAACACCGTTTCATAAAGCTGCCAACAGACGGCGGTAGCTTTCTATATAGTCACCATTTGTAACAACCCGCCTAAATTCAAAATTTTTAATAATTACCTTCATCAATTGTTTTCTTTTTCTTCATTATTGATAACCCTCTTAGCATTCATAATAATTATTTCACATTTTAGATAATTTTTCTGGGAAATTCGGTTTAAAATTCATGTTTTAGTGAAAATATCTATTTGGGGTATAATGATAACATACAATATCACAACATTTTTAACTAATGTAAAACACATTGAGAATTAAAATGTATTGAAAGTTAAAAATCACAAAATTAGTTGAAACAGGATTTCAACATGTGGCAAAACCTGTAGAAAAAAAATTCTATAAATTAATATTAAATAAACAGAAAAAAAATACAAAGAAAATAATAGATAATATTTTATGTAAAATTAATTTAAATTCATAATTATTAAAATTTAAACCAGTATTTTGAGGAAAGTGCAATCAGCTAAAATGTCTTCAGTTTATAATCATAAACAAATATATTAATAATATATTTAATTTAAAACAAAGAAATGATGTAATTTAACCATTGCAAAAATACTACAGGAAGTTGAGAATTTGAAAAAAAATCCACAAATAAAATATAAACTTATGTTAATTTTAAAAATAAATACCTCTAAGAAACATAGCTTATAATTGTGTAAACATCGGTAACAAATCAAAATGGGACAGAATTTATATAAAAATATGTGAAACAAGCAGTTGATAAAACAAAAATTTGATGAAGTCAAAACAATACGGATTTTTTTTTTTAATTTTGTAAACAAGTCTAATAATTAAACCTATATTTCTATAAATAGAACAAATTGATTTTGTGATTAATCAAAGAAAAAGGATAAAATATAAATATTTGAGAACATGTTTGATAACTCAGGATTGAAAATTCAATTAATAAATTTGGTGAAACATTGTAAAATAATTTTGTATTAGATCAGCACAATAAGTAAAATCTGATTAATTTGATATTTCTTTTTTTTAAATATCTAATTTTAACTTAAAATGGGATAAAGATAATAAATATGTTTATGGACATGGTCACAATGCTTTAATTATATTATCTAAAAATGAGTAAGCATTTCTATTTATTATTATTCCATTATAAGCCACAAGTCGAACTATTTTTTTAACACCTTCTAAATTAATATTTTTAGAAATAATGAGGTTGTTTCATTTCAATCGGAGCAGCCTGATTGTTTAAAATTGGAGAGAAATATATAACAGATACACCCCTGAGTATTAATAGCAAGAGTTCTAATTACAGCCCGGAGGTCTGAAAGACAGCCCAGTATACTTATAATAGTGCTTAGTGCTGACATTATAAACAACAAAACATACTATACATAATATTTTGAATTGACTGTTGTGATTGTGGTTTAACATTAAAGTCTAGTTAAGACAAGAATTGATGAGCAATGTAGAAAAGACAAATATAGAAAACAAATATGTTAATTCAAGTAATATAGTTACAAAATTAAAATGAAAAATTTTCAGATGAAGAAAAAGGACATCATCATCTTCATTGAAAATACTTATTTAACTATAAACCTCTATAAATAGAAATTTGTAGTCATGTTACACCAGGAAAAAATATTCTCATTGAAATGAATGGCACAGAAAACACTTTAGTTAACCCAAAGTCCAAATCATTATATTTTTTACAACAATGCCGCTTCTGGATTCCAAATGTGGTAGCACCAATTATTTTCATCATTGGTTTGTTCGGAAATGTCATGACTATAATTGTTTTAACTAGAAAGAGAATGTCTGGTTCAACAAATACATACCTAACAGCACTCGCTGTATCAGATCTATTGTATTTAATATTTTATATGACACTGAGCTTAGAACATCACATGAGTGATACAAAGTATATATTATATTGGAAATATTGGAGGTTTGCAGTGTGGTTTGCAGATGCTACAGGTAATTTAATTTATAGAATATACAAACATAAATAAAATTCTATCATGTAAGGATAGCTAAATTATTGATATATTGTACATAAATGGCTTTTCTGTTTTTTTACTTTTATTGACAATCAAGATTGAATCAAATAATTCAGAAAATTCAATCATAAATATTACAAAATTAAAAAGAATATGTAAAAAAAAATAATCTAATTTCAAATAAATTGAAAAACATTAAAATTTGTTAATTGAATTGAAAATTATCACAACTTGAGTGAATTAAATACTTAAAAAACACTAATGTATTTTTTTCATGACTAAAATAATTGATTAATAATAATTCAAATTTAAACATGGTTAAAAAACACACTTATCTCACATTGCTTGTTAAGAAAACTATTAGTTGGATATTAATCATAAGGGATTTAATGTTCACGTTTTTTATCTTTGTTCATAAAACTATGGATTCTAGATTTAATTACCCATAAAATTCTTTACAAAAATTTTTCTTTATATACTTTATAAAGAAAATATATCCATTACACATTTGATTAACTATTTGTTATGAATCAAATTATTTATTGTTAAAAAAATAATACTAGCCATTATTTTTCTTAGTTAGTATACATATTTTTATAGTAAACTAAACATTTAATAAAATATTGTTTTTTATTTAAACAACACTAACATTGCTGTTTTATTTTTTCTAGTTGCTATATCAACTTGGCTGACTGTATCATTTACATTGGAGAGATATATAGCAGTATGCCATCCGTTAAAAGGAAAAGTTGTTTGTACAGAAGCAAGAGCAAGAAAAGTTATCGGTTTTGTAGTAATGTTTTGCTTAATATCAACTGTTACTACTCCATTTGAATGGAATACACAAATAAACATAAATCCAGAAACAAATAAAACAACTGTTATCCAGTACTCATCTTTGGGAAAAAATAAAACTTATAAAACAATATTTTACTGGTTCTCAGGTATAACATTTGTGTTTATTCCATTGATACTTCTGGGAACATTAAACTATTTACTTATAAATGCAGTAAGAATAAGTCAACAGAAAAGAAAGAACTTAACAGAGGTGAGGAAATTTGAATATTTTTTGTTTAAGTATATCGTATTGAACAATTTTTTTTAAACTATATATAAAAATCAAAATTATAAAACTTACAATAATTGAAATCAGAACTAAAGTGTAGTAAATTCATCTAAATTGTGTTAAATTTTTATGGTAGAGTCACATTAGTAAGCAATCCTCTTTTGCATTATCAGCATCAAAACCCTGGATTTCTTAAATTTATAATTAGTACGATTGAAATAATTATTTTTTTTATTATTTATATTAATTCATAATTTATAAAGATGTAAAAAACTACAAGACCAAGAATATGAGTAATAAAATATTGACAGACTTTGAAGCCATTGAAAAATCAAATATTTTCATTTTAGACTACTAATATTATTGCATAACCAATAAAATACGTGTAAATACAAGAATAGTTAATTAAATTTTTTTTTTGTTCGGGATCGGCAACAATGTCACATACCGATCCTCAGTTCTCCTTATATCCATAATATTGAAATTCGCAAAATTCCATTATATTAAAAGTCCATTAATAAACATATGATAAATAAACAAGAAAGGTTCAAGTCACGACTCGAACCTTATACTGGCGAGCTCTTAGGAATAGGGCCTTGGCCGACTTGGGAAAGCTCAAGCCTTATAGTCTTCTCACTGAGCTTTTTTACAACACTAATCATGACCTCCCTCCACCTCTACCTATTGCTCTATTTTGCTGCATAAACTTCAATAGCATTCATGTTAATTGATCTAGCATCTAGTTTTTGGCCTGCTGCGTGGTCTGTTGGGAAGAGGCTTTCTTAATAAAGAAGATTTCATCAACCTACATTCCTGCCCATCTTAACCTCCTTGCTTTCATATCATGATATATTGATTGACAAGTTTCTGAAAGTAATTTTTACTTGGTCCTTCTCCTCCAGGTGTAAGTGCTTTCATCCAGATCACTCTAGTTCTCGTGCAAAGGATATTCCTTTCAAATCTTTCAATTCTTCTTCCTAAGGTGCTGATTTATGCCCAGATTCAGCAACTATACATCAGAACTGGCTTTACATAGCATTGCATATCCTTTATTTTAGATTTCTAAAGATGTCAATAGATTCAATTCTTCAAAGTTTTTAAAGAGAGCTAAAATTGTTAATACTGATTTTATCAAATATATTCATACCAATATTGCTTTGAATAACTTTATAATTTTTATTTATAATAATCATAATTTTGTTATTGTTATACCATTAATCAAATTAAAGAATACATACATTTAAATTAAAAGAAAACATACTTTTAATTCCACTATCTTATTATTATTGTTACATTATCAGATTAAATTAAGAGTTATATTAATCTTTCAATTTATGCAAAACAATTTTTTCCAGGGAAATTCAAGGAAGAATTATAAAGAAAAACAAGAGAACAAAATTACAACAGCTCTGGTAGCAGTTGTATTCTTATTTCTATTTTGTCAAGGACCTTCTGCTATTACATTAATATTATCTATATTTTACAATCCAGAAGAAGGTACAGATGGTTACAATATAGTGCATGGCGTCGGAAACATATTTAATTTACTACTTGCTGTTAATGCAGCTTTTAATTTTTTATTATACTGTGCTATGAGTGATAAATATAGACAAACGATGTACAGGACTTTTTGCCCATCCTTGGCCATTAATCATCAGAGAGCAAATACATTTTCATCCAATGCAAGCTATCGTTCTTCAATGCACAGATAGCATATACTAAAAAATGTAATTATTGTCTACTTTATATTTAATAATTTGATAAATCGATTCATTGTAGTTATTTGTATATAAAGGACATTTTATAAGTTAGTAGAATAAATATATGTAAATGCTATTTAAAAACAGTATTTATTTGTAAATTTTGTAATAAAGTTTCAATAATAATAATGTTTTTTGCAATAATTAGAAAATGAAGAAATCACAACTCCCCTAATCTGTAATTTACCACACTGTAGTTATTCTTCAAGGCCGTTTAGACGATGCGACAAGTTGGATAGGGAGGTAGGAAGTCGGGTCATATAAACAGCTCTTACCGACCTGACTTGCAGGTAGGTTGGAATTTCCTTCTGACATATATACAATGTCCTTCTTACTTTTTAAATACAATGTGCTTTTCCCCACCTTTTCTCACCATTGTTATGTTCATTTTTTTTTATTATGAACAAACATAAATTATATGTGTATACAATGGATAGAGTTTACAATGCTCAAAGGATGGAAGGTTGGTCATGTTGGGCCAACTAAATGCAACTCACAAGCTCATGGTGAGAAGATACAGTCATACCTCCCTACCTAACTTGACTGGTCGGGTCGCCTCATCTAAACAGGCCTTCAGGAGACAATGAAATAAAGTATAGAAGGATAAGACATATCTTATCACTGATAAGACTAATTTTACTAACTGCTAGGGTAGTGTAGGGGATTTTAGGGCGATAAATTGCAGGATTATTACTAGTCACTAATTTTCTAAATCAAAATCCATAAATTAAATGACATTTTATTATATTGAATATTTAAATTTTACTATAGTTAAATCTATAGTTATTAAAACTATAGTTAATAAATTTTTTTTAACTTTATTTATTTTACCTACACCTGTCAGAAGTACTGACAATTAGCAAGTCCGCTGTCAGAAAAATACTAATAGTGGCTTGATGGGCGTAAGGGAAAGGAGTGCCCAGTGGCATTCCTTTTTGAATTAACTTAGGTGAGGAAATCCCTCATACAGCTTCTCATAAAACATAATAAATATAAACATAGATTATCAATATGTATTTTTATTTACTTCAAATATAAGTTTCTTAAATTGAATATAAATTTCCTCTAAGCAGTCATTATATTTCGATGTGAAATCTTTTTCGAAGGAGTTTGTTTGGCACTTTCTTTATTTACCATTTCTTGTCGCCTTTCATTCTGTTAAAAGAAAAGAAACAATAAGAGATGAAAAATAGGCAACTGAGTAAACATAAATAAATGATTTATTCTATCGAACAGAAGTCTGTTTTCATTGTATAATAAAGTATTATAAACTACATTTTTCCATATTATATGTGTAATTGATTAATTATATGATAATTTAAGAAGATGTTCTAGTAGCGAGTGAGAAAGAACATTAAATAATTGCTAATTATTTTATTTATGTAGTGCAACATTGCAGGTCTTCATCAGGACAAAAAAAGAAATATAGTCCTATTGCAAGGGTGAAACCATTATAGAAGTAAAAAAATATATACATCGATTACTAATGTAAATATGAATATTCAAAATTAGAAATAATAAAAGTTAAAGGTTGTCAAACAATAGTATCTGATAATCAACAAAAAAAAATAAGTATATTAATCTTATGAACCAATTTACTGGTATATACTGGTTATTACTAAATTTCAATTTAATATATTAATACTCTTATAATTTTGTTAATTATTTCACCTTTTATTTATTTTGGAAGTATTCCAACAGTATAAAGTGATCTTCCACGAGGTCATATTAATACTAGTTTAAAATATAAGAAATTTTACAATATAGTATATATGTATATAACTATCTAGAAATCCATAGACAAAAAATAATTATACATTAATAATATAAAATAATTCTTTTTCTTACTTCCTAAGGTCCTCTGTTGCGAACACCAGAACATACGTTTAATATTTTTTTATGTTTTATCACCAAAATAAATTTGCTTTAAATCAGGAGCCCTTCTCTTATATGAAATGAAATAAAAATAGATTTTTATTATCCTGGGACTTTTGTCCCTTTAGGACAAATTATAGATACAGAGGAAATGCATGTGTGGCCATAAAATTAAATTAAATATTTACAATGCTCATTAAAATAAAAATATTGGATGAAAAATAAAACAAAACCACTAAATACATACAGATATATACAATACAAACATGTAAAAATAAAATAACATAATCAAACAAAACCATTTCTGGGAGAACTTAAAAAGTTCTCTTATCTACTATTCATGATCAATCGGGTTGGGAAAGAAGTAGGTGGTTAAAAAGGAGAGATTTAAATGAGAAAACTGATTGTGCATGTCGGATATCGGAAGGGACGGTATTCCAGGTCGTGACGGCTTGAATTATAAGTATTTATAAGTCAAAAATAGTTACTTTAAGTGCACAATTTTTTTTTATTTCACTGAGGGAATATTCATAAAATTACTTAATAAGACAATTTAAAAATGTATTCAATCAATTCAAAAGCAAAATTACCTGAATAATTTTCAATGTTTTTTCCAGCTTGCTACTGAAACGGTTTTGAGAATACGCTTGAATAGGTAAATCTTTAAGGCAGTATGGCTTCTTATTATTAGTGATACTCCACAGAACTGGTGCTACAAGCTTTCTATACACTGTTTCTAAACTAACTTTCTTTTTAGAACAAATCTTTCTTAATTCTTCTTCTGACAAAGGTGGAGCTTGATCCTGAAAAATTTGAAATACTTTTATTCAATAGATATTTTAGTGCTATTATAATAATAATTACTGTCATTTGAATTTTTGTTCCAAAAACCCGCATCTATGTGATTGAAGCCATGACGCCCACCAATAAACACCTTTATTGGTTAGCCAGGCAGAAGAGGGTGACAGCAAAAATAAGATACGTCTGGTTTAGTGGGGGTAAAATTCGTTGCAGACAATAAGATGGAGGTCTAGAAGTAATTATAGAAAAACCAAGTGATCTGGAGGTTTTCAGCTGAACTTTGTATATAAGTTACCTTCAGCTTGCAATTAATTTACTTTCTCTCGCTAGAAATACATTTATTATATTTTTTTTCATTTCCAGTTTTCTTTGTTTTTTTTTATTTTTGTATCAATTTTTACTCATCAGAAATATTATTATTTTAATTTTAAGCTTCTTTTATTTTTGTATAAATTATTTAGAACTTTATTCGATTCCTTGCCAATTTTTATCAATTTATCTAGACCAAGGAGAAATTTATATTTTCTTATGTTATAAATTAATTTTACCTGAATATTTATTTCAAAACACCGAAAATTTAATTTTTTCATCTCAAAGTTTATATTATGTTAGCATTGTTTTTTATATTTCTAAACTTGACATTATGCTTAAAAAATGCTATATCCTATCCTCCATCCTCGATCATTTTTTTTTTCCAAAATCCTACTTCCCAACCCTCCAGTCATGACTAATATCCTGAATTCCTGTCACATCAATGCACAATCCCTTACTGCACACTAGAATGAATTTCAGGAACATTTCCTTGATAATTTTTACCAAATAATAGCAATATCCGAAACCTAGTTAAAACCTTTTATCCCTTACTCCCAGATTTCCCTACCCAATTATTCCTTCCTACTATTGTAATAATATAGAAAAGTAAATTTTAAATAGTTACTACTGTAAATATGTATATAAATTATTAGAGCGTTCTTCATTATTTTTATTTCATGTTTATTTTCAGTTTTTGTTTCAATTTTATGTGTCAATTTTTTGTTTTTTATATTTTTAACTGATCTAAATTAGCAAGTAACTTATATTTTTTTCTATTATTTTTTTATTTTATTTTGACTATTTAATTACTCTATATTTTTGTTTATGTATCTCTAAAGCTCCTTAGACCACATTATTGTCTTTTTATATTATTCTAAAGGGACTCGCCCCAGAATAAATAAAACATTATTATTATTATTATAAAATTAATTAATTTACAGAAGCTTTGAATTTAAATTCAAATTCAAATTGAAGCAAAAATCTTATGTTATGCAACTGTAAAGATCTTAATGAGTAATAAAAGGTATAAATAAAAACACGTTTTAGCACAGATGAGAAATTGCAAATAACTATACTTTCTCATACAACCCCAGAAAGGCTTTTACCTTCCTTATTTTTAAACAACTTTAAAAATACATAAGATTAACAAAATATAAACCAAGCTTCTCGATCCCGAGTCAGCACCCTCATGGCTTCCCAGTTTTTTCCTTTTCTCTCTCCCACTTTGGAGATGTAGTCTTTCCATTGTATTCTGGGTCTCCTTCTTTGACATTTTCCTGTTGGTCTGGCCTCAAATATTTTCTTGGGTCTCTGTCTTCACTCATCAGATAGAAATGTCCATACCATCTGAGTTGTCTCTTTTCAATGATATCCTTTAAAGGGACAACTCCAACATCCTCTCTTGTCCTCCCATTCCGTATGCGATCCCTCCTAGTATGGTCTTCCACTCTTCGAAGGTATCTCGTTTCCATTACAGTAACTCTGCTTAGGTGCTTATCTAGTGGTACCCAGCTTTCTCTTCCGTAAAGGATGGTAGGTAGGTATATAGCCTTGAAGATATGTCCTTTAACATTCTTCTCTACCTCCTTCTTTCCTATGACTGTGCAGAGATTATATTGACTTTGTCTTCTTTATCCTATTGGATATCTCTTGGTCTACCTTTCCATTCCTGCTGAACACTATTCCGAGGTAAGTGTATTCGTCCACTTTCAATTGTTTCAACTTTGCAAAGTATTTTAATGTGTTTCCCAGCCTATATGCATTATTTTGCTTTTTCTGATATTGGTCATTCCCTTCCTTTCCAGCTCAGCTTCCCATTCAGCTACAGTTTGTTGTAAGTTCTCTTTAGTATCTGCTATAAGGACAATGTCATCCGCAAATACCATTACCTAGGCCACGATTGTTCTCATATTCCATTTGCCAATAGAAGTGCGGGCTGTCCTCCGTTTGCACACTTTCAGGATTTCATGTACCTGTAAATACGTGTAAATGATGAACAGGAGGGGGCTCAAACTATATCAGAATATCCTCTTGGTTTACTCCTTTTTCAATCACAAAGGTATTGGACTCTCTTCCGTTAATTCTTAGTATTCCTTAGAATCGTGATAAGTTTACTTTATAGCTTCTATCAATCCTTGCAGGATGTTATTTCCAGAAAGAGCATTCCACAGTTTTTGTCTAGGGACTGAATCAAAGACAGCCTTAAGATCTATAAACGCCAAGAAGATACTCTTTCCTTACTCCCACGATTTATCAATGATTATTCTGAGAGAAAATATATGATCTTGGGTCTGGCGTTGAGTCCTGAAAGAAGCCTGTTCCTATTCTACATCGTCCTCCACTAGCACTCTCAGCTTCTTTTCTAATATTGAGGTATAGAGCTTCTACACAACCTGGGATAGATTGGTCTATAGTTCTTGCATTCGTTAGCATTGCCCTTTTAGTGTATCGGGAGAATTATGTTGCATTCCCATTCCTTAGGGATAGCTTTTTCAGTAATTAAGTTCTGAAAAAGGCTCTGCAATGCTTTCAATAATTCTATTTCACCATATTTGATTAATTCAGGGAGGATGCTGTCTCTTCCTGCTGCTTTCCCGAGCCTTAATCTCTCCACCTCTTCCTCCCATATCACCTCTTCATATTCTCCTTGTATACTTTCTCTAATCATTCTCTTCTCAACATTTCCAGTAAAAATTTCCTTATAGTGGCGTCTCCACCTTTCTAAAATACCTTGATCCCCGATAATCAATCTGCCTCCCTCGTCCTTTACATTTCGTATTGGTTTGCTTGTCTTTCCTTTCATTGGTTTAATCTTTTTCAAGAAAACTTTGGCGTTTTCATGATAATTACTCTGCAAATTTTTACAAAATTCCTTCCAACACTACTTGCTTTGATTCGTATCTCCTTCGAACATACAGTTCCCGATTGGATGGAGTCTTGTGCCCATGGTACTCCTTCCATGCTGCCTTCTTTCTCGCACTGATTCCATTGAATCATTATTCAAAATATTTAGATCAGAAAAAGAACTTCACCTACCTTCTAGTTTAGGTAACACACATACCAACTAGTTTTAATATTTTTTCTTTACCCTTTAATATAGATGTGGAATCAGTTCCAGATGAGTTAGAAACGGTATAAATACGATTCGATAAATTACAAAATGTCGATAAACATCATTTTTATCAAAATTATATGGATTCAGAAAAATGTCAACAATTAGGCACTATGCATTTTTTGAAAGCCCCTACATTTGGAAACAGTTATTTTCTACAATGAAAATAATTAAAAGTGATCACCAATTCAGATTAAATATTTTATGATTCAAAGGCTACGTACGAGCTATTGGATCATCTATATCTGTAAATGTAGACCAACTGATGTCAAAGAAGCAATGCTAAGTTTCTCATTAAATGATCTTTTTTTAAATATTATTTCTACTGATGGTTTATTCCTGTATTTTAAGTTACTATACTAGGAGATTCTTCTTTCCAGAAGATTTGAGGTCTTCTTCTCGGTCTTCTCCCCTGTGCATGAGTCTCATAAGTCTTCCTTGCGACTCTGTTCCTATCCATATGGAGAAGGTGCCCACACCATATTAACTTATGTTCTTCTATTATGGTTTCGACCGCTTTGACATCGAGATTGGCTCGGATAGTTGTATTGCGAATCTTTTCCCGCCTAGTGTTTTCATCCATCTTACTAATCAACCCCCATTTTACAAATGATATAACTATTCATTTAATTGTACTACTCATTGATCAAATTGAATAACTTTAATTTAGATGTATTCTGTAATTCAGATTATATTATTTTTTTATCAACATAAAATAAATTGAACGAAACCACAGTTCGGACAAATTTTTAATTTATTTAAAAATATATATTATACATCGTACCTTATTGCCAATTTATATTATTGTATAATTATAATTATTTTTATTGCCAATTTAATAAATAATATATATTCAACTTGTCCAGCTTCATATAAGCCCAACAATAATTTGAGCGTTTTATTTTTAATATTTTCATTGTACGTTGTATTGAGCTTCCTTTTCTATTTCATAATAATTATAATTATATCACAATATAATACAACTAATTTTATACATAATATATTGTATTCAAGAGGGAAATGTCTAAATCGAAAAATTACTGTCACCGAGGCAAAATCAGACTACCACCTCCAGATGAATATCATTTTTCATACAAATTTTTGTCTACAGGAGCTTTATACTGTAATGGAGAGACTAGGGTATAAATCTCTATTTTGTAATAGGATAATAAGAGGTTACAGGAGCTCAACACATATGTAATTAAATGAACAGCTGTATAATTATTGCTAATTATGATCTTCCACTCGCCTAATACTAAAATAAAATAAAATATGAAAGTCACGAAAAACTTTTTTATATAATAGAGAGATTCATTTCATTTTTTATCAGGATGTAAATGGCTTACTGTGTTTGGGTTAGGCTTCAACAACGTTGGTCTACCTTTGAAAGGTAAACTGTAATGCTTCACTAAAGCATTAGTCATAACAGGCACAGGCGGACATTTTGTACTTAAATCCCTAATAAGTTTACTCTCTGCGGACAGAACACTGGAACTTGAACCATCCTCATGTAATATAATATTTTCGAGCTTTTTTTTCGTTTTGGCTAATATTTTATTTATCGTTGATAAACCCTGCATTCTTTTCTGACTTTCAATTTCCGCTATAGTGCTTGACGAACTTTTTGAAAGTAATTTCTTTTGAGACAGCTTGGCATCTGATTCCACTACTTCTTTAATTGTACTATCCTTTTCGTACATTTTTTGTAAGCCATTAGATTTTACTTTTTGAAAATTTGATTTATTCTTATTATTTTTTAAATCCGGAGATAATTTAGAAGCATCATCAAATTTCAATGATTCTGATGAAGCAGAAGATAGCAAAAGCACTGGGTTAGTTGGATTTTTCTCTAAAATTGTATTAAAATATTGGACGTCAGGACTGCTCCACTCATTAGATTCTTCCTCAAGAGGAATACATTGTTCCTCATCTGAATAATCTGATATAGAAATATTTTCTGGATCTAGAACAACACAAAAATAAAAATACATTCCGAGGAATACTTAATACATTTTCAATACTAAATTATAACAATTACAACCAGGGGTCAAAACATTTATTGAACTTTTTTTAAAAGTTCTATTTTAATATTTTCAGTGAAACCTTTTTAGAAAAAAAGTTTTTTTTTGTAATAAAGTTCCAGATTTATGGTAAAAGTTTAACTTTTATTTACTCAAGTTCTTAAAGAAAGTTCTGTTAAATAAAAAATAAACAGCAAATGAGCTTAGATTTGAGTAATAATTTGTCTTAAATGAATTACACATTATTCTAATGTGTCGTTTGTTTGAGTAGCTATGAATAAAAATCATTGTTTAGATTGACATTTTAGCCAAATTTACAGAACTTTGAAATAATGTTTTTTTTAAAATAAAAGTTCTGTAAAACCTTTACTTGAAAAGTTAATTACTTACTATGTAGCTCTACAGCCCGGGGTGCCTTGGCTTTCTGGATTATAGCAAGCCAATCATCTCTATTCTTTGTGCTATCCTTCCAGTTCCTCACACCCAGTATTTAAGGTCGCTCTCAACATCTTTCAGCCATCTTTTTCATGGCCTTCCTTTTCTTCTTGTGCCATAAATTGTAGAGAACAATGTCCTATAAGGCATCCTGCTACTGTCCATTCTAGCCACGTAGCCTAACCATTCTATGCACCTAGTTTTAACAAAATGAACTATGTCGCCGCTGTTATATAGCTCTGAATTTTTTTGATATCTTTACACAAGCTTGTCACAAGCAGCTCCATAAATTCTTCTCAATATTTTTCTTTCAAAAATATTCAGGATACTAATTGTGTCCATGTCTCTGCTGCATAAATCACAATAGGTCTTACTAAGTTTTATATAATCTCACCTTAGTTTCTCGTAACAGGAGCGGTGATCAAAAAATTTTTAGGTGGGCATACTATGCCCGGTTTCCAGCCATGATCCTCTTTCTTACTTTAGCAGCAATTTTATTTTCAGAATTCACTTCCACCTTCAGGTAGTTGAATGTTTTGACACACTCGAAGATGAGACCACATATTTCAATGCTCTGAGGACCAGCCTCATTGTTGGCCCCGGCATACATGTATTTTGTCTTCTCTTGATTAATTTCCAGTCTTTATTGACCTCAAAATCCTGGTAATTAGCCATACATGGTCTGCGCAAGCACATATTTGAACCATTGCAGAAAAAAAGTTCTAGTCCCAAAAGAAGTGGAAAATCATCAATAATAAAAATTCTAATGATAGTGAAACATTTAAAAAAAAAAATGTTTCCATTTCAAGCCCTCATTACGACAATAACAAACAATAAAATGTTGAATTAAGATGGAGTTATATTATATTAATAATAGGAAAATTCAATAAGTTGAGTTTTAATTTCCCTTAGATAAAAAACTTCTATTATCTTTGATAGCGCCACAAAATATAGCTACTCTTTTCCTTCAAATAAACTGTTGATCGTTGTTTTTTTTTAATTGAATCGTGAACAGATTCTTCCTTTCTATTATTTATTGTTCCTTTTTTACAATGTTTTCCTTCATATTCAGAATATTCTTAATATTTCAATATTTCATAAAAATTTTAATATTTGACTACAATGTGACATACATATAATATAATATAATATATATGAGTAATTATATAAATATACATTACACATAAGCAGGAAGACTATGAGCATGATGAATCATAATATTATATTTATATTATCTGGCACTACAATCCAATACAAACTTTGGCCTCCCTCACAATCTGTCTCCAGCCTTCTTGATCCAGCGTCCTCCTTCTCCATGCAGTAACTCCAAGTTTAGCCAAGTCCTTCTCCACAACCTTCAGCTAGCTTGTTCTGGGTTGGGCCCTTCTTCTTTTACCTTGAAAATCCTCCTTCATTATCTTTCTCGTCATCTATCCTTCTGGCAAGTTTTCAATACGCCCAAGTCAACTTAACCTTGTTGATTTAACTAACCTGATTATATCCTATGAGGTCTTCAAGCTCTCCATTCTTTCTTATTCACCAAGTGTTCTTTGAGCATAAAGAGCTGAAAATACTTAATATTTTTCTTTCAAAGACCCTTAGGGCTATAGTCTTATCAGAGACATATATTTTCGATAATGATGATGAATCATTAACAAATTTTAAAATTAAGAAAAAATATTGCAAGAAAATGAGGGGGAAAAAAAGTTGAAACAATGATAATTCTTGCATAAAAAAGACAATAAACTATAAAAAATCTGGTATGGCATGCGTATTTACACACTTTCACTTACCATCCTATTTAGAGGATTTGATGGCCAAGCATGTTAAAGCAAAGGTCCTCGAGTGTCCCGTTCAAAACGTTATGGGTTTGATTCCCACCTGAGTCAGTTAAGATTTAGTTTAGGCAGAGGCAACCTCTAGATAACTGTCAGAGGGTGACAAAAAGGACCAAAAGGCCCACTTATCGGAATAGTATCCCTCACCAGTACCAGAGCCATCCTGCTTAACTTATTAAATTAAAAAGAACAAAATTAAGATATTTGTAACTAACTTGAATGGTCGAAGTTTTATAATTGGTACAAGAGGGACAGAGGGGAAGAGTTAGAAAATATCATGCTGTCAATACCTAACTGAAATTTTAAGAAGTCATTTTTATAGTCATTCAGAAAATCATTCCTTAAGATTTCTCCTTTTTCTAACCTCTTTGCATTTTGCTTTAGCCACTGTTCTTTGAGCCTTTGGAATTCTTGAAATCTAATATAGTCATTATCAACAAATGAAAAACCTTCCTACAAAAGAAAAATTAATAAAAAAAAGATCTTTCTGCAATAATTTAAATACCATACACTGAGTTTATTTGATTACTTAAAATAAAATGAAAGTAAATCAAATGCAGTAGAGCAGGTATTTCCAGCCTAGAGCTCGCGGGCTTCCCTCTGTCCGCGTAATGTCACTTGTGCCCGCCTATGTCTAAATGTGCGTTTAGACATTTCACGAACTATAAGAAACACATTTATCTAACTTAACTAACAGTGACATTATTGCTAAACCAAACTATTTATTTTATTTCTCTTGATATCGACAGTAGATGAAAAATATCAAAAACAAGAAACAAAAATACTATCATAGTGAAATAACCATTTATATATTTGTTTGTCCCACAGTTTGTGAAATATCTAAATGCTAGTTAAAATAATCTTTATCTACAATCTCCTTGGCTATAGTTTAACAGTTGCCTACACCAGATCAGCGAGTTTTTATTTAAATTTAAATATTTATTTTAATAAATATCTAATAATCAATAGTAAATATGAGCGATTACTTTGGAAATAGCAATTTTTTTTTTCAATCATTATTGTTTTATATGTCAAGCTGGAGATAGACGAATTTCTAATTCAAATTTTTGATAATTTTTTTTTTAATATATGTATAATTAAAAATCTAACAAGATTGTATAGATCTAAAATTGAAAAGTATAAATAAATTATTTGAAAATAATAATTAATTTATCAACATAATATCATCACGATTGTTTTCTTTTGTGGTAAAAAAAATCAATGACACTGTAGGTAACACTGCATTAAACTAATTTTTTATGTAGTTATAGCCCATACCCCTTTTAATTAATTTCCTCATATTTTATAATTCTATCATATTTAGCCATTTTTTATATCAGACTATAATGTGAAATGGGTAATTATTTCAAATAAAAAAGTTAGAGGTACTTTTAAGGGAACAAATTTTGAAAATTAAGTGTTTAAGCCTTATTAGAGAACATCAATGAAAAGACTTACATTGTATTAAAAATCACTTAATTTTACACTGATATAATGAATTTAATCAATTTAGAGCCGTTTTCGAGAAAATCGATGATATAAAGTGGCACTTCCGGTAAGCTTCAATTTTGACAAAAATACCATATACAAATCTTAAATATACCATTTCAGTTTTGTAAAACTTTTTGTTTTTTGAGCTGATCACTCAGATGCACAGACTTAGTTATTTTAATAAATATATTATATACTATACTACCCATCAAAAGTATTACAACACCCATAATTCTGGAGATTTTCTTGGTTTTGACCTTAATCCATACTTTCTTTATATCTATAGTAATATTATTTATTAAATGAAAGACATTAGGGATTAGACACATCATTGTTATTCACTGTTTACCAACAATCCAACGATGTAATTTTGGTTTTTCATTATAAATTTCTTTTCAGTCCATGTTTATCTTTCGTTTGCCTTAAGTTTGTTCTCTCTTTTTTTCTCTTTAGTCTAGTTATAACAATTAATTTTATTAATGATTTGATGATTCAAATTATTGCGTTACATCGCTAATCGCTTTGGGATTCACTATTCTTCCGTTTCAAGAACCATAAAAAGGTTCTTGGACTATGGAAACTACAGAGATTGGTAGTCATTCGAGGCAACCAACATCAGGGCGCCCTAGGATTACTAATCCCATAGATGGCCGATTCATTAAAATGAACATACTTTGGAAGCGTAATTCTACAGCTTCTTCCATTAAAAACTTTATGTTTGAGGGATATCTATCTCGGAGCAACGACCATTAAAAGACTGAGAGAGTCAATCCTCAGCTCAAGAAGGCCAGTAAAAGGTCCTCTTCTCACTGCAGAACACCTCGTAAAGATATTGAGACTTGCTAGGGAACACCAATCTTGGACTGTGGAGGAATGGAAAAAAGTTTTATTTATTGATGAGATGAGAGTGGGCCTTAACAGACCAGATGGCCATGAAAGAGTTTGAAGAAGGTCTGGAGAACAGTATAGTCAGTGCTGCACGTTAGAAACTAAGACTTTGGGAGAAGGGGTCTATCATGTTCTGTGTCGGCATATCTTGAAAGGCACGTACAGAGTTAGTGCCAATCCAAGGAGGGGCGTTGAACGCTTGTAAGTAGAAATGATTCTTCAAGATCATATAGTGCCTTTTATGCCATTCATAGGCTCTGAATTGTTGCTCATGCATGATAATGCCCATCTTGACATGGCAAGATGTGTTTTTAAGTACCTGAACAGCACAAATATCCACAGCATTGATTGGCCAGCAAGAAGTCCTGATCTTAACTCAATCGAGCACGTTTAAGGTTAACTCAAAACAAAGGTTCGGTCAATAGATTCATTTCCTATTATTATTGAAATGCTGACGGCAGCCGTATTGGAGGAGTGGGACAATATAACCCAAGATTTTCTTCAAAATCTTTTTACAAATATGCCAAGACGAGTGGAAGCAGTCATTCAAGCCAGAGGGGCAATACGGCTGATTAAATATAAATTAAAAATTTAAATTGTAATTTAAAAGTTAAAATTGTAAAAAAGGAAAATTTTAAAATGTAAATTTTCTAACTTTTTTATTAACTGGAAGAGATATTATAATTTATTTTAATAAAACTTGTTTATATCCAGTTTAAAAATGTTTATTATAGACTTCAGAACCTTTATTTATTATGAAAAAACAGACTTTTCGTAAAATTCAAATATTTTAAAGTGTAGGGATATTTTTGACAGGGAGTTTATATATTACATAAATAGCTAAGTGAAACTAAAAATTATTAAGTACTAACTATGCAAGAAAGAGAAATAAAAAGGAGGAAATAATTATTAAATACTTATAGATTTAAAAAAATACTTACAAATTGACCGTCAATTATATAAGATAGTACCCAGTGTGGACCAGCACCACAGAGGCCATAAGGATCTTCTACAACTCTCACATAATTTTTTTTTGAGCCATTCTTTTCTGCGATGCTGCTAATAGATTTTTCCAACATGGCACAACTTTCAGTGCTTTTCTCTCCAGTTTCTTTGCTACTCACATCAACATTTTCAGGGGGAGTTGATGTATCAGAACTGCTTTTTATACTGATATCACGGCTAAAAGAGCTACTTTCCGATATGCAAATACTGTCCTTGCTCTCCGTATGAGAGCTATCATAACCACAATAACTGTAGGAGCTACTGACTGGAGTAAGATGGGCGTCGATTTCGGGTTCTTTGCTAGAATGTTCACTCACTAAAGAAGGATTAATTTTTGGAAGACTTACTCTTTCTTTTTCTTGATCATATTTTACTTCAACCCCTTCATTTCCAGTTACATCAGTGGGTTCAGCAGCTATTTCATTATATAAAGCTCCTAAAGCTGAAAATTTTAGAAAGTTCTAATTTAATTAATGAATAGATAATAATTCAAATTTCAAAATAAATTTTACCAACAAATAATGTCTTTTTTTGAAGAGCTTCTAATAACTTTAGCGAATGCTAATTCTGTACTAGTTAATGCCCAAGCACTCAACAAGTGAATCGTACCAAAGAAGAAACGCATGTCTTCATTTTCTGGAGAAGGTTCTAAAAAGATTCACTATAATTAGTTAATAATACTATAGATGAAAATATTTTATACATATATGACTTGCTTTTCCTAGTCTAACCTATCAAATTATAATAAAGTCATGCAAGTTTTGGCTCTTAGACTAATTTAATATAATGGATCTCAATGATGAGAGATGTTCAAAATGATATTTGATATAAAATACAATTAATAGTCAAAGTATAACCCATTGGTGTCTACCGTCATTAGCCATTTGCTAGCCAATTGCTCGATCCCACGCTGATACCATTCTTTAGGATGGCTGTCAGAGAACTCTTGACCGTAATTTCAACTTCCGTAAAATTAGCAAATGTTTTCCCATTGAAGAAAATGGGCCATGGATCTAAATAAGTAGTAATCCAATGGTGCGAGGTCTGGACTATATGTTGGATGAGGCAGGAGTTTCATATCCGAAGGGTTTTTCAATAAATGTTCACAAATTTCTAACCTCTTAGCTGATTGCTGAGGGGTAACTTCATGAGGGACCAGTCTACTACACTTTTTCACCTTTTCCATGGAGAGTAGATGGCGACTAACAGAATCTTTCGACACAAAACACTCCCTGGCAAGTTCGCGACTACTCTTGGATGGATTTATCTCAACAGCTTCCTACAGAACCTTTCATGAGTTGCTTCAGTGACTGTGAAATTTCTTTTCCACTGCCTTAAAATAACAAGAATTTCGTAGGACACTGTCATGTTTCTTCTTTGAAACAAATGACAAAACTGAGGCTTTTTTTAAAGAAGTCCAATGGGATTAAACAAGCTTAGAGAATGGTCTAAAGAGATAATTAAGTATTGGTAGGTATTAAATGGGATTAAAATATTTACAGTCCTTTGAAATCTTGAATTTGATAAAACAGACATTCTTTCTTTTCTTATACGTCATATTAATTGCTATATTCCTCCTTTTACATATGGGAAATAATGAGAAGCACTAAATATGAAAAAGTTAATCAAAGCATTGACACTTACCACCGTAATTTAAATCAAGAAGAACAACAGGCACAAAAACGGATCCTTTTCCTTCGGCTTTAACAATAATTTCTTCATTAGCTCCTTTTAGAGTAAGACTAATACTAACTTCTTCATTAGAAATAGACAGATACAATGTAGCGAGTAAACTCTTTGAAATACTAATGATGAATCTGTTCAACATAAAATTTTCAATCTTAAAAAATTGAAATCTAATAGCAACTTCAATTTAACATATTCTTTATCTTTTATTTTATATTGTAACGGCCAACAAATTTTAGAAAAAAAAAAAAATTAATCTAGTCAAAAACAATTGAATGATCAAGTGGATAAAGTTGATGTTTACCAAATGTATAAGTATGAAAACACAATTTTTGTATAGAAAATTTAAGTTTATTGCATATAAATATTTTATTCGAAATATTGTACATCACTAACTATACATTTTTCACGTATTTCTGGAAATTGATGAAAGCTATGCCAAAAATCCAAGAACCCATTATCAAGCCGTTTTCATTAGAAGTGAAGAGCTGCTGAGCAAGGGATTACCCCATTTATAGCATAAGTAGTAGTCAGATGGCGCCGAGCCTGATGGATAAGCCATATGCGCTAGTATTTTCCTGTTGAAAGCCTTAATTGTTTCATTCACTAGTTTTGTTGTGTGTGATGGTGCATTATCATAAAGAAAAATCATTTTTGTGTTGTATTTTCTTATATTCTGATCATTTCTCACACAATACTCGATTCAAATTTGTCGTCGATAGCATTCAGTATTAACAGTTTCATCAGATTGCAACTCATATTCGATCACACTATTTTTTGATTGCCTCAACTCATGTCAAAACCACCACTTTTGAATTTACAAAACACTAAACCACTCAAAACAATGTGATTTATCATATAGCATGCTTGCAATAATATTCGACAAACATTGAATGCTATACTGCAGCAGTTTTCTTTAAATGGTAACAGAAAACTAATGCTGTCCACATATCGTAGTTTGTAGACACAAAACTCAACATGTTCATCACCATTTTTGCTTAGCTTCAAGTAGTGAATGGCTGTAGTGCTGGGAAGTAGAGCTAGAATTCCAGAACTTCATTTAATCACACCGAAATTCTCTTTTTGACATCTGTCTGCCTGTCTTGTGCTTTACAATCTATATACTTCTATTTTAGAGAGTCGGTTAAGACCAATGGTGAAACCTATTCTGCAGGAAGAACAAGGTGACTCTTTAAGCCACCTTCTATTGATTGTAAATATGGATGAGATTACCTTCATTTGCAAAAGACGCACAGCCAGAATACACATGGGCCAATGGAACCTTTATCCCATAGAAATACAGATTCTCGTGTTTTCTGACGATATTGTGTTTATTGCAGAATCCCCAGAGTAACTTCAGTGACGGAGTAGAATGAGGAACTCAAGGGAAAGGGAATAGTAGAATGAGGAACTCAAGGGAAAGGGAATAGTAGAATGAGGAACTCAAGGGAAAGGGAATAGTAGAATGAGGAACTCAAGGGAAAGGGAATAGTAGAATGAGGAACTCAAGGGAAAGGGAATGACGATTGATTCCACAAAAAGCAAAGCTCTTCAAATTGGTAGAACTCAAGAGGATGTCCAGAATGCCTGTAATGGAGAGTTGATGGATTTAGTGACAGACTTCACATATCTTTGCACGGTAATTAGTAGATCTGGTAAAGTAGATTGGGAAAACTTAAGCAGAATCTTCAAGGCTAATTCCATTTACTACCAGATCTGAAATTTGATTATCTAAAAAAGGTCAGCAGTACCTAAAGCTCCATTTCTTCAAATCTGTCTCCCTAACAGTGCTTCTCTTCAGAATGGAGAGCCGGGTTATGAATGAGTGGGTACTAAGCTGTATAACGGCCTCAGAAATGAAGTCCATTAGGAGAATTCTGGAAAAAACATGGAGGGACTGTGTTCGGTATGAGAAGATTAGGGAAGAGCTTAATGCACACCCTGTAATATCTCTTATTTTTTACAAATAATAATATAACCTCAGAAGATCACTTCATACTATAGCAATACTTCCAAAAGCAATAAGAGGTAGTTAAATAAAAAAGAAATTATAAGAATATTGAGTACTACTTCACTAGCAGGCCGGTTCGAAACCTCACTTTTTATCTATGTTATCTAACGTCATGTCACACAACCTCCCTCTTTTTATCCCGCCAAACCTTTCAGTTATTACATCGTTTATTTTTCAGTTATTCTCTTATTACGTTCACTTATATTTGTCGATCCATCAACTGGGGTTCATACTCAACACATAGAATGATTATGGGGCTCAGCTAAGCGAAGAAATAAAATACACAGAGGAACTGCCAGACAACACCTTGATTCATATTTATGCGAATTTTTGTGGCGGCGGGTTCTCAAAGAAGAGGACCCATTCCTCACTATTTTAAATAGTATCAAACTATTTTACATACCAAAATAAATAAGACGAAGAGAAAATAAATTGTACATATGTCGTTTATAGTGTTGATATTTTTTCTTTTATAAGTACATAACCTCTTTAAGTGTTTTTTTATTATTTCATTAATATATGTGTTGTACAATAAAAGTTTTTTTTTGTTATTAAATTTGTTTTTGTTTCTGTTTACACTTTCAATAATACGAATATAATACAATAATACGAAAAAAGGAATTACGAGAAGGCTTATCACTGCCTTATCAGAATTATCACTGTTCAGGTTATAAATAGCAGTCAGTCCCGGCCTGCTAGTGAAGAAGTACCAAATATTGATACATTTAACTAAACTTTATAATTATTTTATCTCAGGTATGGGGTTACTTGATCAGATCAAAACACTCAGACAAACTAACATTAACTACACTAAACACTATTTGATTTTAAAATAATGTCAAGTATGCACTGGCAAGCTAACCTTTTTTTCTATTGTGTTACTGAATTCATTTGTATTTTAACATTTTCTTATGTTCTGCCAAACACATCTTCCAAAATAATAACATTTTCATCTACTCAACTCAAACTCCCTGGAGATCCTCTCTCTTGTGATTCCAAACAACTAGTCTCTCTGCCAAACAACAACTTCCAAGATGGTAATACTATTACTAGGTTTTAGCTACTGGAGCCAGGATCTCCCACCTCTCTTTACCATAGCCAAGCACCAATTGCTTGTCAAAATAATCCTTTGTCTCATTCCCATCTCCTCTTTGGAATTTTCCTGTTTGAGGAAACTATAGAGCAGCTATTTTCTTTTCCCTGAACTAGTAGAACTAGATTAACTTGCCTTTTAACTATTCAACATTAATTTATTAAACCATTTTTACCAACTTCCAATTAAAGTGTATATTACAGCCCGGTAACGGAATTTCTGGAGAAGGGACAACTGAGGTGCTAAGGCCATGCCTGCTGTATAGACCACCACAGAAACCCAATTAAAACCATGAAGGTAAGACCGATGGGAAGATGACCAAGACCTCCTATATCGCCCACATGGAACAAATATGGAAGCACAGAGGGAAGACTTTGGGAAAAATAAGAAACCTTACCAGGGACATAAACGGATAGTACCGATGGCTTGAAGCACCCCCATGCTGAAAGAGAAATATGTGGGGAAAAAAGAAGAAGAAAATTCTCTTTTCAAAGTTTTTCATCTATCACTTTCACAACAGTTTCTATTCCTATGGCTGCTATTTCTATATGAATGTGTTCTTTTGCAATCCATCATACACAACAAAATGTCAGGCGGAACAGTCATTTCATAGGAATAAATGATTCATTGTTTGTAAATACAGCTCAACAGCAAAAACATGTAATTGAATGTTCCATCCACTGTACCAAGTAGGAAACTGTAGCATTACTAAGACTCATCTTCCTCTCTCTCTATTTTCACTATTGAATATCCATTCTGTAAGTGATTTCCTTTATATAAACAAATTTTTTTAAAAAACGTTTTTGAATGCAATTGAATAAACTACAGAAGAATTCATGAATGTAAATTTATAAAAAAACAACTACGTTGTGTGCTTTAGACATGATAGAAGAGAAAAAATCAATAAAGCTAGATTAACAATATGAAATATAATTTTTTTTTCTTATTTATTCATGAAGTAATAAAATTTACAATTTATATAAATGTAGTTGTGTATAAATTACTGTCTAACTCTGTATTGTGTTTAGTTACAAATTTGAATAATAGCAAATAGGATTAATTACAAAGAGGATGAACTGGTGAAAATTTCCCTTGCTTACAATATGCAGGTCCTATTTTTAGTTTCTGAGATATTGCAATCCATATGCAAAAAAACTTCAATTAGTCAAATCAAGCCGACTTTACCCGAATGAGCATCTGACGGCTCAATTTCATTCACTCCCCCAAAAAAGTGTAAAACATAAAGAATTTTTCAATTAAAAATTGGTGATAAACTTAGTTATTGTTATTTATTTAAAAAATGAGCATCCTTTTTTTACCACGCTTTGTAACAGTGCAACTCTGATAGTCAAGAAACAGTACTTAATCGCCAAGTAGTCAACCTAAGAGCTCTCATTTGAAGTGGTTCTGATTAATATTCTATTGTTTCCTGTGAAAGTTATTTTACTCGATTGTCTCGTTGCAGTAAATAGTGAAAACAGATCTAAAAGAAAAAATTTAATCCATGCCAGTGACCAGATGCACTCGACCTCATTCCATCCCAGATATTCACAGTGGCAACAACTTCAGCAGACTGGAGGACCCACTCAGTTAAGTAAGATGTCTATGCCAGCATAATAGGATGAGTCAATTTTACATAATTCATGTAACCTACCACTTCATCAAAGTACAGTCCACTGCCAAAATAAGTCGAATGTTGACTGTGTTGAACTCATGTCTTTATTTTGATTAAATTTGGAAAGTTGCTTAAACATCTATATTTAATGTTCTTCGCTTAATAATCACATTCAATTATAATAATAAATAATAAAAGGCTTAGCGAACCCAAAGATTCGATGCCGACACCACCAATTGCTTATTACACACCTCCCTCCACCGTTCACGGTCCAAACCCAGTCCCTTCAGATCGACTTTAATGCAATCTTTCCACCTTCGCTTCCGTCTACCCCTCGGACGCTTTCCATTCGGCACAGCAAATATTAACCTTTTAGGAATTCTCTCGTTACTAAGCCCAACAACTTTACAACCCCATTTGATTCGCCGTGATGAAATTACCTCAATTATATTACCCGGATACAGTTCACGCAATTCGGCGTTGTGTAACCGTCTGAACTCTCCGGTTAACTCATCCTTCTTCAGTCCGAATATTCTACGCAATACTTTATTTTCAAAAACCTTAAGACGCTGCTCATCCCTTAATGTAAGCGGCCAAGTTTTGCATCCATAAAGAACTGTAGGCAAGATAATTGTTTTATAGATTCTAATTTTTAAGTTCCGGGACAAGAGGCGCGAACTAAGTAGTTTTGTCACAGAAAAATAACAAGCATTTCCCGCCTTCAGTCTAACCTTAATCTCTTCTTCAATTTCGTTTTTTCTAGTTATCGTAGAACCTAGATACCTAAATTTATCTACCTCTTCAAACATATTACCATCTATATCGATATCACCAGTAGTATCCCCATTTTTGCACCTAACCAATTCTAACTATTCTAGCTAACCATTCAATTATAGGAACAAATATTTATTACCTTCCAATGATATTGTCAGTATTTGGGAGGTAGTAACCTGTAATATTTTGAACACAAAGACTGCTCTCAAAAGATTCTCTTTCTTGACAATAATATGGGTTAATTGATTCACACTGGTGTAAAGTATTTCCACTGTCTATCCCCAAAACACGAATCCTCCAGGCAAGGGACAAATCTTCAGCAATCATATCTTGAGGGGCAAATCCACATAACAAAATAGTGTAACCAATCTGAAACAAATAACATCGGTATGTTATTTATAGAATAATCAAAAGAAATAATCAAATAGTTATTAAAAGAAATAATCAAATATGCTAACAAGGATTGAAAAAAGAAAAGTACAAAACCAAAATAAAATAAAATAGTAAAAGAACACAGCATGTAACCTTCTTCCATGGCTCTACAACCCGCGAGGGGTCATGGTTGCCTGAAGTATGGTCCACCATTCTTCGCAATCCTGAGCAGATACTCTCCAATCCCGGATCCCCAGAATGTTGTGTGCATCCTTATTCACCCCATCCACCCATCGCAGCCCAGGCCGTCCACACCTTCTGATGGTGTGAAACCTTCCTCTTCGAGGAGACTCTTTGGTATTGAGTCGTCATTCATTCTGGCCACATGCCCAGGCCACCTGAGCCGGCCAACCCTGAAGAAGCGCACTACGTCGCAGTTCTTGTACAGCTCAGATATTTCAGCATTTCTCGTAATCCGGTATGCTAGCTCATGGGCATCAAAAGTCGCTCCGAAAATTCTTCTTAGTACCTTTCTTTCAAATTCAAAGTTGATTTTCCTGAATTTTAGATGAAGTCCAGCATTCAGATCCATGTGTAAGCACTGGCCTAATCAGGGTTTTGTACAAACGCAATTTAGTCAGGTCATCATCACCTCAGTAGTCTTCTAGGCAGATCATATCGGTTTTTGGTAGTCACAGGATTTGAATTTAGGGTCATTAAGCATGATTAACTATCATTTACTACCATATATATGTTATGGTTTATAGTATTTGTTTGTTTTCAATTATACTATTAAACATTTTTATCTGGCAACATTGATAAAGAAGATGATATGGATGAAGAAGTAGAAGCTAATTTTTTTTAATTAAAGAAAGAGGAAGAAACAATTTATCACTCTTTTCACTCAAAATTTTCATAAACTCCTTAAAATATGATTACTCATTTGTAATCCTAAAGCCTAGTCCATACTAATAGACATATTGCTCGACTTTTGGTATCTGAGATGCGTCTCACGTTGACTGCGTAGACATGTCTATAGACCAATCCCTGTCTATGACTTGTTATGAGACAAAATTCGCAGGTATAAAGTCTTCCGATCGGAATGGGAGACCACATCCGACGCTAGAAATGTTGCATATTTTGACAGTATCTAGAGGTAAGACACGTCCCAATCTGTCTCGAACTACAGTTGTTGGTTCAGCTGTTTACAATTCTTTTCTGATGAAAAACAAGAAAATTTTAAAACTAATTGAAAATTACCACGGCATCTTCCAGTCTTAATTTATTTAATAATGCATTACTGAACCTAGGTCCTTCTGCGAGCACTTTGTGCATCTATCAACGTTTATGTTTTCATGTTCTTTCACTTTTAATTAGCACTAAGCAGAAACTCATTCCACAAAAAACAATGTCCATGTTGGTCTGAGAAGATGAAACTGAAAAATTCAAATTGTGGTGAGGACGCTAGATGGAACAAAGAAAAGTGTCTCTAAACAGCCTATAAACAGTGTCTCGAGACTGTCTACAGACGATTTGCACAACATGGTCACCTATTGTGTACTCGGCTTAACAAATCCAGAACAAACACAAAGAATAGATATTTATTTTGTTTAAATTTTAAATGGTTTCTATTAATGTTTTTCTTTATCAGTTTGGCATACCTTATTCCTCTTCAGGTGGAAGGTGGCACTCAAACCAGGTGGTAGTGATAGTTTCTCACAACTATCGGTATCAATGACATACAAAACTGCTTTTGGAAATTCGGTAATCACATAAATTCCACACGGAACAGCCTTTAAAAAAAAAATTATTTAATTGAAAGTTAAAACTTTTAAAATGGCATCTGTTATTAAAAAATATTTTAAATTATTTAATGACTTCAAAAAAATTAAATAACTATTAAAATAAATCTAATTTTAGTCATATTAATAAAAAATAATAATAATTAACAAAAATACTAACTTTAGTGCTATGAATATTCAATGTTAAACGAGCTATAATAAACCAATTATGAGCTGGAGTTACTTCAGTTATTCCTGTATAATTCTTGTACTTGAGTAATAAGTAATGTTCATTCATAAAAGGATAAAACTGTAAATATTGAGGTTTCTTGTCCAAAATATTTCTGTGAAGAAAATAAATAAGTATAGTCTTTAAAGATGGAAAAATTCCACTTGATAACTAATTTAGTGTAATTAACCAAATATTTCTACAGAAGGAATGTTTTTAGAAACTATATATACAAACTGTGTTGAAATATTAAAACACAATTTGTCCTGTCTTGATCAAACAACTGAAAAATTATGGGGTTTATCTTCTTCTTTTTTCAAATACTTTTATAGAAGTTGTAGTACAAATTAAGAATTGAAATTGAGATTCATCACTTCTCCACAAAATTTTCTTGTTTGCCAAAATCCATCGCTATTAAAAGCGGAAAAAGGGGTCTATATTACCTTATTATAAGTATTAATATTAAACTAAGTATTGTGGACCAGTATTGTGCAAATCCAAAACTAAACAGTTATTTTTCACTTTCATCTTATTACTAGTGAAAAAATTACCTGTAGATTACAGTGAAAGTATTGAAAATTTCTTCAGAAATTAATTTTTTTTTTTTTTATTACATCATTAATTATTCATATCTCCAAACAACTGGGTTGTCAATGATTTAGACTGTCTCAATCTCTTATTTATTTTCTGACAAAATTGGAATAATTTTGAAACATTTTCCTGAGTTGCAGGATTAATTTGTATACTTGAATATTGCAATTTGAAAAATACAAATTATGGCTCATAGAGCTAAGTTTAGCTTCAACTAATATAATAGGAAATCCAAACCGAAAATGATGATCAGACTGGAATATATGAGATCATTAATAAAGTTTACCAACTGAAGACTTTGTTGATATATTTACAGAGCTACTTGGTGTATGTGATATTGAGAATGTTACTGGCTTTTATTGAATGGATGATCAAAAGACAAGATAATAATACAAATGAAAACTAGTAAATGGTAGAAACATAATAATATTTTCCATACACTCTATTATTACTTTACTCTATTATTTTTTTTTAAATAACTTCAAATTTCTTTTTTTTGTTTTACATCTTATTATATGTCTGTCTCGCTTCTTTTTAACATACTAAGACATCAACTTTTAGCAATTACGTCATCCCATTTATTTTATGCCTAACACTTACGTTTTTTATCTCCTAATATTCCATTAAATTTACTTGTTAATTCATTTTTTATTTCTTCATTAATTTCATTATGTTGTCACTGTTATTTTATTATTGTTTATTTCATAAGTTCCTAATTCTGTAACCATTATTATTTATTTCATAGTTACTAATCTTTTTAACCGTTATGTTATATATCCTAATTTTGTTCTGCATATAAGTATATATATATATATATATATATAGATCTACCATTTACTAGTTTCTCATACGTACTGTTATCTCGTCTTTTCTTAGTCCAGATGAAGGCCTGAACCTTGGACTGAAATGTTGGAAAAAATAAATATAATTTATTTATTTTTGATTTTTTACTTCACCCTATTTTTTGTGTTCACCCTAACCAAACCTAGAAGGAAAAAAAAATCAGCTATATATGTGTTTCTCTTACATGTCAAATTATGAACATAAATAGTGAACTGATTAGTTTCTTACATAATAAAATTGTAATGCCTTATTAATCCTCTTTAATTAATGCATAATTAATAATATAATTGATCTTACCTCAAAACTTCAATGTGGGTTTCAGCATTTAAAAACAAGATATGATCCGAATCGCTAAAAATTAAAAAAACAAAATTCAGTACAACTTCAAAACCAAATTAATAAATATAATCCCAATTTATATGACTATGAAGGTGGTCTGAAAAGTACCCGACCGCAACGTGAAGATGGCTGCACTCGAATAAAAGCAATAAAAGTATCAAAGAATCGAATAAAAGCAAGTCATTTTGTTGTTCATCTGTTGACAGTTACCCACCAAAGTTTCAGCCATTTTGGAAGTGCAGTTTTTATGTGATAGTAGTTTCAGTGAGTTGATGTGAGTGTTTTTGTGAAAATGGACAAAATCGAGTATCGAGCTGTCATTAAATATTTGTTTTTGAAAGGCAATACACCTACGCAAATCAACGATGAGTTAGATTTTGTGTATGGGGACTGCACTTCATTTACCACAGTGAAATTTTGGGCAGCTGAATTTAAACGTGGCCCTAAGAGCTTGGGAGACGAAGAACGTTCGGGACGTTCAAGAACTGCAACTACCGGTTGAAAACATCACCAAAGTGTGCTAGACAACCGCCGAATTAAAGTGAGAGAGATAGCAGAGGTTATGAACATGTCAAAAGAACGTGTTTGTTACATATTAAATCAACATTTAGATATGAGAAAGCTGTCCGCACATTGGGTGCCGCATTTGCTCACGTTAGACCAAAAATGTGTTCGAATAAACATTTTCAACGCTCTGTTGTCACAGTTTAGGTGCAATAAATCCAAGTTTTGACACCGATTAATTACTGTAGATGAAACTTGGACACACTTTATATGCCTGAAACAACAATACAACCAAATTGATAGTGTACTACAAAGGGGGAACTGGCTCTATAAAAAGCAAAAACTGTTTCCTCGGCTGGGAAAGTGATGACGACTGTTTTTGGATAGTCATAGAGTTATTTTAATCGGCTATCTTCAAAAAGAAAAAACCATTACAAGAGCATACTATGCTCTTGACAAGCTGAAGGCAGCGCTTACGGAAAAACAGCCACATTTGCAGAAAAAGATAATCCTGTTTCACCAAGAGAAAGTACAGTCTCACACCTCAGCAGTTGCCATGGTGTAAATCCATGAACTACGGTTTGAACTGCTTGACCATCCGCCTCACTCATCAGATCGAGCCCCAAGCGACTTCCTTTTGTTCTCTTATCTAAAACTTGCGCTCGGTGGACAGAGATATTTGTCAAATGAAGAGGCAATCACCTTCATCAACAATTATTTTGCAGATAAAAATGCCAAGTACTTTTTGGAGGGGTCACAGAGATGAGAGCATCGCTGGGAGAAGTGTGTAGAGTTACAAGGAGACTATGTTGAAAAATTTCAGAAAAAATGTCTTATATTTTTGTTAGGTCGGAAACTTTTCAGACCATCCTCGTGTAACACTAAGAAAGCTGTCGTTGACAATGTGCTACAATGCTTTATAATGGCTTGAATTTTTTTGTAATTTAATGGCACACAGCCAGATAGATATTTATGCTCATGTATTTAGATCATTTTTGACTAAATGTATTTCTTACTTGTTTTTAAATTGTTTACTATGCTGTTTATCTGCTCTCCACTGCCCAAAGACAGAATTTATTCATTTGTAATGTTACCATGGTCTAAGTAAAGAAAAAGCATTCTTTTGTGAGATTCGTAAACATCAAATTCCATAAAAATATAGTATAGTGTTTCATGATTCATGTAGTTTTCATATTGTGACAAATTTAAGACTTCTACACGGTGTAAATAACCATTGCCTAATCTATGATTTTGCTTTAATCTACAATAGGGTTTTATTACATCTTTATTTAGATTAGTTGTTGAAAACCATGGACTGCATGGAATGTTCGGTAATACTAAATAATAATATCTAGTCCTGTCATAAATATTGTTACAAGGAAATATATACAGATTTCAAAAGAAAAATTAATTTTTTCAAAAACTTTATTATAAAATGAAATGTATATCTACAGAGAGTAAAACAAAAAATAAATTACTCAAAATGTCCCTCTTTTGCCTTGACATAGGTATTTAATCTCCATGGCCAGTTATCAATAGCAGCACGCAGTACTTCATGAGGAAAGTACTCAACTGCTTGGACCAGAGAATGTTTGAGACTTTCCAAGTTAGGATGTGCTCTGTGGCCATCCTTTCCAGTTTGGATCAAAGCCAATAATCTAGTGGGTTCAGATCAGGGCTTCCTGAGGGCTAATCAGGCAGAGATGAACTCTGGATTATTCTTTTACAGCCACTGCTGAGTTGACCTGGCCTTGTGAGCTGGAACGGAATCCTGTTGGAAAACCCAATGATTTCCAGCAAACCGAGTATCATTTAGAGGCTTGACAACAGGTTCCAATATATCGTCCTGATAGTTTTTAGCGGCTGTATTATCTCTTTTTTCCACTAAAATGGAGTTGTATCATCAAAGCAAACTCTCCACCCCACCAAACCATCACTGAGGAAGTGTGATGACCTCTTTCCAATTTTCCAATGACTTCCTGAGCTTTAGACCTGTTTGTGTACACAGGATCATTTTGGCGATTAAATTTTTCTTCAATTGTAAAAATTTTCTCATCGCTAAACAAAATCTTGCAATTGGTGAACATTGGTTCAATAGAGAACATTGGTGTAACAGCCAAGGAGCACTTTGCATCTATCCACTCTCATTTTTTTTAGGGAAGTGGTTAGCCTTCGTCCTGTCATTCTTCGAAATGCATCCATCCTAAGGTCACATTTTACTATGCGAAACATTGATCTGACAGAAATTCCCATTTCTCAAGACATAATTTGTTGTTTTTGAATGGGATTTCTTCTGAATCAAGCAGCCACTGCTCTCACTGCATTTGCCGTTCTCACAGTGCGGGAATGGCCCGGTCGGGGTCTATCAAATACAGATAGGATCTTATTATATCTATTTATAGTGCAGTACAGGAACATACGGCTGATACCCAAAGGTTTCAAAGTGTAGAAAATCTCTGACCTACATTTTCCAGCTTTGTGTAAGGCGATCACAGCTATTTGGTTTTCTTTACCACCCCACTCCATGTTAACTGAGCGAAAGAAAAATACAACCTAATTGGGATTATTATCCTGACATGTAAATAAAATAATCTGAGAGAGTTAAGGATTATCTAAATACCCAAGGATGTAAACAAAGTTCAACTTTTGTAACAGTATTTATGGCAGAACTAGGTACTTGAATTCATTTAAGCACTTCAGAATGTCATTAAGCAAACATTAGGCGCAATAAACAGAATAATATAATAAAACACTAATTACAAAGTTATAATGCATAACTAAATTTGATTTCCATAAATTTATTTATTTTTTTCCAAAAAGCTATTATAGAGATTAACAAGTTGCATGGTTTTACAAAGATATGACAATTTCATATTATACATGAAAAACAATATCTGAAGGTAACTATTTAGTTTAGATTTTTTTTAATATCATAGTAAGGTAAATTATATGAAGTAAAAGTATATGAATTGATCCAAGGATTGTTGCTCTGATGACGTAGTACTGCTGTCTGAAAACTTACAAACTATTAAAATAAATAAACAATAAATTAAATTGACAAAAAACGTTGAAGAATTACGCCTTGGAATATAATTAGTAGTAAAATAGTCAATAATTTTGGAAATTAGATCGAGAATAGATTTTAATAGTACCAAAGTTTAAGAATGTAAATAACCTACAGAAAGTTAAATGTAAATACAGATGTTTTGGCGGGAATAGCGAATAGCCTTCCGCTTTTATATCGGGGCTTAAGGTTATTTACACTCGTGAATTATTAAAACAAAACCCAGGCACTGGATATCGACTTTTTGAGGGTGTTTGACTGTGATTGGGAATTCAGGGATCTATTACCTTTTGTGACACTGTGTGAGAAGCAACAATAAGAATATATATATGAAATGTGGGACTTAGTAAACACTTTGAATGAATTGACTCACCTGGTTTATTCTTCAATTGTGAGGCATATAGGACAACTAAATAAAATGACTTTCACTCCTGTCTAACAAAACAATTTATTTTATAACTGTAATAAATTAATGTATAAAAGTCTTATAACTGTAGGCTTGATATTCTTGGTCTTCAATGTAGTAAGCCTCTCTTCCCAGATGACTACCTCTCGCTTCCGTCCTTTTGCCTCCAGTGCTTGGCGTCCTCTTCCCCACCTGTTGCCAGCTACCTGATCGGACCTTTTCTTCTTTCCGATTCTTTATCGATGTGAGACTTTTCAATGAACAATTTGTCCATTGCACAACTGAGTAAAATTCACAGTGCAACCTCACATTCCTATATATTATATATTCCTTCTCATTCCCTCACACATTGTCATCTAAAGGAGTAAATACAGGGGGATGTCTACTACAAGAATCTAACTAAAAGTTCAAACAAAGAGACGGGGTGTCTGAATTTATTTAGCTAGGGAGGTCAGGCTGATCACTGCCCAGGTAAATAGACTCCAATACTGAGTTGAGTAGTGTAACCATTATATTTTAATTTGCTTAAAAGTATATAACGATTTTTTGAACGAACAGATAAATTAATAAATCCAACCAAAAAATTTGTATAATTGAGCAAAAATTTAATTGCCAAAATGATCGTGTGTACGCACACAGGTCTAAAGAAGCCCAGGAAGACATTGAAAGGGTGGAAAGAGGTCATCACACTTCCTCAGTGATAGTTCAGAGGGGTGGAGAGTTTGGTTTGATGGCACCACAAAGCTCCATTTTTGTGAAGAAAAAAAAAAAAAGAGTTAAAACAGCTGCTAAAAACTATCAAGAAGATATATTGGAACCTGTTGTCAAGCCTCTAAATGATACTCAGTTTGCTGGAAGTCATTGGGTTTTCCAGCAGGATTCCGCACAATTATTCAGTGAGATCCTTAGAGTGTTTTGAAACAATAATCATCGACACGCCACTGAATAAAATGTGTTTAATCAATCCACTAAAAGGTGTACAACAATTTTTCAATAAATAATTCAAAGAAGTTTAACAATAAAAATTCAACATACAAATGTTCCACCATATTGCTTCCTTTAGTTTCCACGACTTCAGGTAAATCAAGTGGTTCCATGTTGTATTCCTTGTAAAATTCGTTTAGAATTTTAAGCTTGGGAATCATTTTTTCGGGTTCAATTCCGTAAGCCAATTCCTTTCTAAATTCTTTAATATCCTTTCGCGTACGTTTATCCAATTTACAAATATAAGGTTCTCCAAACTATAAAACAGTAATAATAAATATTTAATTAACAAAAAATTGTATAAAAACAAACTATTTTTAAAAACTTTTCTTAAGCTCAAAACTGAAATTTATGAGAATTAATAAAAAAAAAAATAATGATAAAATCAAAAAACGATTTGAAAAAGAGAACTAATTTTCTATGGTTGATTGTTGGACATGGGATTTTACAGAAGCGACAGTTCTTTGTAAAAATTTGAAAGGGCAATCATTTCTTATCCATCCAGTCCCCATAAAATTGTTTATAGATACAACTGTAAATATGTATATAAATTATTAGTTTGTTCTTCATTAACTTTATGTCATGTTTTTTAATCAATTTTTTATTATTAACTGATCAAAATTAGAAAGTAACTTATATATATTTTTTTACTTTCCTACCTGTACTAGGTAAGGAAAGTATTGCAATCGGGTCCATATGCGGTTTTCGACAGGTCTATACGTTTCAGAGTCCCCTGAGTCCGAAAAACACATTTTTAGCCATTGGTCTGTCTGTCTGTCTGCCTGTGCCAAGATTTTCTCAGGAACTACTGAACCGATTTTGTTGCTTCTTTTTTTATTTTGTAGGGTTTTGACTACTCATACCTGTGACAGAAATTCGGTGCTCCATGCGCAATAAATGAAAAACATGTTTTCCTATAGACTGTAGCGAGAAAACGGCTCTAACGATTTTGATGAAACTTTCCCTATAATGTTCTAATCATTGTCCTTTCAATTTTCGTTTATAGACTAAATTCCCAAAAAAATTTATAAAGAAAAGAAAAATGTTATGGGGCCTAACTCCCTAAGCATCTATTATACCATAAAATTTATAATAAAACTTTTGAAAGGTAATTAAATTACCACCAAAACAAAAAAAAAAAAATCATCAGAATCAAACCAGTAATAGCGATGATACAGCTTATTCCATTTTTTAACTTATTACTTTCCTACCTATACTAGGTAAGGAAAGTATTGCAATCGGGTCAAATTTCCGATATGCGGTTTTCGATGGATCTATACGTTTCAGAGCTCCCTGAGTCTCTAGAATTGAAATCTAGTTCAATTCTTTTTTGTTTCTTCATGAACATATGTAAAGATATAAAAACTTTTCTGAAATAGTAGTAGGAAAGTCGTGTGAGTGGACACATCAGGTATTTTCTACTATATCTATTTAATTACTCTGTATTTTTATTCATTTATCTCTGAGGTTCCTTAGCTCACATTTCTGTCTTGCTGTAATATTATAAAAGGACTCGTACTAGAATAAATAAAGTATTATTATTAAATGTATGCACCAAACCAACCAATTTTTAACCTTTTTTTTTTAGGATATTTCGTTGACCTTCAAATAAGCTAATACATAATTTGTCAAAAATTTCACACTTTTTGAGATATTGGCAATTGAAAACTTTTATTTATTGTAACTTTTTTTCCACATTCATTTCAGAGAAATATGTTATATATTTAAATTTAAAGAACTACAAGGATTAGATTTTCCAGTTTTATTAAAATCATTACAGATATTCAGGTGCTATGGTCCATAGTGAGACTTGCTTTATCTTTCACATGTGGGAGAAAGGGCAAAACTTGGAGCTCCCTCGGCTGACTGTAAATATTGTAAATAATGTTTTCCTTTTCCTTATTTGTATATTTTTTTAAATTTGTGATGTATATTTTATTTCATCTGTTTTACTAAGCTGTTTTTCTCTTATTTTTGTTTTATATATATATATACATATATATATATATATATATATATATATATATTTTTTATATTATAGGCTGTGTCAGCGCATCACAGGGGGGCTGCAGAAAGAGTGATTGTCAGCATACAGAGGACATTTCAAGAAATTGGTCTGGCAATAATTCCTCAAAAAAGCATGGGCATCATTCTAAATAAAGGAGAGCTGGAAACTACGGAGCTCTCCCTTGAGAATGGAGAGTACATCCAAACATTGAAGAATGGAGATACCATTAAGTATTTAGGATGTACATTCTCGGGAGAGCTACAATTCAACAAAGATTCAGTGACTAAATTGAATGATAATCTAAACAAGCTGGTAAACTCTTGCTTACTTAAACCTGAGCAGAAACTCAACATTGTCAATCAATATCTGTTGCCGGATCTTACTTACCCTCTCCAAACTGCGCCCCTTACAAAGCTGCATCCTGCCATACTGGAGGGCATCGACAATATGATTCGCAGGAGCGTAAAGGCCATTATTGGACTCCCTGCGAATACTTCCACGGCGATGTTGTATGCCCCCAGGAGATACCGAGGATTGGGATTTATCCACTGCCAATGGGAGGCTCCTCTTAAACATTGGTCAATTGCTCAGCGACTGTCCAATGTACCAGATGCCCTTTTTCAATCCACCTTCCGATTATTCGGCAGAAGTTTCTGGGTGTGCCGAGAGATTGGGGGTTGATCAGGGTCATCGAAATGTGAAAGCTCTACGGCAGTCGCTACGAGAAAATGCATTTGAGGAATGGGCCAACTGCAGGTGGCAGGGTATTGGTGTTCGCCATTTTAAAGAGACCCCGAAAGCAAACAGATACATCTACGAAAAGCAAGTACTTTCTGGGTCTGAATGGTCGAATGCCCTAAAACTAAACATTAATTATGCAACCCTGCGTGGAGTCCCAGGTGTCAGCGGACAGGTCAGAGAAGTTGGGTCCCAGGTGTCAGCGGACAGGTCAGAGAAGTTGGGTCCCTCTACCGTAAATGCGGCAGAGAGTCTGAAACACCAGCCCATGTGCTGGGAAAATGCTCCAACAACTCCCTCCTCATAACACGTCGTCACTACCAGGTCAAGTTCGAGGCTCCTCAGGGAAAGGAAATTCCCCTGCTTTGATGAGGTATATTGCATCGATAGTGAAGGCTCTACGAGATACACGGATATCGTCACATTTCCCAAGACAGGAAGGACAGCACTGATCTTGGATCCAACTGTCCGCTTTGAGAGCAATGACCTCGATCAGGCGGGTGAAGTGGAAAGGGAAAAGAAGAACACGTACGATAAATGTATCCCTTTCCTAAAAGAGAAATTCCGTGAGACCTTTGGAGAGAGAGAGTTCACCGTGAGAGGCCTCTGGTTATGGTCTCGCGGAACAATTCCAAAAAGAACAAGGAGCTTCCTCGAGGAACTAGGTGTCAACATTAAGGACGTAGCAAGGTTGGCTGAAAATATAGTCCTCGACTCCCTGGGAATCATTCACCACCACGTGCATGGCTAGGCTGGCCAAAAAAAAAACCCATAATGGTTTTAATTTTTAAACAAAAGATTGTATGGTGGTAATGCTTAGTTCCTATGATCAACCTTCAGTAAGCTCTAATATGGATAAAAAATCTCAAAAAAAAAATCGGCCAGTAGTCTCGGAGAAAAGCCTCTGAGTCAGATTTTTTAAAATTTTAATTCTTTTCTTTTTTGAAATTAAACCTCAAATTGGGCTTGTTAACTTTATTTTTTCTTGGTCAATTAAAAAAGTTCATTACTGAAAATAATAAACAAAAATATAACCAAATTTTTGTCAATGTGTTCTCCAGGTGAAATTGCTCCAATTGTTCACTAGGCTAAACTGTTCCCATTTAAAGAAGATATAAAAATAGTTTTTAAAAGAAATTATAAATAAAATAAAGCTATGACAGCAATTGTCACAACCACTTCCATCATGTAAACTGGGAGACAGAATGACATTTAATAAATAGAGCATATTGAACTCACTTTATATTTTTTATTTGCAAATATCAAGCAAATAACATTGTGTTTTATATAATCCTTTTTCATCCAAGTAATTAAAAATTAGTTGGTAATTTTTAAAAATAATATTGTTTTTAAACTACAATAATATAAATAATCAAATCTATAAAAATATGAATGTATACACTGTTATTTACCTCTTGATTATTAAATATAACTTTCAGGTCATTGAGGAGAGCTACTTTAATTCGCATTGGAAGGGAACAATCAAAAATGTACTTTGTAAAAGCTTCGTCAAAGACCTACAATTCAACATTTTTAATGATAAATACAATATTTTTTCACAAAATTAAATTATTTAATTATTTTTGCTAAATATCAATTTCTTATAATGATTAAAATTTAAATGAAAACTATTAAAAATATATATATGAATTATATAATTTAGGCTTATCTGTATCTTTTAGAAGGGACAGAGTAACTTAGTGAGTAAGGCTCTATAATCCTATTCCCGGGTTAGAGTCCAGCTATGGCAGGTAATTATTTATATGTTACATCAGCAGTGGATCAACTCAGGGATCAGGAAATCATACTAGGGTACACCATGCTTCTATAAAGTGGGTCTTCATCTTCTTAATTAAATAATTAGAGAAATAATAGCAAAAGTTCTATTTCAAATGTCATGGTATGTTAAAAGGGCAGAGTTCTACTTAATAAAAAACATTGTTAAGATTTGATATCATTACTCATATTAAAGAAAAAGAAAATTATTCTGCCAATGAAATGATGGTGAAAGTCAAATATTTTCTTTAAAAAAATAAAATAAATACCTGTATCACTCAACCCATGAAGGGTCTTGGGTTCAATACAATGTAAGGTAGTACGTTTTCATAGCAAACACTGTTATGCAAGGAGGTGATTTGACCAAAATCAAGCTCACGGCCAGGTTTTCCCCCTTAATTAACTTTATATAGGTTGGGTGTGCCCTAGGAGGATTGATCCATAGCTGATGTAACAGATTAAATAATTACCTACCATCAGCTGGATTCAAACCCGGGATCTTAAGCTTTGGAAGTAAGTGTTCTACCCATTGAGCTAACCCACTCCTTCTTAAAAAATAAATATTATATTAATATAATAAAGCAACAATAAATATGAACCCTTACTTCTTCATATTCTTGTGCAATTTTTATCTGCAATGATATAGTAAATTCTTTGTAACCAGGGGGATATAGGGTCTTTATATACCTGCATATCAACTGAATGTGCTCAGGAGTGTTGGGAGTAATTGGCAATAATAGCTTGAATCCTTTTAACATTTTATCTGAAAAAATAAAGCATGTTATAAAAACATCAAGGAAAACATCTAAACATAAATATTAGTACGAGATACAGACCAGTCAAATTTTTCAAAAAATTGAGAATGATTAAAAAAAATGAGGATAGTTGTGATGTTTCCTGAACTGGTGAAATGTTGAAAAATCCAAGTTTTCCAATAAATCTTACGACCAGAAATTTATATTTATAAATTTATTCATACATGTTAATAAATTGACAGAATCTCTGAAAATGTATAAAGCAGAATGTTACCTGAATTAGAAGCATTTTTTTTTTTTTTTTCGATGTACCTCTGGCATGATCAATTTCATTTAAAAGTTCAGTCTTTGTGGCTTTAATACTTGAAAAAATATAAATTCCTGGCAAAATAGGATTTTTTCTGAATTCTTAAAGCAAAAAAAAAACAACTGAAGTATGTGCTTTAGACCACAAGATAGAAGTGAAAAGCGATTAATAACATTAAATGTAAATTATAAATAATAGCCCGTTACAGAGAGGATGAAATGCTGAATAATTCCCTTGCTTGTAGTATGCAGGTACGATTTTTCGTTTCCGAGACATTTTTATCCATATCTTCAATAAAACTTATTATTAATTGGTTTCCAACATTCTTCTTCCTTTTTCGATTCTTTCTAACATGGCATCGCGTTAAGATACAATTTTGAATAATAGCTCATTACAAGGAGGATGAAATGATAAACATTTCTCTAGCTAACAATATGTAGTTCTCCAGCCGACTTTACCCGAGCATTACAGCTCTATTCTTACCACTATATTTTAACACTTATTATCATTGTAAATATGCATCAGGAAAATTCAGGAGTTTTTGTGTTTTTTTGTAATAACCTAATTTTCATCAAAATTGAATTAAATTTTAAAAAATTGAGTAATAACCACATAGAAGAATATAGTGGTCAGTCAAACATAATTCGAAACATCAATTTTGCTTTCTTGAGTAATCTAATTGTTCTTTTTCCCATAATACTTATATTTGACATGAGGCTAAGTGGACCTCATTTAAAAACTAATCTGTGATCTTAAAAACAAATTCTTAAGTGAGATAATTCATTGTTAGAAATTTCATTTTACCTCCATGGATGATCAAAGGCTTAGTATAGTGAGATAATAAATCATGAAGCTTATCCACATTTACAATGATGAAATAGGTCGCAGAATTGATAACAAGATGATATTTGGAAGGAAGAGAATAGAAAACTCGGCACACTTGCACCCTAAGAAAAGTTTTATCGTTAATATATTTTATTTTATATTTATATTTTATCAAGTTAATATTAAAATTGTAGCTTGATAAAAGACATACCCAGGTCCAAGTTGAAGAAGGCATGTCTTAGTGCCAACTGTTCGGACTCCAAGAAGTAAAGGTCCAAACGCAACTGATTTCCAGTTATACTTTTCACATATTAAATAACCATATTTCATTTCACTTTCATGAACAATTGATAAAGTGAAGTAAATGTTTTTACAGAAAGGAGTATCACTAACTAAATTAATAGTAAAGGAAAAATGAATTTTAAATTATCAATTACAATAATCATATTAATTCACATATTAATAACAATAAAGGAAATCATAAGTACATTAGCAATATTGAAAATACAGGATAGTGAGAACTCAAACTATTGTAAAAGGATACGGAGAAAAAAAATTGTGTTCTGTTACTAAATAAATTTTAAGAAGAGAATTAAAATTAAAATATTTAACTTTTATTTTACTAATTCAATTTTTAAAATTTATTTGTTATCAGATAACATATTTTTATTTCCATATCCTTTTACAATAATTTTGGTTGTTTATCTTGTCTTTTCTCAGCCCTGATGAAGGCCTACAACTTGAGCCGAAATGTCGGCATAAAGAAAATAAAAATCTTTTATTTTTATTGGTATTCTGATTTCAAACCTAAAAACAGTTTTCCAACAATATTGTCTACAGCCAACAATTTCTTCACCATTATATTTTTTATTTTACTTATTTGGAGGATATCACATATTTTTGTGGACACTAAGTCTATAAAGAAAATTAATATTGTTAATTTTCAAAAATTAAGAAAAACAGAAAGTTTTTATATTGAAATTAATTATGAGAAGTTGGTCGGGGAGGGGAGAGGAGAGGGGGTGCGGTCAAATGAATACTATATATCAAAATAGTATTTTATTGTTTATGCTGAGGTTTCAATCCACTTAGTAGGTCTTCATCAGTGCGTGGTATCAGGCACTGCAGGAAGCAGTTTGTAGACCTTTTATGTCTACCAATGTCTCATCCCCCGACCAATTCCTTCTCATATTATCATCACGGTCATTCATTTCTACACTATTAAGAAATTAATTATACTAACAAGAAATTCGTAGAATCATGAGATGGAAATGTGCCTCATTTATCTGAACTGAAAATTATAATTAGATTTTTCTTAGGTGTCTAAAGTAAATTTCTCTAACAATTTTCATTTTGCCATTTGAAATATATCACATTCCATGTCGAGATATGTTCTTGGGCATTAATTTTGTTTGGTGAAGAGGTACCCATACCCCCACCCACAAGGTCGATGGCGCATGAACCTCAACCTCTTTCAAGATATTTCATTGCTCTCTTATTCTTAAAACAAGTGCAAGTGAAAGTAGAATTTAAAAAATTGTAGATCATGTTGAGATACTCTACCTGCGGTCTGTTCCATGTTTTTCTATTGTCTCCTGATTTAAAACTTTTCATTCCAAAATTCCCCCCCCTCGAAATTCTGGCCAAATGTGCTCCCCTTAAAAAATGTTGATGGCCCAATCATCTTCTGGACACCTGTTGTATACAAAGATGTTTTGCTTAGTGACAGTCAGCGGCCGTTTGGGGTTGACCACTGCTTTAGTGGAATAGAAAGGAACCTATTTCGCTGGTGCTGCTCGGCAGTCTAGGTATGACGTCATATCTAAGCTGCTTCTACTTGACCACTCCTGAAGCAGTGGAGGTGTTGGCGGATGAGCGGTTCTAGGTTATGTTATCATATCAGAGCATTGTTTTCATGATAAAAGTCTCGTTCATGCGTTTTATTTCCTATGTTTCTTTCAATTCTGGCAAAATTATAAGAAATATTGTTTAAAACTTAAACAACACAATAGTAAATTATTTATTTAAGGTTGAAGTAACAAGATTATTTATTTATTTATTTCACCAACAGTATTTTACAGTAAAATTCAAATATACCTAAATTTAAATTATATTAAATAAATCAAAATATAAAATATTAGAGAATAAAAAAGCAGTAATAAGAGATAGTAAGTCCATTTTTTTATCTTCGAAGATAGAACGAAATGTCTGAAGATTATAGGTAGGTTATAACAACCCCAGTGAGTAGTTTCAGCGAAATAGCTTCGCAACAGCGGTTGGCAGCCTGAAATAGCGGTCGCTGTCATGAGCAGCATCAGCGAAATAGTACCTTCAAGAAGCAATTAAATATAATTCAGTTATGGCACGCTTTTGATAGACGTGAAATAGAAAAATCATATTTATTCTGAGACAAGCCCCTTAAGGATAACAACATTGATTGTTCATGCAAATTAACAACAAATCTGGACGAAATGTTTCTTTCTATAAATTAAATAATAAATATTTAAAAGAGTCTTAGAAAAATTATATGAACTATAATTACTATAAATTACCAAAAAAGTTCAAACAAACCAACCAGAAGTATCAATTAATCTATTTAATGTTTACTCACTTATTAAAATCTAAAAATATTGTAATTTATTGCAAAGGATACATAAATAAAAAAAGCGACAAGTCTCATGAGGTAACAAGTCAGATTTCGATCCAACTTCAGATTCAAGATCCACTAATTTTTGTGACTTGACCGCTCCAAGATCAGTAAGTTGCTTCCCAAACTTGGACTTTTTTGGTAATTTTGGTGGATTAGCGACAACCAATTCTGGTTTTTCGCTGAATTTATCAACAACTGTTTCTATATCAGTTAAGCTGATAGATTTATTAAAGTCTTGGCATTTATAATAAATTATAAGTTCTCTGAAAATACAAGGAAAAATGAAAGTTAAAAACAATGCAAATTTGTTAACAAGAAAGTAATATAATACATCAACTAAAAATCAATATTGTATAGATGAGCATAATTTACTAACTATAATATCATTATAGCAAAAACCTATTTGTTTTGCCTAAGATGATATATATATATTTTTTTTTTTTATATATCCTATTTCTGACATACAGAGAGATTGTTCTAGAGGTACAATCAAGCCTATTCTAACCAGAGTGAGAAGGTTAAAATTCATTCAGATGGGTCTTCCACAAAATAAATTTCAATCTGCCCAGGTCAGATTTGAATCAGAACAGCTAGACTCGAGAATGTTAAAGATTCCAACCCTTTAACACACTCAGCCACAACAGCCTAAATGAGACAGTAACTGTAATTATATCAATAATACCTCAGATAAGGATATATTTCGGCAAAGTTGAATTCCAAGGTGTCTTCAATCGTTTGAATATTATCCTGACTAACTGGGACTTGTGCTTGGGCTTGAAGCATTAAATCAAATAAATTTCCATGACCAGTAGCAGAATCGGAGAAATGACCCTGGTATGCAAAAATTCATTAACTAAATTATTTTCATAATTTATAGAACAAAAAAAAACTATTTTATTGAGAAAATTCTTTCCTTTCCGAAAAAAATATCAACCATTTTATATTTATTTAAGAATTTTATTCAAAAACTCAAAATATTTCCCAGCTCAAACCTATAAAATCTAATGCAGTTACAGGCTATAAATGCAGTAATCCTTTGCTGTTCATTGACCGCACAAGAAACAGTACTGGCTGGAGGCCATGAAAAAAGGTATAGGTTAAATAATTTATTAATTTCTTTAAAGGTTGCAAATGTTGTGAAAGAAACTACAGAAAGTTATAAAATGACTTATAGTGTTAAAAAAATTGTAATGTTCATAAAGAAAAATGTGTGCTATAAGATACAGATCGATGGTAATATGCCTAAGGAGGGATTAAATAAGTAACTAGGATATATAAGGCACAGAAATACAAAATCAGTCAACTCTAATTTCAATTTTTTTGTCAATTTTGGAGCTAGATTTTTATTCAAAACAATAAAACCATGTGTGATTCAACTGTTTCATAATTTATTATCAAAACGTTTTAAAAAATAGAGTTTGCTAGTTTTACAGTTCTACACATCATCGTCACCTGTCTTGTCTATTCTGACCCTAGAAAAATGCAGTATATATGTCAAATTTCCAAAACTTATGAAATTTTAAAAATTACCTTGCTTTGCTTGGAAAATTTCTGAATTTACCTACCTTGTGGATTTGTAATTATTTATTAAATTTTAAATCCAAATACTGAGCGATCTCACCATCTCATAACTAATGAACTCTCTACAAAAACAAAAGGTCTATTTTACAACAATACCACTAGTAATTTTATCTTATAGATCCAAATCCTCGGCACTTTTTTATTATTATTATTATTTATTTCCTCTCCCTCATTTGACTTTTGAAAACACGGAGTTTCAATTTTTATTGCATGAAACAGTAAAATTATTATTTTTTTTTTTCCTTTTCACATTATTTTAATTCAAAGTCTATTCATAGAATCCATCTTTGGATTCAAAGCAGTCAGTCATCATCATCACTTTAAGCTTTCCGGAACATTTCCGATGATGAAGGGTTGCTGTGTTTCTAGAATTCCCTTAAAGTCATCATGGGCTAAGCCCATTGTTTCCTTCTTACCATACACAGAAGACGACGTAGTACAGAAAGTTCTCTTCAGTGATGAGTAAAAGAAAATTATGTTCATCTAAGCTGCAATGGCTTATTATTATATTATTGACCAGTCCTGGTTAACAAATATTATCATATCTTAAAACAAAGCACTTATCTGTTATTTTCAGATAGTAACATGTTTAAAAATAAAAAATACGATATTAGGAAAAACCAACAGGATGATATTTTATATTTTATATATATTAAATTATCTGAATAAACTGATTAAAATACCCCTAATGCAGCAACTGGTTCAGGTTCTCTTGTATGGCGTAAATTTATTACATCTGAAAATGGCGAGAAAATTCCAATAATCCGCAAGTAAGATCCAGGTTTGGCTAAAAATAAAAATTGAAAAAAATTATTAAAAACTTTTATTTTATTTTTGAGTAATTAAATATAATACATAAGATATACACATTAATCTAAGGAAAAAAAATAACAGTGTTAAAGTTGTGAAGTTTCTTTTCTTTGAAGATTTATTAAATTGAAGTTTTCTGAATGAGTTAATATTATTTGCATCTTGCAATTTTTAAAATTATAATCATTCAGCATTATAATTTCAAAAAGCCATATAGATGGATAAATTATATAATACATAAATCAAACTAAAAAAAGTTTAAATGGTAGATGTAAGAAGTATAAGCAACATTCAAAACTTCAATGAATAACAATCATTTTTGCCTAATGATTTAAATAAAAATATATAAAAAATATATTCCAAATCACCTTATTATTAACTCGCGGCACACCGAAATTTGAAGCCGTACTGCTGTACAAGTGTCGCTTCACTTTGAGGAGTTGGCCATAATCTCTTGATCACACTGTAGATGGGCTTCCAATTTCAAAGAACGGCTGAGCATTTACAATTGTTCACAGTATAACCTCCCTTTATTTATATCACAATTTACAACTTCATAAAACTCTTAAGTGATCCTTGTCAGTTGAAATTGGGGCCTTTAAAGTTGAATTATAGTCTTACTCTTTACTTCTGCTGTGCTCGCTCACAAGGGATAAAATAGAACCCAATAGGTTCTATTTTGTTGGGTCCAGGTCATTTTCCAATTATCCCTTATTTTTTTAACTTACTGCCATATACATAGCACAATTCTTTCATAACATTCAGTCTCAATTATAATAAACGAAAATAACCAAGAGAAAACTTACCATTAATGACATTTTTTTCAATAGCCCAGTTAACCCAGCGCAGGTTTTTCCAAACAGGCACCTCCTCTTTGCCAGAGATAAGCTGTTTATGGGCATAACACAAATATATTAAATGTTCCTGAGCTGGAGATATGTCTTTGATCTCATTCTAAAAAATAAATTACACCATATTAGATCAGAAAATAATTTTTTAAAATCTCAAGTGATAATTTAAAAAGATTTTGCTCTTAAAACTTTGTTTCCAAAGCATAGGATATAACAAGGATGACATATTTTGATAATAAACATCAATAATACACAGTTTTGATTAAACAGAAGTTTATAATGACATTTCATGCTTGTTTCTACTTCAAAACATTTAAAAAATCAGGACTTAATGTGTAAAAATGTAAAATATTTTTTATTATACGATAGTTTTTCCAAATGATTGTCCCATTTCAAATTATAACAATAAAACTTGTTTAACTTACATGAATATACAAAATACTTCAAGAAATCTTTAAAAAGAGGTAACGGAAACATACTTTGTAGGAAATCGAACAACGCACTCAATGACAAAGAACAAGAGAAGAGTTTGGATAAGGCAGATTGACAAAATGTTCTTAGATGGAACTTAATAAAGAGTTTGAAAGAGTTTTTGTATTATAATAATATCTTACCATCTACTACATTTCCTGAAAGATGGTTTGAATAAAAGTTTATATTGCTGAGTGATGAAGCTATGTAAAGATGGATACGTTTAGACATTTCACGAACGATGAAAAACACTATTATCTAACTTAATTAACAGCGACATTATCGCTAAACCAAACTATTTATTTTATTTCTCTTGATACCGACAGCAGATGGAAAATATTAACAATAAGAAACAAAAAATAATAGGAAGGTGAAATAATCATTTATATATTTGTTCCCTAGTTTGCTAAATTTGACCGGGTATGGCACTCCGGCCTGCTCTTCAAGCTTAAAATCCATTTACCTTAGTCCTTGTAAATAGTCCTCCGATCCTACCTCTCTGACCGCTCTTTTCGAGTTCGCTCTGGAACAGAATTTTCCAATATCTCCTCCGTTAAAGCCGGTGTTCCCCAAGGCAGCGTCTTGGGTCCCGTGCTTTACATCCTCTTTACTGCTGTCATCCCTGTTCATCCCGATACTTTCCTTGCAACATTCGCTGACGACACCGCAATCTTATCATCCAACTCTGATCCCAACATAGCATCCTTAAATCTCCAAAGCCACCTCACCTTGATTGAGCACTGGTGTAATAACTGGCGCATTAAAGTTAATTAATCTAAATGCCAACATATTACCTTTACACTCCGACGCAGTTCCTGTCCACGAGTACACTTTTATTCCATCCAGCTTCCTTACGCAGACACAGTCCGGTATCTTGGCTTTCATTTAGACCGAAGACTAACGTGGAACCCACATACTAGACTCAAAAGACAAGAACTCAACCGACGATACTGCCAGCTATACAGACTACTAAACAGAAAATCCAAACTTTCTATTGAAAACAAATTACTTATCTACAAGACAATACTGAAACCTATATGGACATACGGACTTGAACTGTGGGGGGGGGTGCAGCAAAAGCTTCTAACATCAAACGTATTCAATCCTTTCAATCTAAAGTCCTTCGAACAATAGTTGATGCTCCGTTCTATGTAACTAACAAAATCCTACACCATGACCTTAATATCCCATTTGTCCTAGACCTTATTCCAGAAAAATTCTCCAAATTTCACCAGAACCTTACCTATCATCCAAATCCCCTAGCACAATCTCTATCCAGCACCACCCATCCTTACAATCCTCCTCGAAGGTTGAAGCGGCAGTGACCCAGAGACCTTCTGTAAATAAGCATCTATTGGAGTTTTGGCAATGGCCAGATCCTCCACTCAAGCCCGAGTGTGTATGATTAGGTTAGTTCTTTTGTTTATATAAATTTATTTTATTTATTATTATTAAGTTTCTGTATTATTTATTTTTATTATTGTAAATAGAGTATGAGTGTGCTCTCTGAACACTATTATAAATGTCCTTGATGTGACAGAATGTAATATTTTTAAATAAACAAATATAAGTTTGCTAAATGTCTGAACGCACTTTAACAGATTTCAGCATTAAGGGATCAAGGATTTAATTTTTTCTTTGAAAGGATTTTTTTAAACTCTAGAACACTAGCGAATCCAGGATTTAATTTTGGGGGGCTTCAGCTCGAAAGATTTTTTTTTTCATATATATAACGATAATTAATTTGAAAAAAAGAAAAATAAATTAACTCCATACATGAAATGGTGTTTAAGCGATTCTTGAAGTCCTATTAAATGTGATTACACGAACAATGAATAATACTATAAGAGATAGTTTTTAATATTTTTTCTATAAAACATGGTTATATTTTACCATTTTGGGGCCCGAAAGCACCGAAAGCCCGAAAGCACCTCCCCGTAGATCCGCTCGCGCTCTGTAAGAAAAATAAAAACCTACCTATACGAAATGATATTTAAGATGTTTACATTTAGTTGCTTTTACATTTATTATAAGTTAAAAAGAGAACATGTTGTATTGTTTAAGTATTTATCTGTTTTTTTTTTTTTTTTTCATTTCCACCCATTTCTCGCCTGTTAGGCTATACGGGAATATTCTCAGGCTAGGGGAGAAGGCGGAGATTAGTACCACAGTTAAAAAGCCTCCTTGACACCGGGACGCGAGCTCGTAATTATTTAGTACCTTGTAACTTCGGTTCATCGCGTGTTTTGTTCACGCTTTAACTCGCTCGGTCACACTACCCCTTAAGTATTTAGCTTAAATTGCTCACTTAAACAAACTTTGACGGACCAATTAAAAAAAACAAAACATTATTTTCCAATTTTGTGGTGCTTAAGCACAGTAGCCTCTACCCGTACATAGATCCGCCAGTGCTGGAAGAATTTAAAACATATTACGAAGAAACAAATATATCTTATATAGTGTATAAAAGTATCTTATACGTCTAACATAATATATAATATTGCTGAAGTATATTTATTTACACCTGCAATCCATCCAGTGAGACAAGTTATGGCACTGAACTCGATCATATTATCTTCCTTAGTCCAAGTTAAAGAAGCAATTCTCAGAAGACCTTTACTTATGTTTTATGAAATTTTGACAATTTTGAGGCGGTAATTAGGTGAAAGATGAATCCACAATCAAAAGAAAATAAATTTTCCTTAAATTTATTCTTTAATATTTTCTATCATTACTACCGGGACTGATTATTAACGTTACAGAACTAAGATCCTTGGCTCTTGAAATGGTTGCTGAATGTTATCCAAGCCCTCCGTGGATTCGTGTGTACACCGATGTGTCTGCCGAACTATCAACACACGATAGAAGAGTAGGTGCATACTCATAACTGTTTGTTATTTTAAAAGCTGTTGGGAAATAGGCCTCAAATTTTGACAGCGAAATAAGAGCAATTTAATTGGCCCTGCAAGCCTTGTCACACTTGGAAGCTAAAAATATCGCATTGTTTGTGGATTCAAAGGCAGATATTCTATCTGTATGACAGCCTAATGACTCCTTTGCTTAGGATATTCTGAAGTGCCAAAAGATCATAGAGGAACTAACTTTTCAAGGAACAGAGTTTTCTTTCAATGTATTCCAAGTCATAGTGGTCTCCATGGCAAAGAAATGGCTGATAAACTCGCCAAGGAAGGCTAGACATTGAACCAGCCATAAAATGGAATATCATATCATAGAGTCAAAAAAGAAATAAATAAGGCAAGTGAGGCTCTACTACTGTAAAATCAACGGAGGAAATGGCTTAATGAAGCGGATCGAGTTACCTTGAACCTGCCGAAAAAGGAAGCTGTGGCAGAGTTCCGGATGATAACAGGCCACGACTACCTTAGCAAGCAGCTACACAGAATAAGAGTTTCAGACTCTCCAAATTACAATCTATGTAATTCGGAAGCACATATGACCGCAGCGCACCAAGGTGTATGCTCGCGATTGTTGAACATAAGGTATACCACGTCGTCCAAATCGTAATGGTACTGGTCTGCAAGATCTCTGAAGGTGGAAGCCGATTAAGAAAGACATAATTTAAAAAAATAATAATGAAGTAAATGTTAAACTTACAATGAAGCACATTTATAGACATCAGTATTTAATTAACCTAAGTTATGATTTGAGTTAAATAATGTTACCACATACTGTTGTCTTATCAAGAACACCAAAAACCATCTTACTAGAATAGTTCCCACAGCCACAATCATTTTTATTGTTAAGGCAAGTGGTTGTATCGCAAGTTAGGCAAAATCCAGGGCTCTTTTCAGGCTGCTTAGGCTTCTGAAAGAGATTTAGTTTGATTGCCTTCCAAATTTTATCTATTGACACATACCTAGTGAAAAAAAAAAGTTCGTTAGGAAAATTTCGTTGGTATAATTTAAAAATACATCTGACATTTTCTCTACATTGAAAACAACGTGAAAATTCTAAAAGTTTTTACTTGTGTGATAAAAATTTTATTTGGAAAAACAAAATTATTATAGATAGGAAGAGAAATAAAGAAAAATAAAAGGTCATAGATTAAGCACACAGCAGGGGGAATTGAAATTAACCCAATGAGACAAATTATTTATTCCTCATTTCAGTTAAGAGTCTTTTATACGGTCAGTATAATCGAATCATTATTATTGAAGAACTATAATTGAAGATAAAATAAAGAAAGGACTCCTGAAACGTGAATAATATTATGCTATTATGTTAGTTTGTACGGTATGTTAAGTTCATTTTGTTTCCAAATATGAAATTTGGTTATATTCTTGTTTCCATATTAAGACGTCTAAACATAAAAATGAATTATCTAAATTTATTTTAAATTATCTAATCCAAATATATAATTTATCAAAAAAGAGAAAAAAAAAACAAAAGAAGTTTGTCATTGATAAAAGGACTAACGTCAAAAATTGGTCTACTTTCTTTGTAGCTTTACGCATTTCAGTATAAATAAAAATATAAATTCAACACAATAAAAATAAATAAATGTAGTGGTGGGACACCGGAAAGGGTATTTATAAGTTTTATAAAAGTTGTTTATGTGTTTCAAAAGTTTGATTATAACCATTTTTTAAATACAATTGTACTTAACATTAAACTGGTTAAAGCAAAATTAATTCAGTGACATAGAAATATAGTTAACTGAATTATCATAAGTAGTCTTTAGCAATAACACACACAAGACCTAATTTGAACAGTAAATAAAATTTAGAATTTTACTAGTACACTTTTTAGGTCACCAACTATTTATATAAAGGATACTATATTAAATTTAAAAATAAATTTTGAAAGTTGTTATTATCCTATTAGATCGGTGAACTTTACCCTTCGTCGTAAACCTATGTCCTCTTGTCCTACAGTATCCTTTAATAATACCCCACTTATCCCTGTTGAACAAATTCGATACCTTGGACTCCACTTAGACAAACGTCTAACTTGGAATCCTCATACCAGACTGAAACGACAAGAAACAGCTCGACGTTTCCGACTACTCCAGCACTTACTAGACAAACGCTCTAAGCTACCAGTCAATTACAAAAGACTCATATACATGACTACAATAAGACCTATTTGGACTTACGGAATTGAGCTCTGGGGCTCCACTAAGCCATCGAATTCCTCTCGTATCCAATCCTTACAATCCAAAATCCTTCGTAAAATCGTCACAGCTCCTTACTTCGTCACAAACAAAATCATCCATAACGACCTTAATGTTCCGTATGTTTCTGACCTGGCCCAATCCAGATACCTTTCCTTCCATAACAAACTTCACAACCATCCTAACCCTCTCGCTTCTAACCTTGCTTCCTTTTCGATCCCGGACAACCCTCCGAGGCGTCTGAAAAGAAGATGGCCTCGAGATCTCCTTTTGTAAATACATTTTTAGAGTGCTACCAGTAGTTTCTCAACAAATGATTTCATGCTTTTATATTCTTTTGTTCACATTTACTGAATGTATTTTTACTTGTAATACAGTTGTAAATATCATCAATAAATAAAAAATAAAATAAAAAAAGATCGGTGAACGGTGACCAACATTGTTTCGTTCGGAAACTATTAAAGCTAGAAACATCGCTAAAATATAGTTGTATATTAACACTAAAGTTCCTAAAGATCCTTAGAAAATATATAATATTTAACAGTCGAGAAAATAGAAATCAATATATTTATATATCTTATATACTGCATAAGATATAATATTGCTGAAGTATATTTATTTACACCTGCAATCCAACTTATACTCAATCCATCCAGTGAGACAAGTTATGACACTGAAATCGATCATATCATCTTCCTTAGTCCAGGTTAAAGAAGCAATTCTCAGAAGAGCTTTACTTAAGATCGGAAGCCACAGATCACATTTGGATTGAGAGATTGGAAGCAGAAGATTTTTTCCTTCATCGTATGGTAAATAATCGTCAACAGTCACTCTCCTCCACTTGCCCTGTGAAATATAAAACTCTATAATCTAGGTTGCCATAGCAAAAAACTTAAACCTTATCTCTCCTTTCCTAAGTTTTTATGTAATGTAGACAAACGACTCACTTGGAACCCCAATACCATACTGAAACGACTAGAAACCGCTCGACGTTTTCGACTACTCCAGCACTTACTAGACCAACCATCTAAGGTTTCAATCAATTATAAACGACTCATATATATGACAATAATAAGACCTATTTGGACTTACGGAATTGAGCTTTGGGGCTCCACTAAACCATCGAATTCCTCTCGTATCCAATCCTAATAATTCAAAATCCTTCGTAAGATCCTCAGCGCTCCTTACTTTGTCACAAATAAAATCATCCATAAAGACCTTAATGTTCTATATGTTTCCGATTTGGCTCAATCCAGATACCTGTCCTTCCATAACAAACTGCAGAACCATCCGAATCCTCTCGTTTCAAACCTTGCTTCATCCTCGATCCCTGATAACCCTCTGAGGCGTCTGAAAAGAAGATGGCCTCGGGATCTTCTAATATAGAACTTTAATTTGAGTTCTACGAATGGGTAGTTTCTCTTCATGTTGTACATGTCATGTTACCAATTTCATATTTATTTATTGTATTTTCTATGTAATATAGTTGTAAATTCCATTAAAATAATATATATATATATAATGTGCCGACTGGTAAGCATCCTATGGAGGGGGCGAAGCGAAAGTTGCAGAATCTCGTTAAAGCTTATTTAAAATTAAATTAAAGCTGGGGTTGGATGGTGGAAAGTATGTTGAAAGCGATTGGTGGTATCGAACTTTCGGGTTCGCTAAGCCTTTTATTGTTATGATTATTCAAATAAACTGCAGTTTATCAAGTCTCATTTCCCATGTGGTACGGTAATATTTTTCGCTCATTTGAAACGAATGGTATAAGAACTGGATTCAAGCCATAGTTCATTCACTCTTTCGAGTCTTATCAGTGCAGTGTGCTTTTACGTGGTCACAATCATGTTCAAAGAAGCAAAATAGATTTAAACTTAAAGCTGTTCAGCTCTCGTTTGAGCGCTGTTGCGTTCTTGGTGTATTTTGGTTTTATTTAAATTAGACATCTATTTAGACATCTAGTTTAAAATTTTTGAAAAGGCTGTCGCTAATTTTATGATTTCATTTCTCCAAGTGTGACCTGTTCTTTAGGATAAAACTATCGAAAAATACAGGCACAAATCAAACATTTAAAGCTTGAAAAAAGTTAGTAATGAATTAAATAAAATTAAAAAAATGCAAGAAGGGTTAATAAGAATAATGGTAATATTATGTAAAAATTAATTGCATTCGGAAGTAGTTAGAAAACAAATTCATCTCTTTTTAATTTTTCAAAAATTGTGTCAAAAAATCCACATTGTTTTTTCTCTAAAAGGAGATCCAATGAAGTTCTCATAGAGTAAGCAAAAGAGATAGCATAGAAAAAAAGGAAAGCTTAGGAGAACAAAAGGGGACGTTAAGACATCTCAACGGAGTCGATTTTTCTTTCAACGAGTAATTGAAAAGTGATCTTCGTTTAAACCAAGAGCCACTTTACGCAAAGGTGAATCTGATGAATTTCTGACAGAGGAGGATAACAGATTTAGAAGATGGGTATATATTAAGAGGGCGCTTCAACAAAAACAAGATGAAGATGTGGCAAGAAGCGATGGCTTCTCAAATAATGTTGATTTAACTGATGATAATGAAGTTGAAGCATTAATCATGAATAAATCCATTGGCATAAATATTCCGGTGAAGCCTATACCAATAATTGTTAGAGGCTCTGATAATGATGAAGTCACCAATCACTTAGCAATTCCCTACCAATGGTTTTTAAACAATGTTCTCAGTAGACTGACGAATTGTGTGTTTTTCGATTTTCATATATCAAAACCGATCTGATTACAATAATATTAAATATTAACTGGTATATTATGATATTTTAGCAGTTCCTCACCATGTAGAATAGACGAACGTAGTACATGCCTTGAGGATTAAATCTAGGCGAAGACGGACGACCCTTTGCTATTTTACTGACTGCATATATATGATGCCATGGTTTCCACTCACTCGTTCCTGGAGTATTAGGATAATAGTTCTTCCCATCCGTTGGATTTTGTCTCCCAACTTTCTCCAAACACATCATAGCGGATATAATCTGTCTCATTATCTGAAATGCAGAAATAAGAAGAACATCATGCAGATAACCATTGTTGATTTGCACTTAGTTACTGTTAGGTGATGATGTTTTGCAACCAGGTACAAAGAATGATGTGCGAGTTAACCTATTTCATTTATGATTAAGATAAAGATACTCTTCCAGTATCAACAACACAAATAGTAGGTGTTTATACAATGTTAATTAGCAATAGTATCATATCCTTATTAATTGCCATTAGTATACCACTAACAAAACTCAGGTTGCTGGCAGGCAAAAGTAAGAGAACAAAATATAATAAATAATAATATTTAAAAGCACAATAGTGTTGTAAAAGAGACTATTGATCCATCAGTTTTGGGTGGATATTACTCGATAGGGCAAAAAATTTACCAAAATCGGGTAAAAATGTCCGCTTTGGCAACGCTATAGATGAGTTGTACAAGGCTAAATTACATAGGAATCCTGAGCAATACAGAAATAATGGACAGCAAGCAGGACCGAATTGATAATACAGTTGTAGAATATTTTTTGCATTAGTTTTTCCAATACTTAGGATGAAGTATTAAGCCTTTCTGATGGAATATGCCTCGCCTATCACAACCTCCTTGCTTTAATATCGTGAGGTATCGATTGATCGCTTTCTATAAGCAGAACTTAAAAAGTTTCAGGTATTTCTTTATTAAGATTCGACATTTGGGATCATAGATTATACACGCCTTTTTCAATCTCACTCGGCTTAGTGATAATTTTTCGAAGACGGCTTCTGTTCACAAAATCAAAAGCTGCTTTGAAACCGACAAATAAAGTGTGCACGCTCTGAGCTACTTTCTATCGTTTTATGAGTACTTGTTTTAAGATGAAGATCTGGTTTAGGGAGCTCCTTCCTGTTTTGAATCCAGCTTGAAGGTCGCCTATTATATTTTCGTGAAACGGATATATTCGGCTTAGTAAAGAATTGGCTGTATTTCTTTAGAACATGGACCTAATCTGCCCTATCCAAAATAAAGGTTCCATGTATCAGTGTTGTAATTACAAAGCCATAGCAATTCTTCATATTGCCTATAAGACAGGAGTGCCCAGAAGGATGTTTCTGGGAGGCATATTTTGGCGCGTTTTTTAATATTTGAGGGGGCACATTTCAGGGGATTACGAATTTTCTGAACGAAAAGTTCCATACTAAGGAACAAGAGAAAAACATGAAACAAACCGCAGCAAGTAAATGTATATGACCTACGATTTTTCCAATTCTACCTTCGCCGGCTATGTTTTTAAGAAAACTGAGTAACAAAATGTCTTGGAAGTAGGGAGAGAGATAGGTTCTGCGCCATTGACCTTGGTTCGGATGGACACCTCTGCTACAAGATAATGTGATAACAACTCTTAACTAAATAAAAAAATCTTTGTTTCTGTTGTTAAATACTTACCTGAGCTCACTAGCGGATCCATGATTTCATTTTTTTTTTTTGGGGGGGGGCTTCAGCCCGAATCTTTTTTTTCATAAAAATAACGATAATTACTTTGGAAAAACAGAAAGAAACTAACTACCTATATGAAATAGTGTTTAAGTTATTCCTTAAGTACTTTTAAATGTAATTATACGAACAATAATACTTTAAGAGGTATTTCTTAATTTTTTTTCCCATAAAACATGGTTATATTTTTCCATTTTGGGGAGGGGGCTTCAGCCCGAAAGGCCCCTCCCCCCTGTAGATCCGCCCGTGCTTGAGCTCACAGGTAATATTATTATTACGGGCTACTGTCGAAGTGCTAAATAAAGATAGAGGAGTAAACGAAATGTACGGGCGCATTCCGTTGATTTACGCTACTAACAATCGATATAATCACACAAGAAAAATGTTAATCACCATTAAACATAAATTATCTTATATCTATCATCCAAGTAATTTACCCTAGAGCCTAGTAAATGTCGGTTACTAGGTACGAGATCATATATTTCATGTTCATCACCAATTTTCCAGGGTGCGCTTGCGACTTCGTAAATTTCAAAAGGCCGTCTCCACTTTGCCACACGAAAATAATGAGGTAATGCTCCATGATTAATGGGGTCACAGAAAGATACTTCCCTCTAAAAATAAATTAATATATTTTAAAAATTGACTTTTACTTTATAACTGTGAGATCGTTATTCACACATCAGGAACTTACATACGTAGGAAAAATGAACTAATATAACAGACTAAATTCCATCAATAATCATGTTAATACTTCTAAATTTCATTACAAGGGTGATAAATAGTCAGGAGACAGAAATTTTAAGACTTTTGTGGGTAATCATCAGGACATATGTCTTCAAAGTAATTTCCTCTAATGATGACCCAAATTCTTGTGTTGAAATGTCTGCAACAATTAAAATCTTAAAATTACTGCCTCATAACTATTTATCACTCCTAATATGTAGAACAGCCGATTAACTTCCTTCAATAAATTTCATTACCTAATCTTAAATAATTAGTAAGATTTATTAAATTTAATGAGTAATCTAATTTTATTCTTTCCTGCCAAGCTCTACAGTTCTAAACTCTCGACTCAAAAATTGAATATAAACACAAAACAGGATTTTTTTTTTGTCGATTATCTCATACCTTGTCATTTGTGTCTACGAGCGTTGTTCTAAAAGTACAACCAAACCTATTCTAACCAGAGTTGATATTCATTCCATGGATCTGCCAGGAAATAAATTTCAACTCATCCAAGCCGGATTTGAACCAGTGTCGTTAGACATGAAAATGTTAAAGTTTACGATTTAACACGCGTCGACCATCATGACTTAAAACATAACTATAGGCCTTTTAGTCCGTGGTACAGACCCCTTTTTTTTTATCAAATTATTAACATTCGCCAAAAACTTCATTTCATCGTAACCTACAAATATTTTATTTGCTAAACTGGTCGGAGTAAGTGCGTTTTCAATTTGGAGATCGGTAAGCATGGTTTGTTTAATTGAATACTAAAAACTCATTTACAGACATTTGCTTTCCAATTGAATCTGTAAAACTGTAAGTTAATTTGATCAGATACCCAACTACGAGGATCATTTACGATGGAATGATAGTGGGTATTCTGAGGTACGCATCTCCTGCGTGGTCTCAGAACCTCTCACACCGTCAGAAACGCAGATTGGCAACAATTCACGTACGGCTCTGTTGCGTGTCTCACGAGGCGGTGCAGATCTTTGCAGGAGGGGTACCTCTCGACCTTCTCCTCCGAGAAGACTCGCTGATATTTAAGTTTAAAAAGAGAAGGCTCAGCAGGTCTTCCGGAGAATATCCGGGTGAGGATTGTAGAAGACCCAAGAAAATGGAAAAGGATTATCCGGGAGGATACCATAGATGAGTGGAATCGGCAGTGGGTAACTACCTCGAAAGGAGCAGCTTTAAGAAAATATTTCCCCACCGTCCGAAGTCGCTTGAAAGCTAAGTGGGTTCTCCCGGACTACTGGGTCTCTCAATTCCTTACTGGGCATGGGGGTTTCCGCTCTAAGGTACATAGTTTTGGGAAATACATAGATCCCCAATGCCCCACTTGCGGAGTACCGGAGACGGCTGAGCATGTTATCGTCAACTGCACCGCCTTTGATGGACTAAGGGCCGAAATGATAATAAAAATTGGAGTATATGGCCTCACGGAGGATGAATTTCCCGAGTTAATGACGAGAACAACCCGTATTACAAAGATTTTGTGTACGGGTGGAAAGCTGCTCTGGGGCCCTCCCACTTTTATCTGGGAAGAAGAGGACCTGCTAATGGAAGGCCGCCAGGCTAATATGGTGAAAATAATGAAAAAAAGGAGAGATTTGAAAAAAACAAAACAAAATTGACAATTAATTTGTGATTTAATAGCAGGAATGGCATGCACGTGTGTGATATGGCATCTCTGCAAAATCCCGTGTAGCCGAAAGGCAAGGGAGCCATAAATAAATAAATAAGTTAATTTGATCACAAAATCGAGAAAAAAGGTGGCCTACAATAAATATTGGGCCGTTTGGCATGACCTCCACCAAGTCAAGATATCCAGGTTAAATAATCCAAACGACACAATATTTTTGTAGGCCACTTTTGCCGGCGATTATGTGATCAAATCAGCGTATGATTAAAGTGGGAAGCTAGTAAGTATTAAACTAACTTATTCAATGAGAAAATGTACTATTTCTAAAAATTTTCGTAAATAAAATATTTGCAGTATTAAATACTTAATGGTTGATGGTTGTATATTTTAGAGAAAGGAGATTGTCCAGGGAGGCTGTCATAAAAAGACTATAGTAATGGAAAACTATTTTATTTAAAGAAGAAGTTTTGACCCGACTTGGCAGGTCTTCTTCAGGACTAGAATGAACAAAAGGAGAAATTGTGGAATTTATGTAATATTTAGATTAAAATTATAAACAACATGAATAAACATATTAAAATTATAAACAGTGTAAAAAGAAAGTACATAGAAATATTAATAACAATAAACAAAATATTGTATAATAATAAACAAAGTAATAAGATCCTAAACTGAAGTAAATAAATGGTAACAATTGTTGTAGTTTATTGAAAATAAAGAAAAATTGAATGTAATAAGAAGGATGGATAATACACATAATCATAAATATAATCCTACAGATCATAAGGAAAGAAAAAGGAAAAATAATAAGAAATAATGGACATAGAGGGAGTATGAAGAAAACGAAAAAAATAAAATAAAAATAGAGAATTAAGGGTGTATCCATTCAGAAGCATGGAGTTTAGGTTGAAACTGAGAAAAACATACATGGGGAGAAAGCCCATTGGGAAAATTGTTGACCTGGTTGGGGGATGGGGAGTAAGTAGTAAAAACAAAACAAAAACCAGGAATATTAGATTATCTAAAATTTTAAGATATCGATGGATACAAGAAAAATAAAATATTTATGAACCAACTAATTAAATTACAATAAATATAAAATTAAAATAAAATGAGAGATCATACAATAAGAAAATACTTAAAAATTAAAAAACAATTAAATTAATTAATAAAAAGTTGAAAATAGATGGAAAAAAATGAAAAATAAAATAAATAAATAAACAAGATTGATAAAAAATATAATACAGAAGCTATTTTGACTTATTAGATTTAAAATGTGTCTATATGTCAAACAAATGCAGTTTTTATCCACTTTATGATTAACAGGATTCTGTTCCATGTGGATTTGGGTGGATTCGAAAATGATTCTTTTTCCATAGTAAGGAACCGTGGCAAGAATGGAGGTTTTTCAAAATCAAATGAATGGTTGAGGGTCAAGGTGTGTTCTGATAGTTTGGAGGTGGAAAGGTTCCGGGAAGTTTTAGATAGATAGATCGATAGAAAATTAAGTTTATTTTGGGAAGGAGTACCTTAAGAATAACATAAAGTTACAGAACAAACCAAATACATCTGGCCAAAAGTATTTTTATAAGAAAAGTTACATTAAATAAATATAAAATCTTCTGTAAATTAACAAAATATACTAAAACAAACTAATGGAACTATATATAAAATATTTAAACTATATAACATACAAATAAGAATGAAACAAAATAATCACTGCTTAGCTAAAAAAATAATAATAAAAGTAGATAAACAAGATAGGAAAAAAAAAGTAAATATTAAATAAATTCCTCTAATAGATGAGCACCAAGTAAAAATAAATAAAGAAGTAAAGATTTATGTATTTTATCTTAGTAAAAATTAAAACATTAATAACAGAAACACTGCAAAAATAAATAAATTAAGCAGCTTTAAGAGTATGGAAATTATTTACAACAGAAATGAAATGGCATGAAATATATATATAATGATGTAGAGATGGTTGACCATTGATATAATATGAGGAGTTGATCGGGGGGTGCGGTCAAATAAATACTAAATTAAACAAATAGTAATTATTTAATTTTTGCCGACGTATCGACCCACTTTGCGCATCTTCATCAGGGCGTAGGATGTAGCACTGCGGGAGTCAGTTGGAACACTGCTGCTGCTGTTGAAACACTGCAAGTGCTGCCTCCCACAGTGCTACATCCTATCAGATGAATTGCTAAATATTGTCACATCAGATAGATTAGTGAGCTATGTCAGTTAGCAAATCATACAGTTGAGCAGCATTGTAATTTTATTGTAGTTTTCTTTTTCTATTCAGTAGACTACTCATAGACGTTGTAAACTACAAAATAAACACCTTTAGATCAAACAAAATAAACATGTAAAATTGTTACATACGACCCTTCTCACAAACAGTAGCGATATGTCTAAGGTGTGTACTGCTCTGATTAGTGGTCTTGGTCTCAAAATCGGTCCTGGTCTTACACCTTGCAAGATCAAGACAAACACTGAGTGACTGTTGCAAGATCAAGACTGTTGATAAAATATAGATTTTTTAAATAAAAATTAAGGCAAAATATTTACTAATACTTGACTATTTCAGTTACTATAGATAAATAATTGGTATAACCAATATATATGCATTTAACTCATTCTAATTTTTCATTCAGACTTACTTCTCTCATAGGTTTCTCCTATCTCAAGAATTACAGTAATATCTCTATAATAATAAGCTAACGGGTAACTGCAAGACTGTTGCGAGACTCTTGCACATGAGCAAGAACAAGTCTGAGTTCGCAAGACCAATCTTTCGCATCTACCACGTATCAATCTTAGCAAGACCAGTCTGACTCGCAATTGGGCAACATGCTGATCAATAAAAAATGTGGCTCCGACCAACTCCATAATAAAAAACTAATAATTCAGTAATAAAAAAATCCATTTTTGATTAATACTATATAATTTAAGCTAAAAATGTCATTATATAAATAGTATATAGTAGTATACTGCCATGTGTCAGTAAAACATCTGTTAGTAGAGTGTCATGAGTTCAACAACATTTGGCAAAAATTGAAACAATCTATAGATATGAAGGAAATATTAAGAGACAACGAAGGTGGAGTCGCCACCCTATTCCGATACTTAATAGAAAACCAATTTTACACTAGAAAACTAGCCGCCAATGATCCTCTAGGGTAGAGGCGATTGCAAATAAAAAAAAGTAGGCAAAATAAGACCTGCAAAGTGGGTCGAAACGTCAGCAAAAATTAAATAGTTGCTATTTGTTTAATTTAGTATTTATTTGACAGCACCCTCCCCCCTCAACTCCTTCTCAAAAAATATATATAAAGTTCATAAGTATGCATATATATAAACAAGATCATGAGAAGGAGAAAAAAAATTTTTATATATATACAGGCAGAAAACATTGATTTTTTTTTTTAAACAAGGCACCGAAACTTAGCATGTGGTTAGCCATTTTCTGACTGTTTTGTTAATAGGGATTGGAATAGAAGGGATTGAAATGTTTATGTTAGGAAATACGGATTTGAGATATTTTTTACTGTGATGTTTAACAGTTTAAGTAGTGTTGAGAGGGTAATTATTGGAATGGAGTAATTATTTTTGACACACTGAATATTGGTTTGGTGGTATTGTGGATCAGATAAAGAGAGAGATCGGTGAATTAGGTTTTAGCAGTATTGATTTTTTGGTGGTGTGAGTGTTGAGAGTAAAAGTTATATAGTCTGCCTGAGTATGCGGGTTTAGTAATATTTTTTTCATTTTTAGCTACTTTCAAAACAGTTTACTTTATTAATTATAACTGAGGATACCTAGTTATAAGTCCATTGTAAAAATAATTAATTTCTAAGATTTTATCATTTCAGTAATTTTAATGAATTGCTAAATATTATAAATACATGATTCCATTTCCATGAATTAAAAAAAAACAATTCAAAAAGTACCAAGTTTTTTATTTATTAAAAATAATACATACATAAATAATGAATTCATTTCAAATATTCTCAATGAAAGAAAGCATATCAGTAACTCATAAATATCAAGGCACTATTTTAAGCTGAGTCCATTTACGAACATTGCTAACTATGAACAAAAATAATAAATAGGTTTTATATACACTTACGAAACTACCTCCACTACTCCATTTAGTATCATTTATAAACTGATCCTGCCATTCTGGCCATGGAGGATCAAACTCACTATCCATGTTTAAATAATGAACTTGAAATTATTTTTAAAAAATTGTTAAATATTTCAAATAATTAGAGACACAATATCAAATAATAAAATAAATATCTTACCATATGATTTTTCCAAATAAACTCAACAATTTTGTTGTGAAAAATATATTAATTTTAAACTTATTCTGAGGTACTAGGTATATTATTTAACTTAGATATCAATGCATTAGCAAAAGAATTGATATAAGATTCACTTATGTGCGAGAGAAGAGCATAGGGTGTGTCATACCAAATTTCATCAGAAAGATTATTGGTATCGTGTGCGTTGCCGACAATTCTAAAACCACTGGGCGATAGTTCAATACAATAATAACGATTTTCCAATGTCACAATGTTTAAATAAATTTCATGTTCATCAGACTTAAGTTTGGATGAAATGTGAATTGAATTAACCAAGTCCTGCACATCACGAACAACAGCTTTGGCTTCATCCTGCCAATTCAGAGGAGGAGAATCCATTCACTATATTAAAAAAAAAAAGTGTTTTAAATTATTATGAATAAATTTAATCAGCTTTATAATAATGAACTTTCTGTTCAAAATTATGAAAATGAAAACCTTCAGACAAAAAAATTAATAAATAAGTAAAAAAGATTAAACATTAATACAAATATTTCCCCATTACTAAAAAAAAATCATTTAGTACAATTATGTAATAATAATGATTGAACCAACAATACTTCTTTTCGATAGAAGTTAAAGTAACAAAATCAGCTGTTTTATTAAGTTCTATTGGACTTCCATAGACCTAGTTGCTAACGGCACCAATAGGTCTATTATATAGATAATGCTGTAAGAGGACCCTTAGCCTAGTACGGGAAATAAGATTTATCAGTGGAGATTAATTTCTTGAGATTGATCAGGATTTCAAGGATAAAGCATAACATAAACCTTAAATAATAGAAATGAGGAAATCAAAAAGAAAAAACAAGAACATAATCAAAGAAGAGATTAACAGTTGACTTCTCATGTATAAAGTCTAAAAAAAAATTTAATTAAATCACATAATATTATTGAAAAGTATAATTTAAAGACATTACTACAGATTGTTATTGGATGTCTTAGGTAATGGCACTGGTGGTATGAACTAGTCCAAGCAGATCTATTCCCCAATCTCCTAGCAGCTAACTAGATGTTGCTGCTGCACACTGATCAGAGTGGGAAGGTCAAGATTCATTTTCAGGGTTAACCACCAAAAATTAATATTAAATGGCTCAGGTGGGAATCGAACCAATAACATTCATAACCGGGCAGTCTAGGATCCATCTCCCAATGTGCTTTGCCATCACATTTTAAGTTAGAATACTAAATACAGGATATGGAAAACATCTCTTGAGTTAAAAATTTACAGTCAACAATGTGCAGTATATAGATTTGATGTTTTAGCTAGAATTCGGTCCTGCCATTTTCTGGTTGCATCTGCATTATTGGCCCTAGGTTATGCGAATTGATCAACCCTAAAAGAATATACAAATTAGTAGAAAGAATATACACACAATAAGGATTGTAACAATTCCTCAATGAGACAGTGGTGCATCTATGCTGGAAATATTAGTAAAATACAGAAAGAAAACAAAAAGGGATACCAAGTTGGCAGTCAACTTGTTGAGACAGTATACTCAAAAGGAGGGAAAGCTTCACACAATTGAAATCTTAAGTGACTGAAAATTGGTCATACAGGGATTGATAGAGGAGGCAGTAGACAAGAAATGAGAGAAGAGAGACTTAAAAAGAGAATTAGTAAGTTAAATGAAAGTGCCATATGTCAAACTTAAACAGTTTTAGCTAATTATTTAGATGAGGACCGCACGGATTAAACACTTTGATATTTTCAGTGTTTGTGTACACCATAATACAAAAAAAAAAAAAAAAAGACACTACTTCACAAGTGTCAATGATGATGAACGAACATGATTGGTGGACACAAGATCACACTGATCCTGGAATGCTAGCTGAGTGCTTCTGCCTTTTGACAGATTTGGTTCAGTTACATTTCCAATACAATTTCATTTTGGAATGACATTTGTAAAGCATTACTAAAAATAAAAAATAAAAGCATTGTAGTTCATATATCCAAGCAAACTATCCAAAATATAATATTGATTTATAGGAAATATTACAAATTATATTACTTCTGTTTTAAAGGAAAGAACTGTATTAAAGGATTATGATATAGGAATAAACTTAATATGTATAATTTTTGGACTAGAGCAACTTTCAAATTTACTAGAATAGATTAAAAAAAAATTAATATCTAAATCCAAGAAACATTTGAATGGAATTATACATTAAGAAACGTTAAAATAATAATAAAACATTATTCACCATAAATTAATTTTAAAATGTCAGTCTTAATTAATTTTTGATTAAAGAAAAGGTTTTCGGCCTAAAAAATGAAGACAACATGAAGAATATACCTTAAAATCATAAATTTAAACCTTCAATAAATAACCTTCACGACATGAACTACACATGTCAATAAACATTCCTCAACGCTATCTAATGAGGGGTTGAAACACTAGAACGAAAAAATAAATGAAAACTAAAGAAATTAGATAAAGCACTTATTATAAGAAAATAAATTACCGAAACTATAATATAAAATATTAAATCTGTCAAAATGACCTAGGCAAATAAAGAAAGTAAGTAATTGTTATAAACTTTAATTAAATAAATATTTTTAAAAACCTCAATTCTTCCAACACTAATGTGGATGGTAATTTTTATTTTCTATCAACTATATGTTAAGTTTTAAGTTAATACTTTTAACTAAAATTATGTTTTTTTAATATTTCTAGTTTTTTAATTATAATATTTAATAATAAGCTCATTTTATTATGGTAAGAAATATTACAATTACAAAACCTATAAAAATGAGCTTATTATTAAATATTTTAGCTTATATAATATATTAAATGTTATTACTCTTTATTTAAAAATTTTTATATAATAAATAAATTACAAAGATCATTGAGGTAAGAGGAAGACTGTACTAGTAAGTTGATTTCAAATATTGTTTTGTTTAAATGACATTATTTTATAAATATTTATACAAAATATTTGAAATGTAGTAAAAATATTCAAGTTTAATCAAGATGAAAAAATCATTTACCTCCTTAAAAAAAATTGGAGTCACAGCATTAACTTTTCTATAGAATTTTACAATTATATTTAAAGCAGTAATAAAGAGTAAGAAAAATAAAATACATGCATCTAAATTCAGAACAGTATACTGATCTTTTTACATGAAAATGAAAATGCTTAGTTATAAATTTAAACTATAATTTAAAATTTATAACTAAAAAGTTTGATACATATTATCAACACTATTATTAATCTATATCATTAAGAAAAAATATATAAATATACTAAAGGTTTATACTAAAATTAATAAAACAACAATAATTATTCAAGAGACACTAACAAAAAAGGAATTTTATAAAAATCATAACTAAATGAAATCCCTCTTTGCTATTGAAATCTTATTCAATGAAGTAAAGATACAATAACTAGCCAATATTAATCATTGATAATTTTTAAAAGATAAGATAATAGCTAGGGTCAAGTAGGAAAAATAATTGAACAGAATAAACAGTTTGATGTATGTTGTCAACACTTTTTGTTGATTTGTGTTGTTGGTGTGAATTTTACAACCATGAATTTAGGATTCATTGGTGCTGGCAAATTGGCACATGCTCTTGCTAAGGGCTTTATAGCAGCAGGTAATATATGTTATCATTTAAAATTAATATTTTCAGCTAATGTATGATAAAAGTATTGTATGTACTATAGTTATATATTTCAAAAAATGTATGATGAAACTATGTGTCAGATTGCAATTGGTGCTCATAAGGATACTATCCTTCAAAGGATTCTTTCCTTTATCTAGTGTATCCTTTGTTTTGACCCAATTTTAGTAAGATGAATTTCAGGTTTGACAAAAGGTAATCTATTGACAGTTAGTTGTGCACCAGAAGATACTTTGTCTGCAGAAACATTTAAGGTAATGTTAATAATACATAAAATATTTAAGATTTAAGGATAATTTAGTGAGGATACACATATTTGAATCTAATAGTATTTAAATTTTCTTTTTTAAATCAGTAAATTGAAAATTATATCATTTACCCTCTTAAAACATTTTATTTAGATGCCCATTCATATCTTATTAGATAAAATAGAATAATAATACACCAAGAAAAGTATTTTTAGTCAAACCATTAAAAATATTTGATGAAAATAAATGCAAAAAAAAAAAAAAAAATGATACTGAGTTCAATCAGTTAGAGACATAATCTCAGTTAGATTAATTAAATCACTGCAAAATTATCTCTTATTGTTTTATTCTTAGTTCTAATTCTTTGTAAATGATAAATTTAATAAAAAATAAAGAAATAAAACATATCATATGTTTCTAGAATACTGTGGTTACAAATCATTCATTTATTTAATTACCTTTAGTAAGTTATTGAATTACGAATGAATCAGTTAGAAAACTACATAAAACAGTTGAATCTCTTAATATTCAACTTTAATGTATAAAAAATCTCCATGTATTATTTTTTTTTTTTTCAAGAACTAATAATTGTTCAGAATAAACTTTCTCTATTTAAGTTTTTTAAGTGTGTTGTGCTAATATTGAAATTTAAATTTAAACATTTATATAAATTTGTAATTTGATGAATGAAAATAATAGACCCTATACCAAACATATTTTTAAAATACAAAATCTGCAGTTTAATACAAAGTTTGTAGACTTTTTAAACTAAAATTTGTAGGAATATATATGTCAGATTGATTTCTAATCTTACTTTAAACCTAAAACTATTTCAACTAAAAAAAAAAAACATAAATCACTTTAAGTAATGTGAGCTGCCAACATCTATGTGCGTATTAAGTAAATTTTAAGTACAAACAAAAACAAACCAAAAAAAACAAAAACAAAAAGAAGTACAAAGAAAGTATATAATTTTCTATAACTAAACTTTTTTTTTTGTTACTTTAATAATAAACTGCTTCTTATAGGTTTTCATACTATGAATGAAATCATTAATGATCTAAAATTTCCATTTCATTTAGTTCAGACAGAGTAAATGGAAAGATATAGAAACAAACAAATTATCAAAGAGGAGGTATATATCCAGCTCACCTTTGATATAAATTTTACTAAATCAAATAGTTTTCAAGAACCTTTCAAGTTTGATAAATATAGGATTGACTAAATATACTTTAGTAATTAAGTAATTTGTATGCTTAAATAATTCTTTGTTTTATAAAATGTTTATTAAATCTAGCAACTAGGAGCAACCATAAATTATGATAATAAAGAAATCATAAAAAAAAGTGAAGTAACTATCATAGCAGTGAAGCCAGATGTGATACCGCAAGTTCTAACAGATATTAAAGATGTTGTCACGAAAAAAAACTTACTATTGTCAGTTGCTATGGGTGTGACAATAAAACAGTTGGAACAGGTATTAATTATAATTTTTCTTCTTATTTATCATTCAATGAAAATTATTATATATCACAAAATCTAGGGGCTTCCAGGTAACAGCAGAGTTATAAGAGTGATGCCTAACACTCCTGCTTTGGTTAGAGAAGGAGCGACAGTTTATGTCAGTGGTACGCATGCTACAGAGCAAGATTGCGACTTAACTAAGCAACTGTTCGGTTCGGTAGGTATTTGTGAAAGGGTTAATGAATACATACTGGATCCAGTTACGGCTTTGAGTGGATCTGGACCAGCATTTGTAAGTACATTTAAAAACTTCAACTTACCTAAAGAATTAAGTTTACTGTGAGAAATTAGACATTTTTATAAATTTTGACAACACAAGTAAATAAAATAAGCAAAAATTAAATTAAAAAATATTTAATTACTTCTCATAATTATTTTGATACTAATCTATTTAATATAAAGTTTGTGTATTTGTACACGTTGGTCTGTTATCGTTTAGAAGACTATTGTAGTTTATGAATACCCGTGTAAACGAGTTCAGTACAGAAAATTTTTAATAAATATGAAATTATTGAAATGTGAAATTTCAGGAAGAAAGATCACACTCTTCAAGACGGAAACTCTAAATAAATAACATCCATTTAAGTAAGGGTTAGTCTGATAGGTGTGATCTTTCTTCTTGAATTTTTTTTCCTCTCCAAGACTTCCATTATATTATCCAAGACTTATAGTTATACTGTAGATTTTATTATATTATCAACAGTATTGAAGTCAATTTTTTATGTATTTTTTATATAAATACTAAATCATATAGGTATTCATATCTATCAGCACTTGGAGGAAAGTTCTATGTTTTTGAATGACTGGGTATTTTGTCCAGTAGTTATCATATTTGCTTCATTTCTGGATAATATTTAATGAGTTCTGGAGTTGCATTTAGAACATTTATCTTTTTTACTAACTTTAATTATCTCGTAACATGGTTTATCTCGTCATTCACCAATATAGTGTTGTTTTTTTTTGCGCACCTAACATCCTGTAAAATTAAAGATAGTTTTGCATTTATTGCTCTTCTTGAACCCTATTTTCCTATCATATCAGATCATTCTTTCTTATTGCAGATCAACAAGGCTTAGAACTGTGTATTAAATTGTTATTAGTTGAATGATGAACTTCTCTATTATGTTATTTATTAGATATGATGAAATACATTGTCAATAGATGTTTTTAAGTGAGTTGTATGATAAACTAATTTCCCATTTTAATATATTTTAACATCCTTCGAAAAAAGAGTAAATAGAATATATTAGACATCATTTAAATACATTTATGTTACTGTTTTTTTTTTATTGAAATGGATTGGAATAAATAAATTTAGTTTTATATTATTTCCAGCTATTAGAGCAATCCTTAAGATGGTGCCTTCCAAAATAATTTTCAATTATAATAGGCTAATAGAAAATGATTGTGTAATGTAGTTGGTAGCTAAAAACATCACATAGCTTTACCAGTACAATTATTAATAGTTAGACTGGTACAGTAGCTTTAATATTAAATAATACTAGTTGGCTCGTGTGAATAATTTGCAGAAAATTTTGTTTAGTGAAGAAATAGCAAAACAATATGGAAATAAGTAGATCCTATGTATTATGTGAGAAAGGGATTAATATTTTTTCCTTGGTCGATTACAATATTCCATTTAAGATAATAGACCAAAATATTTGTACAAATTGGTTTGCTAGGACCTATTTTTAAACACTGACTGGAAAGACAATAAAAGTAATAAAGACAAAATAAAGCCCTGATCATGGGATTTTCTAAATTGTTAAAAAAAAAATAAAATGCAAGAACAAACGAATACATTTAAGAAATAATAAAGTTAATACATCAGCCAGGAAAAAAAGTGTGGTAGACTATTTTACTCATAAATGCAATATTTTTAAAGAGGAAGAAATTATTAAATGTACCAAAACTAAAGGACTCTGTCTTTGTTAATAATTGTCCGAGTTTTACGATTTTTTTTTTGTTTAGCAGATAATTTACTAATCTTTCTAATTATCATAGGTACAATATGAAATGTATACTGGATGGAAATGGAAAAAAAATGCATACTTTTTGATTTATTCGCGAATAAAGTTTCTTTATCTTCATAACATTTTTACCAGAAATTTCGAGGGGATATGACTACTTTTCGCATGTGAAGCGATTCAATGGATGTTCATTGGATTTAATGAAGAATTTACGAAGTTATGGCGTACCAACAAAAAAACACGTTTTAGAAATAATATATAGGATTGATTAATAGTTAATATTAATATCAACTATTAATTGAAATAATGAAGGTCATAACTTAAAAATATTTCAATATCATATTTCTCCCTCAAAACAATAGACTTTAGAGTCCATTTTAAATATTTTTCATGATCCCAAGAAGAGGTGATGATTTAAGGGATGTGTGATATACATATTTTTCCTACTAAATTTGGGTGTTTCCAGCAGTATCCATCTAATAATACATAGATGGATCAAATGAGCTGAAATTTGATATCTACAGTTGTTTTCTAAGTAGAAATTTCTTTAAAAGAAGCTAGTCTGATTAATAAGGTTCAGTCAAATTTTAGGATAATTGAACTGTTACTACTAGAGTAAATCAACCAAAATTTAATTCTTGTTATTATAATTCTAAATAATTTATTCTAGATTTACACAGTTATTGAAGCGCTATCAGATGGTGCAGTTCGAATGGGAATGGCAAGGGACTTGGCTTATAAATTGGCTGCTCAGACTGTAGTTGGTGCCGGTAAAATGGTTCTTAATACTCAGACACACCCTGGAGTTCTCAAAGACAACGTAACATCTCCTGCAGGTATATGTTCATTATATTGTAGCAAAGTCTTCTATCGTTCTAGGTATAGAGGTACATACTTATTTTTAATGTATAACGTAACCTCGATTATCTACGGTAATGGCAAAGAAAATGGTGCGTGGATAATAAAAAAACACAGATAATAATAAATTTATATTTATAAAAAAAAAATATGTGTGTATAAATATACATATAAAAAATAATAAAACAAAATAAACGTACATTTATGATGTGAATACATAAATGTAATAACAAATATTCAGATAGTAAAATCTTATATTTTTACTAGAAGTAGATTAATCCAATATATTAGTTTGTTTATTCATTTTATTTCTGGCCTGTTATCTCATTTCACATAATTTTAATACTTTGAAACAATCACAATTCATTTATTCAAAATAATTTAGGAGAGTTTTGATACATCCTAGTACTCTTAAATGAATATATTTTTTTTTGTCAAATTTTAAAAATTAAACATTAGATTTCTTTTCAAAAGTTAATACTTCGGAAGTTCTTAATTACTTCTTTAAAACGATGACAATTCATGTTTATTCTTTCATCCTGCTGGTATATTTAAATTTTATTTTAATATTCCTATACAATTCTGAAAAATAAATAGAACAGAAAAAAATATTAGAGAAATTCCTGGTTAATCAAGAGCCTGATATAATTGAGGTTTATAATTACTTACTATTATAATCATAGAAAGATGATTGTTTTTAGAAGGAATAAAAATTATAGATGGAATAGCTATATTTCTTGAGTGTGATAAATGAAGATAAGAGTGGATAAAATTTAAAGTTTAAAAACAATGAAGATGTGTAGTTTTTAAAGAAGTGAACAATCCAATCCACAGGATTTACAACGGCTTCAGACATTTTTATCCTCAAAGTTCATATCTTAACAAATGACAGATATTTGAAAAAATAAAGTAAGAAATAATGTTTTTTTTTACACAACAAATTTCACATAGTTTTGCATAATACTTTCCCAAACATACATTAATTAACTCCCATACTCTCATGCTTTTTTGCTTTCGGACATATTTATCTTCAAAGTTCATTCATAGTGCGAATACAATTTATTTTACTTGATTCATATTATCTTGGAGATGATAAAAGACAAAAAAAATTAAAATTTTATTAGCCAATAATAACAATGAAAACATTTTAATGTTCACATTTGTAAATATAGGTTCTACATGTGAAGGACTGCATCATCTTGAAGAAAATGGTGTTCGATCAGCATTTATTAAAGCAATTGAAGGAGCAACCAAAAAATGTAGAGAAACCGCAAAAAAACAATAAGTAATTTTTAAATAGTAAACTAACCTATGTATAAACGAAAATTCTATAAAAAATTGAATGACAGTTGGTTATATTAAAATATGTGATTTAATCTGATATATATATAAATTTATCTATTAAAAAATAACCAATAAAAATTTTTAAAATGCAAGATGTTTACTTTTCCCTTATTTGTAAGTTAATAGCACTTAAAACAAATTTTGTATTTTTAAAAATAAATTTGGAATGGAATACTTTTTTCAATAAATTTGTTGTGAAATAATAATCGAATATATACCATTTTATTTTTTCTCAGTGTTTTGTTTAACTAAAGTCACTATGTGATCGTGGTTCAGTTTTATTTATTGTTACGTATCTATTAGGTATTTTAATTATTTGTCAGAAACAGAATACACATTTCGAATTGCAAATAACAAAAAATACATAATCAAATTGCTATTTTTGTATTTTTTTTAAAGAATCAGAAACTTCAAATTTGTTTATCTAAAATTCATTAAAATGTTACTTAATGACTTTTTGCAATAAACCGAAGAACTATTTCATTACTTATGCTTCTTTCTTGATTATGTTATTATTTTGGTTGTCTTTTTTAGATTTAGGTTGTATGGACAGATTATTAAACAATAAAAAGAAAAATGATATAAATATAACATTTTATTTCTCCTATTTGATAACTTAGACAACAAAATCATCTGTAACATGGTTTATTACTTACTTAATAATAGTGATTACACAGTAAGTATTTTAAAACAGAAAAAGACAATAAACTATTTCAGGTTAAAACTGCAATTTCAACAGTACACATTCTATCAATTGTAAATGGATACAATAAAAAAAAATAATAATAAATAAATATAATAATGATTTTTCAGATATTTGAATAGTTTAAATGTAATTCAAATATGGGACGGACATGCACACACATACACATACACTCACTCATTCATACATTCATCCACATATTTCCAATTCCTACTTAAACAATATTTACCAAACAAAAATTAGGAAACAAAACATTATTTCATTATTAGTCTTTAAATTTTATATTTTTATAAACAATATCTTCAATGCATATAAATAATTTTTAAAAAATCACTAGATACAAAAAAATTTTGAAAATCGAAAATGCTTTACAAACAATAACTGGCATAGGAAACTTGACAAAGGATATCTAATGCTAATGTTACAAATTTCATAGCTATCTTCCTCGACGACCAAATAAGAGTCTGACAGGCATAACTTATTATCACAATAAAAAATTCCTTCCCAGTTTATCGCAGGGGCATTGTCTTATTCTTTAAATTATTTCCCCCGAAATGCTTTATCTATCTTGAAAGTAGTATTATTTTTCAAAACTACTTAAATCTACAGAAAATTGACTAATGAAAAGCGCACAGTCATAAAGTATTCTACTATAATTATCACAATTTTCAAAACTACATAGTTAAATAGGGTTTAACACACAGAGTTTTATTAAGGGTATATTATCATCAGACTTTTACTAAATGAGTAGCAACTCATTAGGCCCGAATACAAAGAAATCGCTTAAATTTAAAAAATTATAATTCAATAAGCATCAATTAAAAATATAAAGTTTTAATATAATAAAATATAAAAGTATAAATCATAAACGATTGCACAAATTATTTTAAGTAAATTCCAAGACCAAAAAGTTATTTTACAACTTAAGGGAGAGGTCAAGCAAATCCAAGTTTCTAAGTTGTACATGTAATTATCGCCATTTCATACAGTAAACTATATTTATTGCTAGATTGAAGAACTTTCAAAGTATAAAATATTTTTTTTAAATATATATTTCAACATGTTTTTCTTTTCTTTTTTTTTTTATCACATGCACGGTAAGTATATAAATCCTTTTTTCTTTATCCTTTATCTACATATAGATATATTTTCCTTTTTTTTTTCTTTTTGGTTTTTATAGACGAAATCATTGGATTTATGAATACTTTGAGCCATAGCAATAAAATTTAGTCTTACTAAATTTGTAAAGAATGAATAAAGATATATTATCTCTCAAATACAAATGAATCATTAACTTTTATCGCAGAAAGAGAAAAAAAAAACTTAGTTTAAATTAATTACACTAAGACAACAAATAAACTGGCCACCATTACCCGAAACCTATAAAACTCTTCTAATATAGATTCAACTTAAAACACAATCTCTATTCAGTATTTGGAATAGAAAAAGATAATAAAATATTTATTCATTTTTGGAAAAAAGACAAGAATTCATTTGCACTTCCTTTTAGTTTATTTGACTTTGACATAAGCTTAACAATTAAAAAAAAATAAGATGGGGATTGCCTATCGTAATTAGACAATCTTAGCCCAAATTCATCAAGGTATAAAATTTTGACTATAATATAGCTGTAAGTTTAAATCTTTTTAATCAATACACTGTAAGACCCTCATTTTATTACATTATATAACAAAATCTTTCAGATTTTAGCAATTGATAAATGAATTTTTTTTCAAAAATATGCGTATCAAAAATTTGATTTATAAAACACGCAATAAGATTAACTGCTCTATTTAAAATTATAATGTTCTATTTCATTTTTGCAAGGGACTTTAAACAGATTAATTTAAATAATTGCATACACAGTGTGCAAAATATACCTTTACATATATAAATATATTTATATTACATTAATACTTAATTGTCTTAATTTAAATAGCTCTCTTTACTTTTGATAGGATTTTCATAAAATATCAGGATATATGTATTTTTTTTATAAGATTATCAAATAATCTTGAAACAGAAAATAGCATAAAAATAAATAATTTAAAAAACACAAAACATTATCAAGATTAATAACTTAAAAAAAAATTCTAGATATACAAGTTTTAAAAACAATAAGAAATATCCAGAAAATAATTTAAAATATAATGTGGAATGTAATCTTTCAAAAATAAGTGAAAAAAAAATTCATATTGTATGATTAAAATACATAAAAAATACGTCAGAGAAATAATGTGATATGATTATTAAATTTAAACCTCTGTGAATAGTTATAACACACAAAGGAAGTAAATTCGTTCGATATAATCAAAGCTATAACCAAGTGGTCAATTTATCTACTACTATCTTAGCTATGTACAGATTTACAATAATCACAATAAAGGCTCAACAAATAACAATTTAAAATGCCTTAAGGCAGAGTGGAATAGGATTACAAAGAAATGAAACACACATATAAAAAAAAATGGAACTTACGCGCGCGCACACTCATACTGGATCTGTTTTTTAAGGACAAGCCAAAAGTACATAGCAGTTAATTTTTTTTTTTCAATTGTGTCATGTAATAAGATTTTAAACAAGCATACATCAAATGAATTAGTGCTAGAAATAGTATCACATAAATTGGGCCAGATGCATACGTTATTATGCTTCAGTATTTAGACATCATATGGTTAGTATGTATATGAATATGTGTATATAAGACTGTATATATATATACATATATTAAATATGTGATATATATACACATATATATATTGCACAGGTCAAAGGGCACTTGAGCGAGGAAGAGAGAGCCTCCTTTTGAGATCAACAGAAAATCAAGCCGAATGCTTATCCTCAAGACTGCTTTATATTCATCCTATAATGAGAAAATTGTTTTATTATAAAATAGGAATTATGCCTGTTTAAATGTAATACAATCAAAAACATTATATAAACATTTAGCATAATTAATTTCAAACAATACACATTTAATATAAATGTATAATAAAGTTAAATCTATTAAAAATGACAATAGGTTTTTGTGGGTATTTAATCAATCAATCTTAAAAATTGGTCAAGCCGTTTGCTATAAAATTTGTTATATATGCTTTTAGCGAATAGATTAAATTTTACACAATAATTTGTACCATTATAATTAGAAATCAGTCCGGCTGTTTGGTCTAAAAATATTTATATATAACTTATTTTTATATTTTCATTAAAGAAGATTTCTTGGATATCAGGATCATTTAATAGGTTTTTTTTTCAACCTAGCATGTGTATTTCAAATTACCATTACAATTGACTTTGTTTTTAGTCCAGTTATAGTTTAAGTTTTCAAATGTTAGAACTAGATTTATTTTTATTTTTTCATACAAGTATTCAATCATAGATAGGCATAGATTAACATTAGCACTTAGATTTATCATGTGACATCCATAGCTATTTATAGTTGACATTTTTTTTCTTAATCAGGGAGAGAGTTTATACAATTTTTACTTTCCATTACCTATACATGTAATACTATGATAAATGATAAATGATAATAGTAAGGGAAAGTATTGAAATCGCGAATATTTTCTAATCCGATTTTTCATCAGAAATATATATTTTGAGGGCCCTAAGTCCAAATAATCAAGTCTAACAGTCTAGCACAAAAATGAAAAATCGTATAAAAGTGAAATTGCATATTTAAGGTTTGTGCAAGCCTGGAGTGTAACAACATTTTTTCCAAAATCAGCAACCGAAATTAGCGCTTTATATCATCGACTTAACACATTTTTGTGATTTTCTTGAAAACAGCTTTAACGATTTTTAAGTGTAAAATTAAGCAGATTTTAATTTAATGTAGGTCTTATTCTCATTTTTGTTTCCTTTGCAACTTATCTTCCTCCATCCTCTATATATGGCCAAGCCATCTGAGGCAGTGAGTGCCTTTTGATAGTAACTACAATATTGCCAATATTATGGAGCTCATATAACTCATATTTTTTTCTTATTTGCCACTGATCATTTATTCTTTTGTTACTACATATTTTTTCTTAGGAGGATTTTTGGCTAAATAATGCTTTTATACAGAGTTTATATCACAAGATGAAATATAAGGCAGCGCTGGTTGAAATAAGATATAAAGTGAAAATATTACATTTATGTATTCAGTAAATTCTAAATTGTAATAATATTCTTATATTTATTCAATTGACTTACCTTGGGAAAATATTCTGAACCGGGATGTTAATTGTGTCGATAGTTCTGTTAATTCATGCCACTGCTTCATGACGATTACAAATGCGACTACCAGAATTGCAGTAGTAAGTATATGTAACCTAAGAGATAACGATCATAATTAATAACAAATTGAGAAATTAGAAAATAATAATAAAATAATTAAAACAATGTTTAACAGAGACGATAATGGAAAAAAGAAATATTTATTTAGGAACAGAGGTACCTGCCAACCTCCAGCAGAAGGAAGGTGTAACTTACCACTTTCACAGGAAGATGAGTGGGTGCAAATTTGAACTTGGAAATTTGGAGGGCAGCCCCATCTATGCCCCCCTTCCATCCAAAACAGCTGTGACCAGTGTAGTAGTAACCTACTAGTCCTAGGTACAGTCACCTTTTTATCAAATTATTATTTTTATTCTACCTAAAACTTCGTGGATGGCTTTATCTCATCGTAACTAACAAATAATTTATTTAAGAAAGTTCTCGGAATTGGGGAATTTTCTCATTAAATTAATTAATTTAATTAGGTACTAAAAGAGGGAGCGAGGTAGTTCAGGTTTGAATATAGGCTCATGGCAGAAAAATTATTTATTCTGTTTCATTGCCTGTGGAGCAACCCTGGGGTAGTGAGGCCCTCCTGGGGCACACCCAGCCTCTACAAAGTGGGTACCCTTATTGATTAAGAATAATTGATTAGGGAGGAAAACCTGGCGATTGAGTGTGATACTGGCCCGATCTCCTCTCTGAACAACAATGTAACAGTACTGAACCCAAGATCCTTCATAGATTGTACAGGTTTTTTTTTTTTTTTTTTTTTTTTTTTTTTTAATTAGGTACTAAAAGTTCATTCAAACTCAAAAGGGGTACTTTGCTTTCCACTTGAACCGTAAGATGATTTGATCAAAAATTGAAAAAAAAAAAAAAAAAAGATGGCCTACTAAAACGGCCTAATATTCTTGTAGACCACTTTTTTGCTCAATTTTATAATTAAATTGTCATACGATTCAAGTGGAATACAAATGGGTATTCATGAATTTTTAGCACTTCATTAAATTAATTATAAAATGCCTAATTTCTGAGAATTTTCATAAATAAAAAAGTTGTAGATAACGATAAGATGAAGCCATTCACAAAGTTTTAGACGAATGTTAATTATAATTAACAATGTTTACTCCTGGTTGGACATAAGACATCTACAAGTGCATTCCATTCTGCTATTTTTGTAGCAATAATTTTGCTTCTTACCAAGTCTTGTCAGCCAGGTTTATAGGTCATGATGTACTGTTCTGTGCCATGTCTCTCTTCTTGTTCCTTGGGGATTCCATTGAAGAGCTCATTTTTTTATGGCACTATGTGCTTTCCGTTAAGTGTGGATGGGAAGTTGTTCAGTGATATTCTACTGATCAATGAGATGGATGTAAATGGTTTGATAAAAAGGAGTCCGTATTTGAACTATATTTCTATGCAACATTCTATTGGTGCCAGTATCCATACAGCTGGCCACTTGAAGGTTTTTAAATGAAGAAATTCAAATTTATGGAGTATTTAAGCAGTATCATAAGCATATTCTAATCTAAATTCTGAAGTAGATGAGAAATACACACTGTGGGAAAGCACTCAAAAGAGAGTATTACTGTTGGTATAATACTATACAAAAAAGTTTAGAGATTATTTTATTTAAATTACCTAGTTCGTAAAAATGGCATTATAATTCCTGCAGCTGTAGCAACCACTAGCAGAATAACCTGAAGTACTGTAAGAACAACGTTGATTAATTTCACTAAAAATGCTCTGGCGTAGGAATTGTCGATTCCCTCAAGTGTAAGGTACTGTTGATGCTGAGCTTGCTGATGTTCCATTTTGGAAATCTAGAAGGAAAGGACAACGTAATTAAACTTCATTAATTTTAGAAAAAAATACTTAAACCTGATAAAAAATATATTACCTTTGTCTGGCAAGATTCTAACATGTCATGGATATCTCTCAACCTCTCCTCGCTCTGGTATTGAACTTTTTCCTCCATATCAGAAATGGCCGTTTTTAAGTTTTCGACTTCATTCTGATGCAGTTCCGTCAGGTCATTGACTTGTTCTTCAAGCCTTTCACACCTAAATCTTTCTTCAGTCAATGCTTGAGTGAGGTCGTTCACTTCTTTTTCCATCATTTTCTATTAAAAATATTTGTTTAGAGCACAAATTAATGTTATATTATAACTACTATCTTTCACCTGACAAAAAAAAAAGTAAGTAAGTTTTTAACTATTTAAATAACCAACCTTTATAGATTCGAGCTGTTCTCTCATCCTTTCAGATTCATGTTTTCTGACACGTAGTTCGGCGTATAACATTTCGACGTTCGGTATGTTGGCGACATTTTGAGGATGAGTTGTAGAAGATGGTGGAGATGTTGTTTGGGCACCTCCAGGCATACTTTCACTAGTAACGGAACTGCACTCGGACCCTTCCTGCATTGTATAAGAATACATTAATTTCAAAATAATCAGCATCTTATATTATTGGTTTAATAATAAAGACTCAACAAACATGCAAACCCAACCCCACAAGATCAACCTTAACATAATATTACCAATATCACTTCGGTCTACTTCTCAGATGCTTACCATTCGGCACAGAGCTTATTTATAAATTTGTTTGCTACTAATTCCAACAATTTTACACCCTACTTAATTTGTCGCAAAGCTATCAGCTCATATTATATAAATTAGATAAAGCTCACATAAAGATGCATCAGATAGCTGTCCCAAAAATCTCCAATTGAATCATCTTTCCCCTTGGTCCAAATATTTTGTGTAGTACTTTATTTTCAAAACTATAACATCATTGTTCATCCCTTAATGCCAGGAGTCTCCAAATTATGGCCTATGAAAGCTTCATTGATTACAGTTACAAAATATGAAGTTTAGTAAATCACTCAAATACATGGTTACTATATTTATTGCATGATTTATGTCTAACTTCACAAGTGAAGAGTCATTCATAGAACAATTTTTTTTTATTTTTACCAAATCATGGCCCCTTGGATATAGTGGATTTCTCAATGTTAGCCTGTGGATGAAAAGGTTTGGAGATTCCTCCCTAAATGCAAGTAGATCTTTAAAAAACATAGGGAGTATAATAGTGTTATGAATTTTAGGTTTCGGGAAAGAAACCGTGAGCTAAGTAATTGTACAGATTCTACTTAAGTATTCTTAGATATAAAAACCAGCAATTACAATCATTTCTTTACATGTTCAAAAATTTTCCCTTTTACATTTGTATCACCAATATTGCCCCCAGGTTGCAGGAACTAGATGTTTCTATGCTCTGCAAAAGGCGCTCCGATACAAAAGTCTGTCCAGGAAAGTAAAACTAGTAATATATAAAACGGTGATTAGACAGGTCGTTTTGTATGGCAGTGAGACGTGGACTATGACCAAGGAAAACAGGAGAACATTGCTGGTCTGGGAGAGAACTAAGGAAGATCTTTGGAGCTGTCAGAGAGTAGCATAGATGAAGAATAAGAAGTAACGTAGAGTTAATGGAGTTATATGGTGAACCAGGCATCCTTAGTGTTATTAAGAAGGGCAGACTCAGATGGCTGGGTCATGTTGAAAGAATAGATCTCAGTAGATTTCCAAAAATGATGCTGAATGATATTCCAGGAGGAAAAAGACAAAGAGGTAGACCCAGGCACCGATGGTTGGATGATTTGGAAGAAGACTTGAGGACGCAGGGGATCAGACATTGGAGGAATCTTGCTGTGGACCATGAGGAGTGATAGCAGAGACCCAGGTAGCGCCCATTGAAGAAGAAGTTACTTTGTAAACAATTAAAACAACCAAATTAATGACATGCCCAAGCACAGACATTATTCATTCATATTAAAACACTTATCAGTCCTTATCACTTCTCTAAAGACATATTCTAATACTAAATTTAATAAGACAGGCGAAAGGAAATAACCTTCATTTATAACCAACAAACCTCAAACTTCTTGTAAAAATAATTATTGATTCCAACTTTAATAAATGTTTTGATCATGCACATCCTTACCACTTTTACTACCTTTCTTGGTATCCTCTGCTCAATCAGAATATTATATAACTTCTGACGGTCAATGAAATCATAAGCCTTGTTAGTATTTCCTTTCTTTTAAACAAAAAAAATAAAATAAATAAAAACAATAAATTGATTTCAATAATTTCACTTATAGTTACCTCTGATGTGAATTTGAGACCAGAGTTAAGACTACAACCACCAGGAAGCGTTGCACTTCCATGATGTGTCTTCTCTTCTTCTAACGAATCAGATTCACCATTTCCTAAAGAAATTTTTTATAAAATAATGACTAATATTTAAGTACTTTTTATTCCATTTCCTATAATTTCATTAAATTCTATTAATATTTTTTTTCATAAATAAATATAAACTTAACCTCCCTTCTAAATGTTGAATGGGTAAAATAAAATTACTCTTACGTGACAAAGAATTAATATTGTCAGCACTTCCAAATTTATTCCGAATCAAATGAGCAAACTCACGTGGTTTTGACATCACTGATCTGCAAAACAAAATTATAAATTACAATATGTCATAAATAGGAACCATTTTTAGAAGTAAAGTTAAAAAAAAAAATTACCTAAATTATATAAATCATTAAATCCTTTTTTTATATATTAGCATGGTGAACCCTTTAATGGGTATTATAACAATTAACAGTTTTTTTTTTAATTTAAGAAAGTGGCAGTATAGTTTAATATTAGAGATACCCCAAATGAATCATATAGAATATAATTATTAAATAACACTAAACTCATAAAATAAATAAATAATAATAATAAATTAAATAAAACAAAAAAATAAACACAATTGCAGTGGTAGAATAAATAAAATAAAATAATAATAAGAGGAACTAGAATAAAATAGAAAAAAAAAAAAGAAGAGATAAAAATAATAAATAAATTTTATCTGAATTATTGAAGGAATTGAGTCGACTACACAACATTCAGATAATCAAAAGATATTTAGGACGCAGTCAGTTTTTTAAGATTTTTATTTGTCTACCTTATACTTGGGTTGAGACAAATAAACAAATAAAAACTGACTGCATCCTGAATATCTATATCCATAATAAATTGTATCTATTTTAATCATAGACTTAATCCCTACTTTAATTTCAATTTATTCATAATTTTGATATACGATCTGTTCAGCAGTGAATACTAAAATGCAGAAAAGTTCCATATATGCAGATTGCGCATTGGTTGCACTTCAAACTCAGAGTAAAAATTAATTTAAATTTACTGAAAATTACACAAAATCTAAGTAATGGCAGTAAGTGCCATGCCAGTAATGTTCGGAATCGACCAAGCAATACAGTATAAATTAATTTTTTTGAATAAAACCTAAAATAGTATTAACCTAACCACCATTCCAGATGATAAATACCTTCCACATTCCAATGCCATTATTTTGTTAACAGTTAATATTTTGTTATTACATTATATATTAATATTAATTGTTAAATAGAGTTCAATGAAATTTATACTAGGGAATTTCTATATTATTCTCTTCAAAGTTTCCAAAATTTCCTCAAAGTTTGGGTGAAATGGAACAAGCTGTTTTCAAACTATAAGCATGTCAAATAATATATTTCTTGATCTGAAAGCAGAAGTAATTTTTTAAAAGTAAAGGATAGAAATTGTTACATACTTGATTATCTGTTTACTAGTCCCTAATTTCTTTCCAAATTTCAGTCAAATTAAACGTGTGGTTTTAGAGATATAGACCTATCAAGGAAAACACGTTTGCGAGTATATAATGGAAAGTAGTTGATGGAATTCAATAAAATTCATATTACATTATTTTTGTAGCAATCCGTACCGAAAACCTATCTTTTGTCTAACTTTGAGACAAATCGAATGAGCCACTTCTGCGCAAGCGGAAGTGCTGGATGGAATTTGAAAAAATTGATATGGAACCATCTAGACACCAACCCGCACAATCCCTGAAATAGGATCAATGATAGTAGATGATATGTCCGCCACATTGACAAACCGCTAGACAAACAACGAACCAAATTTGATCCTTGATATCTGAAACGTAAAACATTTTAGATATTCACTATCTTCGGTGGTGAGGAAGAAAATAAAAATTGAATATGCATATTAAACAAAATACGTCTGACTATTTAAATGAATAAATAAAATAAAAACAGTTGAACATACAAATTTTTGCCATTTCAGCATGTACCAAATACATAAGAATGCTTGATAAAATATGAAAATTATTTTTTTCAAATATTTAAGAAAGATTTTCAAGGGAGTGGGGTAAGCTCATTGGGTAAGACACTGACTTTCTAAGCTCAATGTTCCATGTTCAAATCCAGCTGATGGGGGTAATTATTTATTCTGTTACATCTGCTGTGGATCAACCAGCTGGGGTCGGGAGCCGCTCCTGGTTTACACCCACTCTCTATAAAGTGGGTACTCTTAATTAAATAATTAATTCAACTGTCAGGTTTTCTCTCTTAATTAAATAATTAATTAAGAGAGAAAACCTGACAATTGAGAGTGATCTCAGTCCGATCACCTCTCTACACTACCATTGGCTTTGAAACAGTACTTCCTTAAAAAGTAATGAACCCAATACATTTCACGGGTTATAGTGGAACAAGTTTTTTTTTCTAAGGATATTAAAGTAGACATATGTCACTTTAATTCTTAGGTGCCTTAGCTGTAAGGTGATCTTAACAGTGAAATTTGAAGTAAGTCCTCAGTAATTAGGGCTACTTCAACAATAGAAAGCATAAAAATTTATTTTATAAACAAAAAGTTTTATTAAAAGAAGCTAAATGTGTGCTTAATAAAATGGAGCTAAATTAAATAAAACACTAAATAAAATATTCCTAAGAAACTTTCCAGCAAATGTTCATTATTTAACGCCCTAAATGTGTGAATTTTAAAATAAACCCTTTCCTTAATCTATTTTGAATTCCTTATTTAACGAAAATGTGAAAAGTTGACACTGGTTGTTCTTTCAATTAGCCACACGTATCATGGTTGAAATATATATAAAGAAAATATAAAACAAATATAACAAGATAAAACAAAACAAAAATATCATAAAATATAAAGAAAACAACTAAACTTACAATAAAAAATACAAATAATAGATGATAGAAAAATAATAAATATAAATTAAATGAAACTACAAAATAAATAGGCAAAAAAACTGTTTTTCGTTGTTAAGTCTGTCTGTGAAAATAATGTGTTAATTATTATTTATCCTCAAAAGATTGAAATATTAAGATATTTAAATTTTCTAAAATTATACAATAGCATTTCAATTTCAATAAAAGATCAATCACAAAAGCAAGTTTTAACCAAATGATTCAACTCCACAAAGCTCTCTAAAATATATTAACTTATGCGGTCCCTACATGGTCATTCGGAATTGCATTCTGAGGCATTATTGACGTTATGAATGATCGTGCAAGGTACTGATTGAAGTACTGATAGCCGTTTGTGGCAGAATTCCAAAATTCAATCAAAGATTCAATCACAAGAAGTGGAGGGAAGGCTGAGGTAAAAGTAGTGGGGAGTCTGACCTTACTACTTGATAGGTTAATTTACCTAGGCCTCACAACCATTGTAATTCCTGATTTTCATTAAAAGTAAATAATTTTTCATACCTTTTGTTTATATTTTTATAAACCATTTTCAACTTTTTTTTTTAAATAGTCAAGTAGACAATAAATTAAAAATAAAAAAAAGTGGAAACTTCACAATTTATTTATAGAAAAAAATTAAAAAAGTTATCGTGTAGGAGCCACTTTAGAATTTATGATGAATATTGCAGAACAAAGATAGCTGTGTTCAACAGACCAAACATATGAGAGTCATAATGACAATATATGAATGTTTTGCAGTGTATTTGAGAATAAAAAAGTGCAAGCGATGTAAAAATATGAACCCATGGTGAAATAATAAGGTAAAATAAAATTTATTCTGTCAAACGAATCAAAATAAGAATAGATCTAAATGTATAATTAAGTGATATAAAAATCTTCATATGTCGCATGACATAACTTAGATTTGTTTCTAAGATAAGAGAAATTCATTGATTATTGGTGTTTAATTGAGGAAATTGGATCAAGTTTAAAAAGAATAATTATCTTAAAAACCACAATTCAGGTATGGCGTTTCTCTTTCCAGTTATTAAAGGCAACAATCCTAACTACGAATAAAACAGCTAATGAACCTCAAAAAAGCTTCAGATTTGGACTGATAAATGGCAAACGATAAGTAAAGGAAGTGCAAAGCGATTATAGATAGGAAATTGGAACATTTGTCATCTCCAACAGGTTACAACAAAATTTAATAATATCATCATCGTAGATATACGATCGATTTATTGATAATTCAAGAAATAAGGTACAAAAAAAGAACTCGAACTTCACCTGAAGTAAAAACATTAAAATACCAAGTACAGCCATTCAACATAATGCTATCCACTTGGAAACATGTGTCTTACCAGATAGCAAAACAAAGAACCAAATAGATCAGGTGTTGATTGATAACAGGCACCACAGTGATAATGAAGATTTGAGATAAAGATTATTTAAATAATCACCTTCTTCTTTTTCTATAAAAATTGGTCAATATATCAAAAGAGAAAGGAAGGAGTAGGTATGAAAAATCCTGACAAAATCAATATACAAGAAAAGTAGAAGAAAACTATGAAACAATGCAATAGAGACAGGAGAAGAAAGTATCCAAAACAAATCAAATGGATCAAAAGAAGTGAAGGGGCCTGGAAAGTTGCGGAGGAGATAATAGACGAGGAAAGAAGAGAAAGAAAAAGTTGGTTTGAACAAGAATGTAAAATAAGAACAGAAGACAAAAGCTTATGGCAGGACAGTACTAAGATATTTGACGACCTCTAAGGTACTTGTGATTTAGCCGGTCGCCACGAAACCTCCCTTCTTATCTCGTGTAACCTCTTGTTATCTTTCCCTTACTAGTGCATTACTCAATTGTCTTTTTCCAGTTTTGTTATTTTCTGTTCAAATGGATATAATTAAACTTAAGGAATTGCCATCGTCGGAAAAAGAAGCTATCAAATACATTCAGAAGTTTGGGATAATTCCAAAGGTGAAATTGTATGAAGAAGATCATGAAATGGAGATTTATAAGAAGACCAAATGGAGAAGTTTTCATAGGAGTGCAGGAAAAACGTATCTAGAGAGGTCAAGGATTACCTTTTTAACGGCTTTAAAATTTATTTATGGCTGGTCTCATAATTTAACAACAATTGAGTGGAACAAAGAGCAGCTGAAACTATCGAACAAAAGTATGGTCGAGTAGAACAGTTTTTTAAGAGAGGTTTGTGCCCACTGCATGTTATACAGGTCAACTAAAAAAATTGGAGGGCGTGGAAAAGTGGTTGAAATAGATGAAAGTTTTTTTTCTAAAAAAAAAAAAAAATACTCAGGGAGAGTTCTCCCTGGAATATGGATGTTTGATAGAGTTTGGCAAGAAATAGACGAGTGTTTCATGGTAAAAATAACAACTCTATTGAAATGTATTAAAAATAATACAGAAGAGAGAAGCACAATATATTCTGATTGTTTGAATTTAAGTTTAATTTATTGGGAATTAAAGTTGGAATTGGACTTTCGGTCGAGCTCAGGTCAGATCGGCCACGCTCGTATTCCTTTGGTTCTTCCATTACAACTATTATTCATTACGATCTCTCATTTCTCCTTTAGTTAATTATCAAATTCTTTTTTTTGTATCAAAGATTAATATGAAATGGTTAATTATTTCAAATAAAAAAAAAATGAAGGTACTTTAAAGGAGGTTAATATTGAAAATTAGCCATTTAAGCGCTGTTAGAGAAAATCAATGAGAAAAAAACCTAGATTATATTAAAAAATACTTAATAATACACTTATATACTTAGTTTAATCAAAATTGTTAGAGTCGTTTTTGAGAAAATCGTCAACTCAAAGACACAATTTCAGTTTTGTATGACTTTTGGTTCTTGAGCTAGGCTGTTCACATACATACACACAGAGACCATTTTGCGGGACTTGGTTATTTCTACTCAGAGGACCACAAAACGTGTATTTCCGTTGAAAACTCAGATTCGAAAATTTTCACGATCGCAATACTTACCTTTACTGTATATATTATATATATATATATATATATATATATATATATATATATATATATATATATATAGGTAAGTGAAAGTAAAATGGAAAAAACTGATGTGAAACTGGTTGCTGATGTGTACAACCTACAAGGTACTATTAACTTTTAAGTTGTAAAGAGAGCAGATTTTTAGGTGAGTATTATGGTCTGGAAGATCTATAATACATCACATCTTCTAGATAAGAATTGCTCATGAAAAGTGAAAATGGCAGGAATAGAATACAGAAATGCTTCACCTTTTTATCGACTATAAGCAATCCTATGATAGGATGTCCTCTGAAGCTGATCAGGCTAATAAAAGAGAGACTTTTGATTCTTCTTTACCCAGTATTATTCAATGTGTTGTTGGAAGTAGCCATTAAATCGATCGGCCCAAGATCAGGAAAAAGTATATATATCTCAGATTGACATTTGTGGATTATTTAGACATTACTGGATTGTGCTGTTAGGAGTGTGAAGAAGCTATTTGTATCTGGATTTCATTTTCCAGCTGTGGCTACGTTAGGAGAGTGATTGAACATGTGTATATGTCCGGTATAGTTGTGTTAAATAAGTGAAAACATTAACAAGAAGGCCAAAACATACAACAATAAGTGTTTACAAGAAATTTGTTACGAATAAAGGTAAATAAATAGGAAGTATGGTTGATATCAATTAGTTTTCTTGTTATTTATACATGAAATGGTTATCACAAAAAAGCTATTTATATAGTGGAAAATGTTAGCATAACAACAGTCAAATTAAAAAAACAATAAGCAGAATAAATGGAATTAGTTTTAAAAGCAACATAAACAAAAAATTGACCACCACCATCAAGCTTGCAACACTTACCCAGACAAACCAGTTATACCATCTCGAATATTACCACCCACGTGTCTGGAGAATCAACAAAAAAAGAGTTAGAATAAATAAATTAAAAAAATAAAATAAATAAAACAAATCAATTTCAAACTAAACAAACAAAAGGAAAATATACAGATAAGATGAGGGATTAAATTGATAAATTAAAACAAAAAGAACGTACTTCAATCCTTGGCCCATGTCCCGCAGGACTTCTCTTGGTTGGCGGTGGTGGTGAGCTTGCACTCCTTTCGTTTCGAGTTCCTTTAATTTCTTATTGTAACTTTCTAGCTTCTTTTGAAGTTGTTGGATACACTGAGCTGACTTTTGATTCTTTTTTTCAAAAACTGCTTTAATACGCTGAACTTGGGTCTTGTCTGCATTGGATGCCAATTTGAGATATTCATTTACATTGTCTACAAATGACAATTACATCAGATGAATAATGAAAATGTAAAAGATAAAATAAAAGCAGAAAGTTTTTAAAATCTTAAATTCTGAATCAAAGTTATTAAAATATTAATATTTAAGAAATAATAATGCTAAAGAAAAATAAAAAAGTTAAGCTGGGCTAAAAGGAAGTTAACAAAATATTGCTTGTTGCTAGGAAAAATTCGAGTTATAAAGAGGTAAAGTTCGAATTATATAACATTCTTTCTCCCTCTTGTTCTGAAAAGGATTTTGAGTTTTCTTTTCGTTTTTTTGGAGGGTCCTCCCCATCCTCGCTTTTAAGGCTATACAAAGTTTTTCCGTGACAGGAGGTGAGGGCAGGAATTAATAGCAGAGTTGAAAGACACCCCCAGTACCGGGAAGTGAATTCGTGACTATTTTTATTCACTTATCTTATGTATCGGCCATCCCGTCCCCCCAAGGATTTCGATTTATCAAGTGTATCAAAATAGAGCATTTTTTTGATTTACCGATAGTAACAGCTGAAGAGTTCAAATTATCGAGAGTCGACTGAACTGCTATTTAATAGAGTAGATGCGAAAATTTCAAAACGTTGAGAGGCGTTTCTTCGTTACTGTTCTTATATTGATACACCATTCTATTTGCAAATCATTGAACTATTATTACGCTAAAGTCCATAATCACCTCAATTCAAGATCATTTCATAAAGATTTAATTTTAACTAATGGACAAAACACAAACGAAAGAATAAATATGGCAACTTGATTGAAAGTTATAGTTATTACCATCTCTAGCTGTCTGTTCTCCTTTAATAAGATCCTTTGTCCGAGCTATTTTCGTGTACATGTGTTCAATGGCTGCCCGTGTTTTACTTCCATCTCCATCATCTCCCAAATCCATGGAACCATTTAAGACACTCCCATCCTAAACATAACAAAAAATAAAAAATAAATAAATAAAAATTGTGGAAGCGGAAGATATTTATACATAAATAAAATGTGAAATTTAATACTAACAATAAACTAAATTTTCATAGAAACAAATTAATCATATAAAATTAGACTTTTTGAATATCAGTTTACACAAAATTGTAAAAGAAATAAACTATGTTACCAATTAATTTATTTTTAAAGAATCTATCAAATTAGATGAACAGAGTAATAATTAGCATTTTAATATTCTAAAAGAAATTATTTATGAGGTTGTATCAAATAAAATTTTTATTTTCCTAAATAACATGTGTGTAATCTAATTTTACTTCTAATGAACAAATTTTTAAAGCTTAAAGACTGAAAAGGAATAAATTTAAGCGAAGTATTTTTTATGGCATTGCGAGTTTTAAAAACTCAGTTATAGACATATTCTACTCATAAACTATAACCATCACGAAATATTGATCTATTAATAGAAAAACACCATATTCACACATTATTTCTAATTATGAAAATGATCCAGATAATTTTGTTAAAAATTCATTATTGACTAATTTTCTAAATAAACTTTACCTCGATTAATTTCATTGTCAACTATCCTTACATGCCAAAGATATTCGATAAAATTATAACAAAAGAGAAAGTCAAAAAACAAGACAACAGAAAGTAACCCCAAATAACCTTTTGAAAATAACTTTATCACAATGTTAATCCAAGCTTCCTTTCACCTCTCCTTTATACAGATAAGATAGAACATAATTATTGAGTAACAATATTAACAGAAGACAGACTTTTCTACTTCTTCTATTCATTATCATAAATAAAATTAAGTCAAATTGAAAGTTGAAACATTGTAAAGAAAAGAGAGAACTCTAAAATAGGAGAATTAATTTTAAAGTTAACGGCCAATTAAAAAAAACAAATCTGAAATTTATTAAAGAGATCTAAAAATAAAAAGAAAAAGAAAGCTTTATAATCATTGAAGAATAATCAGATAAAGCCGTTTAATTATTGAATGGATATAATTAGATTAAAACCAGGTGGCAAAAAAAAAATCATATCAGCACAAAGAGATTACGGCCAAGTTAAGTGTATAATCATTAATTAAATAAAATTCAAATACAAATAAAAAAATCAATTTAAAGATATAAATTTATTATTGAAATCATTCATCAAATTATTAAAACATATAATATTTAAAAATATATGCTATTATTAATGCAAATTTATGAGGTAAAAAAAAATTATTTCAAATAGGAGGTTGTATTATCCAGTATTGTGCATAAACAAAATAATTTTGTAATTTTATAAATTTGTAAATAAAATCGTAATTTATTTATGGTATTTATATCATTGAATTAACAAAATTATGTAAATAACTATTTACTAAATTATAAATAAAAATATAACTTAAATTATGATGAATCTTTAAAGAAATTCAACTCAAGAAAATTACTAAGAGATAATTGAAGTAATCAAAATTAATATTTTTTTTTTAATAATCTTCACTAGAATTTTTGTGATCAATGTTTATTTCTGAAGATGAATAACATTCTTCCTTGCAGTATGGAATCTCTTATATTATGTCTAATTCATTCAGCTCACACCTAGTAAACAAATGATATTGTTTTTCTTCTTTTCTATATTTCAAACATGTGAGAATTTACTCAGCTTTGTGAATATTAAAAATTATAACAATGCCCTTATTAACAAAAATGTAGTTCGACTAATTTATGATCTAAACTTGAGGTAATAAAAAAATAATAATAATAAGGTGTCATATACCTGTCAAAAATTAGTTTAGAAAATAGTTACACAGTAGTTTAAAAGGTTTGCTATACTATCAAGTGCTTTCTTGTGCTCTACAAAATTAATATATTTATTTTAAGAATATATTTACCATATCATCTTCTTGTGTTGTATTTAAAAGTGTTTCTTCTCCAAAGCCATGATTGCCAAAATTTTCAGTTCTTTGAATAGCAGTATCAATGGAACTACAGCGCTCATGTCTGCTACTCACGGGAGATTTACATCTACTCATTCTTGGCTCTCGCAATGACCTGATAGCAAATACTTTATTAGAAATCAGAATTTTAAGTTTTAATTGGTTAGCACAAATAGATCAATAGAAATGTTATAAAAAAAAATTATATAGTTTGTTTTATAAATTTAATCTTATCAAATGTAATTAAAGCTACACTTTTTACAGATATTTTATTTTGAGAATTTCAATTTACAGCTATAAAACTAAAAACTCTTCTTTTACATACAAATTATTCTTCATAAAAGATTTTTTTTTAGTATACATTAAACAAAAAATTAAACGATTGAAGAGAAGTTAGTTGGAATATTCAGTCAAACAAAGAACAAAGTAAAAATGAATAAATTATACTAAAAATAACTATAGGAATAAATATAATTTATTTATTTTTACTTTATTCTTTGTTTGATTGAACATACCAACTAATTTCCCTTCAATATATCAATGACAGTCAATTATTAATCAAATATAAAAAAAATTAAATTAAATCTTGTGATTCATGAACAAAGAGAACATTATATTGATTATATTTCCGATATAACCTTTTGAGTGAACTTCCACATTTAAAATATTAAAGATATTGCCACAATATATCATAGTTGTAGCATAAACATGTATTAACGGAGTACAAATAAAAATTGAGGTCTTATACTTGAATCGGATGGTTCAATTGGCAGTCAAAATAAATCCATTTCAATAGTAGAATATTCATGATAAATTTATTTATATTAATAAAAGTCTTCACTATATATAAATTAACAAATATCAATAGTACAGGAACAATCAGGGAGTGGCCATAAATTGAATAGTTCTCAGATGAATATAATCATAATTACATAACATAAAAGATGGGAAAAAAATAAATAAAAAATAGCATTCATAATTATAAACAATGAATAAATTAAAAATGTGGTTAGAGGAAGAAATAAAAAGAGTAAGATATGTAGTAAGTAACACGCTGATGTGGATCTAAAAAACTATTTACTGTCAAAATAAAATATGATGCAATTGATATTTAAACACAATATGGTTATATTCAATTGTAAATTCATCATTTTTTAATTAAAGCTAAAAAAAAAGTTTGATTAAGATGAAATCAAAATGAGTCAATAGCTAATCTATAACAACTTAAACAGATGAGACCTTATACAGACATTTTTTTTACAAATAATTAATAATAACTGTATAACATTATCACAAAACCTATAAAAGAAGAACAATAAATATCCATAAGAATCCATAAAAATCTCAGTACATATATGTTTGTGTCTACATAAACAGACATATGATAAGTAATAATAGGAAGTGATTCTTATATTATCAGACATAACCGTCAAACCCATATGAATCATAAAGATAACAAGAATCTTCACCTCAATAGTTAGTTATCATGAAGTCAAGGCAACAAATTAACTATTATAAACACTATAAAGAACAATATTTGATACTAAAGAACAATTGATCATTAAGCAGATACTCCTACATAGTACAAAATTTAAATTGACAACTTTTCAAAAACAAGGCTTATTGATAAAATATTTATGCAAAAAATTCAATTAACGTTGATACCCAATAAATATGATTTATCTAAATATAAATGGATTCACACAGTTTAAATTTTAAAAGAAAACATGATCTACTTTAAAATAATATAATCAAAAATTTCATACTTATTCTTTAGAAATGAAACCATGAAGCTTAAAGGGTCATATTAATGTTAAAAAGTGGCTGAACTAAAAAAAAATGAATTTATACATAAACATATTCATCATCTTGATTAGGATTAAGCTAAGGTAGAAATAATTAATTTTCTAGTTCTGCCAGCTTTCGTCTGAAGTAATGATGCATATTAACATTCATAAACTCAAGTTGATTTGAGTTATGTTGGTTATCTTTTTCCAAGATAAGAATATTTTTAAGACTCAAATATATGAAAAATGTCAATATTACAGTAGTTGAACTCCTTAACTGACAATGAATAATCAATTAAAAGTAAATTTTTACTCTATTTAATAAAATAAATTCCTAAGGGAAAACTATACTATCTATTTGAGAAGCTTCAAAGGAAAAACACTTTTAAAACTTACCCTGCATTACCAGATTTAGGGGTTGAACCTGAAAATCTGCTTGGAGAAGGACTTCGGCTCTTAGAATGAATATTTAAGCTATCCATTGCTTAAAATGGGAGATTTCATTAGTAAAGGAACGAATACACCATTCTTCCATGGCTGAGAAATAATATATATTTGGCATTAATCCTTTTATAAAAAATGACATGTCAACTATAAATAACTGCTACACCACAATATAATAATTACCGGCGTATTTATTAATCATAAATTCAATCGATACTAGAACGATGGATCGCTGATTAGGGGCATAACTACGGAAAAAATATCAAATAGATAACAAATAAAATAAAGAAAGAATAATAAAAACAAAGAAATGTAAACAAATACTTTAGGGAGATAATTTCAACAATTTCATAGCTAGATGTGACTGGATTCAAGGTTACAATAAACTAATTATCATATTATATATCATGACACATTCGTAGGTATTATCAATTATTTTTAAACGCACGAAACCATATAAACTTGCAAATCACCTAAACAGTCGGCCATTAGCGAACACTGATTCAATCACTAAAAATGTTTCATGAAACATGAACAGTCTTGTATTATCAGAAACTAAATTTTGAATTATTAAACTTGAATCTTAGGAAATTACTTCTCCTTTGTTGAGAGTCGATGCAGTTTTTGACACTAGAAAGTGACAGTTCATATCTAATAACAGATATTAAATTTAAAAAATAAATGATCTTAAAACTCCTTTTAATAATATTTTCCAGAATTCTTTACATGCTTATTTAAAAATACATTGATGTTTTAAAACATTTATGTCTTTCTGATAATGATTATATAGAATAAAGACATCATTTAAAGATTACAAATGAGGGGGGGGGGTTATGGTTCAAAATATTTATGTGGACGAAGTTTTTATTTTTGTTTTAATGAGTTCAATCAATTTCAGTATTTCATAAACATTATATGTAGAAAAAAATATATAAACTGATATATTCCAAGTTCCAAATTAGAATAAGGTAGTTTCCTGAGAATTGTGAGACATATTTCAAATTTTGAGAAAACTTCTCTTATCACAAGTGAAAAGTTTTTTTTTATAGACACATAATAAAACATACTTCATCACATAAAATAGCTTTTCTGAATCACAAAAAACAGTTTTTATTTTATTTTTTTCAATTTCAATAAACAAAAACGTCCAATTGTATGGAAGAGTGCATCTGGATTTTTTAGATCCCGTGAATTTAGAATCTCGATATCTTTGATCATATTTATTATATATAGAGCGGAATCATAAGCTGGTGTAGTTTAGTTGAGATTTCTTTTCTTAATGAAAACTCATTACCTTTAAAGATACCACCTACAGGCTATACTCGTTTCTTCTGGTCTCCCTGAGATGTTTTAAATAACAAAAAACGTGGAACGAAATATTCCTGACTTCTATTTCCTTGAATATAGCATTCTTCATTCACAAAAATACCCAAGGGATTCTTGACATTTAGCTGGAAAATGCTTCAGACAATGCTTTTCCAGCAATATGTGGCGTTGTTCTGTACTTCATCAAAAACTAGTAAAAAGAATTTCCTCATGGAATCATTCCATCCTGCTGCTTTCTGGATTGCTACATATTTAAAAAGGAAACGCATTAATCTTTCCGTAGTTCCGTTGACTTGTGGACAATGAGGCATAACCTTTCGGTGTTTTCCCCGTTCCACTAGTATTGTTTTGATCATTACCGTTCCAAAATATCGTTTTGATCTCCGCAAGACTACACGTGGAAAGCACCTGGATTCAAAATTTGAGACTTTCATGTTTAGAGATATTCTTATCAATTTCATAAAAGCAAAACTCGTTGGTGTCCCAATAGAACGTTGTGTTATTTATTTCGAAGGAGAACTCTCAATGGCTCAACAAGGCTGGAAAGAACTAGACAAAAACTCTCACAATAATCAGTCATACCGAGTACATCCAATTCACCCTGGTGTATAGCCACACCGATTTGTCTTTATCAAGCTTTACTTGCTTGATATTTAGTTTTCCAATTCTTTGAATGACTTTGAGAAATTTGATTTTGCTCCTTTACTGAATTCTCCTTGAACGTGAAATTCCAGCTCATATTCTTTAAATCTGTCATCCAAGATTTGCTACTAATAATATATACCTCCGTCATTATAAAATTGGTTTTGTAGCTGAAAATGGCTTGAAACTTTCCATTTACTGATTGAGGATCCTAAGTGTGGTATGAGAAAAAGGTAAATAATGTCTCCCTTTAGTAGGGATCTATTCAACGTTTTTATGTATTAAGCTTTGTTCAGAATATTCATCCTAAATCCTTGTAGGTCATAGGAAATGGCATCGTTGTTAGCTATCAAATTGTTCACTGCACTAGCGGATCCAGGATTTAATTTTGGGAGAGGCTTCAGTCCGAAATATTTTTTTTTCATATATATAACGATAATTAATTTGAAAAAAAAAGGAAAGAAATGAACTACCTACATGAAATGGTGTTTAAGCGATTCTTTAAGTCCTATTAAATGTAATTACACGAACAATGATACTTAAATAGATAGTTTTTAATATTGTTTTCTATAAAACATGGTTATATTTTACCATAGGGAGGGGCGAGAAAGCCCTCCCGTAAATCCGCCTGTGGTTCACTATAGCGAGGTTTATATTTTGGGAACTGCTATACTGGTTCATCAGAGATATTTGCTTAATCCATGCACTTAACAGTTCCATTTTCTGACAAATATTTAAAATGGTATTTTTTTTGATAGTTTGTAAACAGGGTAGCAGTGGTGACCATCTCCCCTCCCCTCCATCCCAAGGTATTTTGTTGCTCACTTTTCTTGAAAACAATTACACTTATTGCGATATGTCCCATGCCCCCCTTAGAACGAAAATTCATAACCCTGTCGAAATTTGCCCTGCTCCACAAAAATTAAAAAAAAACCGTCAAAATATCCCTCCTCAAAAACTTTAATGGAACAACTTGCGCCATTATACACCCATCTGGGCATCCCTGCAGGGTAGGAATGAAGTTTAAAATAAAATAAAGCAAGTTTCAGATGTCTGTAAGTGATTTTCATCAGTGCTAATCTGTAAGATTTTTATTTTCTAATACCATACATTGATATTTCTAAGTAAAATCTTGATTTCTTTCAGGCACATCCTATAGCAATTAACGGAAACAAAATACATCTCTTAATCTAATGATTGTTTTGTATACATATTGATCTTTTTGAGATCCTCCTTTTTTCACGGTCAATGTCACTTATTTCCATTAGAAACACGTAGACTCCTGGTTACTTCCTTGACTACTGCTGTATGGTTTATGGAGGCGTCTCTTGGAATCTCGAAGAACTGATACGTTTGATAAACTACTTTGTAGGATTCATCTTTGGGAACTCGAAGGACGCCTCTGTCTCCCGTTTTTATAAACAGTTGAATCGGCTTTATCTTTCTTACCTTCGTGAATATTTCCTGGCATCCTCCCTTCATTTCTGAATCATCCCATTCCACCGTACCTTGTACATTTTCGAGCTCCTTCAATTCAAATTTTCTGTTTACTCCCCCAATACTCATTTTCTGTCTTCACAATTATAAACAACCCACTGAACCGCAGCTTTCGTTATTCGATCCTCGTCCTTAAGAAATCCCATCCCGTCACACCAATCAACTAGATCTTACTTTAAATCTCGTTTATTTAGTTTCTATCCATTCAATATCCAAAACCTGTACCACTACCAATCCATAGAGGGCTCAGTATAATGTGAGGAAGTACTGTTACAAGACCAAAGGTTGTGCAAGGAGGTGACGGAGCAATATCACGCTCAACCGCCACGTTTTCCTCCTTAATTAAGAGAACCCATCATATAGAGGCTGAGTTTGCACCAGGAGGATCTCCCCATGGCTAATGAAAAATTACTAGTCATCAGCAGGACTTGAATCTGGGACATTGAGCTCCGGAAGTCAGTGCTCAACCGCTCTTATTCAATATCCAAACAATTGCAATGGCTTTTTCTGTAAATACATGTATAAATCATGTTTTTTTTTGAAGTTCATTAATTTTAGAAGTTAACTTAAATTTCCAATAACTATATTTTTCTTTTATCATTCTGTTTTTAAGACTCTAAGCTCTTAAGCCCACAATTCAATAATTATGTATTATTTTAAAGGGACTCCTCCCAGAATAAATGAAGCACATAAAATGGCTTCACTTGAATTTAAGATGGTCTGGAAAATTTTCCCCAGGAGTCTGTGGTTTCTTTCTTCAATTCAGCAGTTATGATTATCTAAGTGACCAGATGTATGTAAATGTGAGAGTAAAGAGGATAACTTGCCTAGAGATCCCTATACTCTGCATTAATATATATTTGTAAAATTTATTTTTAGATTGCAAAAAGTATAAATAACAATTCAATAACACCAAAGTTGGAACTTTTAAATGTTTTCAAATTATATTTTAATATCCTGATGTAAGACTGACTAAGTGAGTGAAAATGTATAATGAATAAAATACATCATATTAATTTCTTCTTCTGATCTAACATAAGGTACAAATCTGTTCCTAGTGATTAAGCTGATCTGGGTTTGATAGAACTGGAATGCCTCCTTTATATTAAATTATTTTTTATCTCATAGCTGCTCCATAGGATTTGGTAATTTTCAAACATGAGATCTTTAATTATTGACTTTCTTTTTATAGAAAAAACTATATAACGATAACTTAGCCAGGATTTGGCACCAAAAAAAAAAAAAAATACATCCCAGGACAGTGTAATTTTCACAAAATAGTTGTAATTGTTAGAACAAATTAAATCTTGCAAAAAAAATGTAACAAATCTAAACTCTATTGAAGTATTGAATTAGATGATATTTGTTTTAATGGTATAACTTTTTTAAACCTTATTGAGGTGTAGGGTGGATCCAATGAATCAAATCTAATACAGGACATTTAATTATAAAACTATTATGCCTCCTTTAATATAAATTGTTTCACTTACCTGTCATCCTAGAACTTGGTTCTATTGTGAATATCTTCTTTGTTTAAATATTCAATTCTTGTAAAACGTGGTTGAACCTTGTAGTTACCTTATTTGATATGTCAAAACTACTCTGATTTCACTACTTTTTAAGTTTACACATCCAAAGAAAAATTCACATTCTTGTTAAAATACTGACTGTGCCTAAGACCCAGACTGAATTATCTTTGTATTCAAGACTGGCCTAAAAAGAATCGATCAAGTCAATGGACTTTTTTAAGTATATCATTCAAAATGATTTGGAAGATACTTCAGTGAGAAACACTTTCCTTCCTTATGAATCAAGTTTCAAAATGTCAACGTATTTATTGCAATTTCTTTTCTTTTTTCAATGCATTTACTTATTACACTTGGTAACAAATATTAGGGAATAGAAATTTTTTCTTTCAGTAAGCAAAGATTTAAGGTCCTTAACTAACAGATATTTGTTGGGATGACGATACTACTGAAAATAATTGTCTCTTGTACTTGTATTTCGAAATAAATTAATTTCTACTAACATTAATTAGATCCCAATAGTTCTACTTTATTTATTTAATTTACACCAACGTTGGGTTATATATATATTTATATTAAATTCTAAATTTTTAATAGACTAAGTTGAAGAGAGGCATGCATTTTGTGAACGGTGGTGGTTCAAAAAGTCCTGGATGAACGTGTTAATTCCACGAAATCTTTACAGTTAAACTTGGTGGAAAAGGAAATTTCAGTGCACCTGAGAATAGGTATAGATTAGGCATATTTATCCCAAAGAAAAAAACCTCTGTCAAGTAAGGACAGTACAGCTTCCTCACCATTTTCATTGGCTGGACAATATTTATGTTTCAAAATCTATAATTTTTCATCAGAGAATAAAACCTCCAGAAAAAGCCATTTTTGGAAACATAGTAATAATTTCTTAACATTTACGGGTTTGATATCCATAAATTTTGTTCATCAGGAAATATTAAAATGTGGAAGAATTCTAGATTTGCAAATCACGTATTTGATGCAAGATTAAAAAAAAAAAAAACCCAGTATATAATGAAGATGTAAATCGCTATATGGAAAAGTTGAATGTTTTATAGGAGAGCAAAAACAAGTTATTTCTTTATAATTTATTAGCGGAATTTTATTTTTTACTTTCCTCTGCTATTATGCATAGTGCCAGGCTACCTATATTAGTTGCATACTACGAAATGTCACCTGTTGTACTAATAGAACAAAAATGGAAAATTGTTACATGTGACCTCTTTTACACTAACAGTAGCGATGTATACTTATAAATATGTTTTCACTAGTAAAATGGATGGAACAAAAAAGCTTTTTGTTTGTTCGGAGTTTACGAGACCAATATTTTCCCTCATTCAGAACAGAGCTAATTTAAGCTAGAATGTAAAAATATGATCGAAATTCACACAACTTTGATGATTAAGAAGGAAATCGAGACCACGAAGAGCTAGTTGAGTCTCATAAGAAACCAAGACATAAATAAGACTTTTTTTTACTAACTAAAATAAAAATTAATCGAAGAGTAAAGGCAGTGCCATGCCAGTAACGTTTGGAATCGACCACATAATACAGTATAAATTAACTTTTTGAATAAAATCTAAAATATAACCTCATAAAATTATTGTATTCACTTAAACCTATTCCATGTGATCAATGCCTTCCACATTTCACAGCCATTATATAATTAATAGTTATTTATATTAAATTTAATTAAATAAAATTAATACTAGATTATTTCTGAACTATTCCCCAAATTTGGGTCAAATTGAACAAGCCATTTCAAACTATAGATATATCAAATAATATATTTACTGATCCGAAAGCGGAAATTTTTTTTTTGAGAGTAGTGGATAGAATTTGATACTTACTTAATTATCTGCTGTTGACCAATCTTTAACTTCCCTAGCGGCTTTAGAGATAGAGACAACAGTATTTAATAAAATCGATATACAGAATCATTATTTTACCAACCATCCTTCTGTTCGAATAAAATAAGCTGTTTCTGAAATATTGGCATATCTATGAAAACACATTTACGCGCGCAGAAGCGGAAGTGTTGGACGGAATTTGATATGTGACCTTCTAGGCACCAATCCACACAATCCCTGAAAATCGGATGAATGGTATTAGTAGGTGATGTGCCTGTCACATCGATTTGACAGACTGATACCGGAACAAATTTAATCCTTGATGTCTGAAACGTATAACGGAAATATTCGTTTCTGAGCACAATTTTTTTTTTTTTTTAACCTGTCGCATGAATACAAAGTTTCTCTACCTTCGGTAGGGAAGAAGCACAAAAACGAACCAAGTTATATTTCAGAATTAGTTAATTATTAATTAACTTAGCTCCATTAATCATTACTTAAAATTACTTTATGCTTTGACAAATCCTAAAACTTTTATAAATATAAAATATAGCTAGAATTAATTACATTGAATATAGGTTAGCTAATGAATTGGACTTAAAAATAACTAGAATATCTTTTAAATGGTAAAAAAAATTTAATATAAGTTTAAATAACAATTTCATGGTTCCTAAGTAACTTCCACAAAACAATGATACTGTAAACTAACTTTTTTTTTTAAGAAGGGTGGGGAGGGGGGAGGTGGTCAAATAATCATATTTCTTTCATTAATTATTACTTAGAAACTTGATAAATATAATATGTAAAACACCACAGATAGCGGAAGGTAAATATGTTATATTTCCTTGGCATAAACAAATAAAATAATTAAGCATGTTACATGTGCTATCAGTTACCCTGTCAGAAACAATCATTCTGTAAGAAAAATGATACATGTAAAAATAGGTGTTTATTTTCAAATCATGAGATTCTCACCACATTTTTTAAATTACTATTTGCTTACGATGTAACCTACAGATCGATGCAGGATACTTGAAACAATAGAAGGTATATATAGATAAAAAATGGATTTTAAGCTCTTCCATTGTTTTTTATATTTTACAAAATACTTCTAGCCAAACATTTATAAAGTTTTCAATTTCGTTTTTAGTTCCATACCTCTATTAGAAAGATCAAAATTAATTTATAAATAAAATAACTTACCAGTTCTTAAGGAATTTAATCTGAATCATAAAATTCAAAAGGCAAATATTCAATTCAATTTCAATTTATCTTAAAAATATATATAAAAATGAATCAGCCTCTGATAAGAGATTAATATACGTATATAAAATGTCTAATAATTAATATATATGTAAATATACTGTTGAAATAAATAACAGGGATTAAGTGGATCGGTGGCCACTAATTACTTTTAACAGAAACATTAGCTAACATTGTTACTTATCCTTTACATAACATGGTAAAAAAATAAAATAAAATAATTTAAAAAAAATTAATTTCATTTCAACTTTTCCAATCAGTCTGACATTCAACACCACCTAGTGGCTACTAAGAAAATGTATATAGATATTTTTTTCCCTTCAATTTTAAACAATTATTATTAATTTACCATGAATAAAATACATTTTACGAAATGTTGGTAAATGCGAAAGCTTTCATAAGAATAAAAACCACAAATATTAGTAATTAAAAAAAAAATTTGAAAAATAAAAAATAAACTATTTCTACAATAAGTACCTATTGAAACACTGATATACAAGACATTTATAGTTCATTAAAACTTTGGTTTATGGAAGGAAGTCTAATATGAAACATTTTAATGCTCAACATCTATTAATTTCTAAGAAATAGTATAGTTATTCCAAATATACACGATTATAACTACCAAGAAAGCATAAATGAACATAGTTTAAGATTTTACAAACATTTACCTAACTAGGAATGATATAAAAAGAAAATTTGTCATTGAGACTCCTCACAATATATATATATATATATATTTTGTTTACATTTATTATTATTGTTATATGCTTTCATGTGTGTATATGTATATTGAAGGAATAAGAATTATTATTATTGCTAGCTAATGGAAAAAGGGAAATAAAACTAAACAAATAAAAAAAATTGAAAAAGAATAAATGATAAAATCAATGAAAATCCCCTTTTGAACACTTACTTTAATTCGAAAACATGTTTAAAAAAAATTAACATTTAATAAGATGAGCAAGACTACCCAATAGTTAAACAAAACAACCTGTATAAAATTAAATTATTATTAGTACCTTAAGATCATATATATACATACATATATAATATATTATACATATAATATATATAAGTATATACATACATATATATGTATATATTATTTTTTAATAAAGCTGAGGATTGCTTGGTTGAGTTATATGTATTCTATACATAAAAATCTTTATTTAATTGAATGAATGAACTTCCATCCAAATAAACAAAACAAAACCAAACGTTAAAATATGTTGATAAATACTTAATGCAAATATTAATCTTACTTATTAGATCAAGTGCAAGTATGTAGGTATATGAATGCATGTGTATATAAATATAAATATATATATATACACACACTTCTCAACATCGTTTTTATACACTGAATAGCTACAACATATCAATTTAATTCATGAGACAAAATAGAACTTTCAGTATACCCCATATTTTAAATTCCTGGTTATCAAATATTTGGAAGCAAGGAAACTAAAAATATAATTGTTTAGGTACAATTAACATTTATTCCCCTCTTGGCCTTATGGAGCCTCTCTAGCAAGAGAGATGAAACAAAGAATAAAAATAAAAATAAAAATTGATTTCATAAGTCCAAAGAAAAATGATAATGAGACAAATATAAAGATAGTTCCCACCATAACCCCCCCCTGCCGGGGAAATGTCCGATCCACATTTGCTTCCGCCTCCATGCGAGAAACTCTTCTTCTGGTGTCATTATTATTATTTGTCGAGAGCAGTGTTGGTTTTTATGGCAATGACGCATTCTTCACCACATGATTTTAGTACGGTGCACTGTTAACAAATAAGGGTTTTAATATTAAACTTACAGTAAAGGACATCAATAAGGTCAGAAATAATAGAGAGAAACTATCTTATTGTTATAATCACTAATGATATGGGAAAGAATAAAAAATTATATATACAATTAAAAGAATAAAAATTATATATATATACTTCAACATACTGATCAGAAGATAATAAATATAACAAGAATAATAAAATTAGTATAATTCAGACGGGCAATGCCAGAGACACACAGGTATTAACTAGCTAGAAGACTGGTGACAAGGCGAGTTGTCTCAGAAAAAAGAAGCTACATCTGATAGTGATGTCAGCCACTTACTTCGAGCTTGGCACTCCCAGTGTATCCCTGGTCTAATAAAATATCCATATAAAATGTAATAGATAACTTCTCTATTCAAAACCTTCAATAATTGTTTTACGGATTTAGTTAACATACAATGGACCCTCGATAATTCGAAATCCAAGGGACCACAAGAAAAAAAAAAAAAACTCAAATTATTAAGAGTTTTCATTATATTTTTTTTCCAAATATCTATGAGCTTGTATACATTTTATATATAAATAGCCTCACAAAAAATACTACTAGGAAAATTTTCAATTATAAAGAGAGCAAGTGGCCTAGTTTAAACTAAAAAACATTCTCTACCCTCTTGTTACGAAAAGGATTCTGAGTTATCAAAATACAGCATTTTTACGATTTACCAAAGCTAAAGCCGAAGAGTTCGAATTATTGAGTCAACTGAATATATAACTAAATCTATATCAAAATAAAATCATTTAGTTTCAGTAAGTTATGAAGAATTAGTATCTGGTGTCATTGATATTAATTACCAGTTAATAATAATAGACCTTGCTAATTTTTGGGTTGGGTCAACCATGTTGATTTTATATATTGGAATTTTCCTAATTTTTTAACAGGCTAAAAACCTTGCATCCCTTTAATTATTAATCTACATTATACTTCATACTACATTATAACAGTTAACTACAATCATGTCATTAAATTAAGCCCAACCAAATACATGCTTAGAAAAACATTTTGGCTGACCATAAGTAATGTCTGAAATTGAGATTATGTGATTAAAATAATGTATATGTGTTTCTACTGTTGCAACATTTAAAATTTACAAAATATTAGCTGCTCAGTATTGACCCCTAACCACCTATGAATTGATAGAGATCAAAATCAACAACCAAAACAAGAATTTGAGCAGAGTATTAAAAAAAAACAAAAAAACAATGATTCCCCTGTGATACATTAAAATAGTTGCCTATTGCGAAAGAAGTCTCAGCTTTTAAGGCCTCCAGTTCAGTTGTAGACACATTCATGTGAGGAGAGACAACTGTGAACAATCACTCCAACTATAGAAATGCATCATACAGAGCTTTGCACATCTGCTTTAGAGAAATAGAAGGTGAAAATAGACGGGAGATATGACGATATATAATGTGGATGATCGTAGGCGCAGACTTTCAATTTCAATTAGGGGAAAAAGAGAAGGAAAAAAAAAAAAAAAATTGGCAGTAGTTCTTATTATGTGAAACGATCAAATATAATATTGAATATTTAAAAATACATTTATATATTTGTTTGGAAGTTTTAGAATTTTTTTATATACATATGGATATACTTGAGAATACCTAAACAAATCAATTGGATTTATTACAACTTTTTCCATTAAACACAGAAGGAGCAGCCTTCATAACTTGCATGACAAAAAATGACCTCAGGATGGGTGCATTTCGAAGAATGACAGGACAAAGGCTAAGCTTAACCACTTCCCTAAAAAAAAAATTTAGCGATGAGAAAATTATTACAATTGAAGAAAAATTTAATCGCCAAAATGATCGTGTGTCGCGCGCACACAGGACAAAAGAAGCCCAGAAAGTTTTTGGAAGAGCGGAAAGAGGTCATCACACTTCCTCAGTGATGTTTTGGTGGGAAGTTTGCTTCGATGACACCACACAGCTCCATTTTTGTGAAAAAGGAGTTAAAACAGCTGCTAAAAACTATCAGGCGGATATTTGATATTTTGGAACCTGTTGTAATGATACTCTGTTGGCTGGAAGTTATTGAGTTTTCCAGCAGGATTCTGCTCCTATTCGCAAGGCTAGCTAAAAATCAGTAGTGGCTGTAAAAGTAAATTCCAGAGTTCAACTCTGCCTCGGATTGGCCCTCAGGAAGGCCTGATCTCAATCCTCTAGATAGCATGCCACAGAGCACAACCTAACTTGGAAAGCCTCAAACAATCTCTGGTCCGAGCAGTTCAGCATATTCCTAAAGAAGTGTGCTGCGTGCTGCTATTGATGACTGGGCACAGAGATTAAATGCCAGTGTCAAGGGAACATTTTGAGTAATTTCTTTTTTGTTTTGCTCTCTATAAATATACATTTTATTTTCTAATAAATTTTTTGAAAAAATTATTTTTTCTGTTGAAATCTGTATTTATTTCCTTGTAACAATATTTATGACAGGACTATATATAATCATCCCTGAATATAAATAAAAGGAATATTTAGGTCGTGATAAAATAGTTATCTACCTATTTATATGCCTAAGCCTACATAGCTTGCCGAATTTTCTTGATTGATTTTATTTATATATATTATATTCATACGCGTATCTTATTTGGTGTCAATTTTAATTTTTTTTAATTCAAATTATTGGAGAAGGGGAGGAGGGATCGACCCATCTGTAATCTGCGCAATTTATGGCCAATATTCCCACTAACAAATATGGAAGTTTAGGTCACATATAACCAGAATTAATGAAAACCTAATGGTTGAACTACGCTACCTAAAACTATAAATGAATCGTGCATTTCCTAAACGTAAATGTCAAATATTTCTATGGCGATACAGTTCATCTGGACAGTGGTGAGCCCATCTCTTTTTTTTTTTTTTTTTTTTTTTTTTGCAGCTTTTTCTTTGCAAAATATGGTTTTCCTTCTTCATGTAAAATTTTACTTTTGGCACCTATGTTTTGGAAATGCACGATTCAAATAAACATCCCACAACATGGGTTTAAAAATGAGTAGATTATTTCCAAAATTAATTCCTAATCCCTTTTCCTTATTCTTAAACAATTTTTCAGGAAATGCGAAAAGCTATATTTTCTATTCCAGTAGTAATATCAAAACCAATTTTTTTTTATTGAAATAAATTTAAAAATTCTTAATTTCTGGGACATACTTTCAAAATCAACAGATTATTAAAGTAACAATTAAAAAATATTGAAACTAGAATAGGGTCCCCTTTGGAAAGAAATTAACTTCAAGGCTCATTTTTGAACAAAAAAAGATTGATTGGGGTTTTATTTTAGAAGAAAACATGGTGGATGATTTCAAGGGAAAAAAGCTATAAAAATTAAACTAGTAAAAACACGCTTTTTAAGGATTATTTGTTAAAAAAGCTTGAAATACAAGTTTCATTACATTCCTTGAAGAGGAAAAAAGGTAGTTTTAAAATTTTTAATAAACTTTTTTTTAAATATTTAGGATTGTTAAAAAAATTAAAACAATTAGAACCAATGGATTCATTTGTTTATTTTTACAAGGGAACCAATACTTATCTCGATTTTCATAAAACTCTATTAGGATTCACTCCGGAAATAAGATACTCAAATAAAGTTAATTGATTGGATTTATGATTCTGGATTTCAAACCTGAATTCAGCATAAGAATAATTATGATTTATTAAGCATTTATTCCATGATTCTAATTAAAATATATAAATTAAAAAAAAAAAAAAAGAGAAGTAGTATCAAAATAAATAACAATAATAAAAAAAAACATACAAGCAATTCTTTTCCAGCATCATATTCTGATTTCAACTGGGATCCTAGGTCACCATCTGGAAGTTTTAAATCTTCACGCAATTCACCATTGTCTGACATCAAGCATAGATATCCATCATCAGATATGTCAGTAAGCTAAACAAATTGAATAATATATATTATAAGATCTGCAATTATATACAATAAAATACATAACCTAGCAAAAAAAATAATACTGACCTGATAATCTTCACGCTTAACAAATGGCACATCCATGTTGTGAGTAGATGGACAAATATCTTCATATTTTTTGCCGCTGAAAATATCAAGTCCAACAAGATGCACTTTAGCATGTCCATGCTTTCCAGTTTTAGAAGTTGACATTTCAACAATCTTACAAGGACGAGACTATATAAAGATGAAATAAATTTTTAGAATTTAATAATAATTTTATATATAAATTTATACTTCTCAGAAGTTTATACATCTTATGGAACCAGTACAAAGATCTAATAATCTGACATTTTAAATAATTTAGCTAAATTAGATACAAACATAATTATGAGAAGAGTTATGTCATACAATCCTAAATATAAAATATTGTATATAAAATTAAGATTGCTCATTAATATATTCCTGTTGGATTTCTACAATAAGGTTGTAAGGATTACAGTAAAGAAATGAAGACGTGGCAATAAAAATATTTGCATGAATGATGACCTTTAGCTACGAATTAAAGAAGAATGGGACAACCAGAAAACAAATATTGACCAGAAACATTTGTTTTGAACTCCAACTAATATATTTAAGAATCTATGGCATGTTGAAAGAAGCTTCACTTGAATAGATTATTTATAGTAGCTGTGACATAAATAACATCAAAGATTAACTATAATGGTCTTAAACTTTCACAGGAAACCAATAGTTATTATTTTAATTAAATGTGTTATTTACAGTATACTGTTTTCAATAAAAAACAAAGAAATGTATATTATAAGGTATTCGGTACAGACTTGATTCTATTCATAATAATAAAATCTATTGTTAGGATACTGTTTCATTCACTAACATCTAAGTGAATTAGACCATTTCTAAAGGAGAAAAAAAAACCTTTAAGCTAATTTGTCATTTTTTAATACAGCACTCTTAAACTAAGTGATATAGGCATATAAGACCCGTTTTTTTTTAATTTTACAAGTTTTTCTCTTGTTGAAAATAGTCTATAGGACTAAGTATAAATGAAAAGCTTAACAAGATGAATGGGTCTGTTGTGAAGAAAAGATAATAAATATAATGGAAAAATGATAATGTTTGCAATCAAAACTTTGTAAAAATTAACATAATGAAACAATTTAAATCAAGATTTCCTCAAACGAAGTCTCATTAAGAACCAATGCTACACAGATTTTTACAAGGTAACAAAAAAAAAAAATTTTCTCTAGGATCGATGCACGGTTGATGAAACAGAATTAATAATTTAATGCTATAGCTAGAATAGACTGAACCCAGAACCTGAAAATAGGAGCAAAGTGCCTAATTCAGTGAGCTACCTGCTATAATGCCGTTTTTAAACCTATTATACAGGTAGACGCTAAATGTCAACATAGACAAAGCTGAGGATTCAATATTCTCTCAAGCAAGCAAACATCAAATCTTATGTTTTATTATAGAAATTTGATCAAATATCAATATAAAACATATCATTTAAACAAATTGTTCCATACAAATAGGTTTTTATGACAATTCTGAAGGTTCAGATCAATGGAAATAGAAAACATTAATTCTTGAACAGACAATATTAAACAAACCGATCACTTACTGCAACAAAAATTGCCAAATGATGAGGAGAAACAGGTTTTAAAAAACAAGAAACTCACCAGTGGAGAATTAGGGACTAATTCATAAAAGCATTAAAATATTTAGTGAAAAAAAGCTTTAACCTGAAATATGTAATATAATATGATACACAAACACAAGTTAAAATTACAAAATAAATGAGTGACATAAGATTTTCAATTCAGAATCAATACAAAACAAAATCATCCATCTATAGAGCATTAATGATGAAAACTTTTAACGCTCAAAACATAGCCAATGAATTAACTCGGGACGACCAAATCATGCTGTAGAACCATGAAAGTCATGCTACAGGGGCATGATATAATGACCAGTGATAAAATACATTGGTGTAAATAAACAGATTTAATAGCAAAATGTTGGTTTAATTCATCATCCGACAATATATCACAAAACCAGTTCAAAATAAACAGTATCTTTAAAATCACTTGACATATATAAGAATTAAACAAATTATTGAGACCAAATTTAACATTAATAATATTACAGCATTTATTTAATTATTTATATAATTATCCCTACTTGGAATAGGAACAAGTTGCAACTAAAATATTAATTTCACTCAATAGTTTACCCTTTAGAAAGTAGGTCATGAATAACTGACTATCAATATACCAACACTTACTGTAAGTAAATTAAGACAAACTTTACACAACTCTAACATTAAGCAAAGATGTTTATACTTAATATAATAATATTCTTCAAGTGACCATAAAGACTGTAACATTTAAGTTGGTAAAAACATGTGCTTTGATGATTCAAAACTTAACTTTCAAAATTGCTTATAAACAAAGAAAGTTAGTTTACATACATCTCGAGTCAAATTATTAATATACATTGGAATTTCACGATGTCAATTCAAAGCAACTATATTAACTATAGTATGAAAGATGAAATAAAACATACCTTTAGCATAACAAAACCGTTTTTACGTAAAGCAGAGCATTGCATAGGATAGGTAACAGATGCACCGGAGTCACCAGTATCAAAATGAGTATCTTCGATATCAGCCATGATGAAAAGTAAAGTTAAGGGAGCAAACTAAAAAATAAAAAGATTAATTAATATAATATCAAAATAATTATAGTTTAGCTTAAACAAGTATTCGTAACTACACAATAAATGAAACATAAAACTAGGGACACATTTTAATGCACAAATGTCATAAAAATTGTGTACAATTATAAAATTTAACAATATCCCAATTTCTAACAATAGTCACCAGTCTGTAAAGCATGTAAGGGCCAGAAATCTGTCCATTAAACTCATCTGTCATAAAAACCTGTTAGCCATTCAACTGATCAAATACTAACAAAGGCCCTCTGTGAAACTTAGAAAATAGGATATAAAGCTAATGGTTAACAGGATGAAATAAACCATTGGCAGGTAGGTACACAATAAACAATCAAAAGTATATAAATTGAAACACCCAGTATTAGTCAAATGTGCAAAAGAATCCGAAACCACGTTTCCACAGCTTTCTTAAGGAGATTCAATGAAACATTTTGGCAAGAATAATAGTAGGACCCCAAGGATACACCAATAGTTTTGAACTCTGGATCTTCTTCATAGAATGAATTAAATAATGCGCCGATAAATAAAAATCCATTGTAATTTATAAAACAACATGGCGCGAATAGGTATGCAGTGTCAATAAACTTAGAACAGCCGGTAGGTTGAAATAGAAAATTAAAGAGTTACGAAAAAAAATAATTAAAACCAAGCTTAAAACACTATTGAAACGGAAAAGAACATAAAAACTAAACATATTAAAAATTAAATAACATAAATACCAATGAATATTAGGAACCAAAGTGGTTGAGTACTCACATGTGGCTAAAACGGGCAAGGAACTACGAGGAATCATGCGCAAGCGTAGACACGTATTGGTGTCCAGAAAATTAATCGACGATTTTAAAGGCAATGATAAAATGTACACGTAATTTAAATGTAATAATTGGCAAAAGAAATTAAAAAATATAATATTTAAATTTCTTACTTCTTTTTAATTACAAAAGTACACAATAACCTAAGTAAATAATTAAAAAGGAACCTTTAGAGAGTATAACCATTAAACTGCTGTTATAGTCAAGGTCATGTACACATTTTATCGTTCTGACTAATTTTGATCTACAAGTATTATTTACATTCGATAAAGGGTTTAAGTCACACTACATATCCAGTTGTCTCAAAATGGTAATTATATGTAATTATTTGCCAAGAAGCTGTTTTGAAATTATTATGGAGCTTATTTTCTTATCATTATTAGATTTTAGTTTCTTTAGCTCAATTTTTACCTCCTAACTAACATTTTTATTATTTTTAACTTATATCATATTCATTTAAAAGCTTGGTTGTTCAAATGGAAGATTTGAGCCTAGGGTGGTTTTCTAGGTTATATCATTTGTGAATTATCTTTCCTTACTCTGTAATTTTTTTAGACGGACCAGCAAATGGACTGTGCTCTTGACTTGATGCGAAGATTGCCTCCTCAAGAAATTGAAAAAAATTTGAGTGATCTAATTGATTTAGTTCCAAGTCTTTGTGAAGAACTGTTGTCTTCAGTAGACCAACCCTTAAAAATTGCCATTGATAAAGGGGTTGGTAAAGATTATTTGTTATGTGATTACAATCGGGATGGTGATTCATACAGGTAAATTTGTTATAGTTATATTAAACAAACACTTGTTATCTATCTTAACATTTAACATTTTGATTTTTTTTTTTTTAAACTCTTTGAGCTGTTTACTTTTGTCAAATACTAACAGTAGTTGCTGTTTCAAAGTTTGTCTGTTTTTTATTTATTCTAACTGTATATTTGTCATATTCCACCTTGTGGCTTTAATATCTGTTCTGCAGTGGGTTTTAATTCATTATATTTTGAATTTTATATTAATAGTGGTATTTCTGTATTTGATCTATAACGATGGGCTTGTAGATCACTTATTATGCCTATATATAAGATCTGAAATATTGAATTTTCTTGCTCTTGTCTGATTATAGTTTTGTTATCAACAAACTATTGTGATTGTTTGACAATTGATCGTTGATGTTTAACTTATCCACATACAGTTTACTCTAAAAAACTATTACCTATACCAAACCTTGCCCATGATTACTTGGCAGCCTGTGGGTTAATTCTTGTAGCTCTATGTTGAAACTTACATACTTTTTCCACCAAAGCTCCTTTATTATTTTAAAAACACAGAGATATATACATTTGTTACAAGAATAATGTAACATCTTGTTTATATATATATGTATTCCTAAATACTTGATAAGAACATTGGAACTTTGGTGAAAAAAAAAAAAACTTTAGTTTTAACTTAGTGCTACATGGGTTTGTACTCAGACTGCCATCATGGATGAGCTATAGTTGAAAGTTATTTCTATTACACTTATTTTTAAGTTACTGTTACCAAAACCAATTATGGTCTCTTTCTTATTGAATGTCATCCCTCTTCCTGTCGAATGTAGTTTAATATTAGTTTTAGGTTTCAATTGATTTTTACATTTATATATTCATCTAAGATGTTAGCAAAGAACATTTTGAAAATGTTTGTTGGAAAGCATTTTTCTGTCTCTTTGATGTATAGTTTTTTTTTAAATCATTATCTTATTCCTTACTACTTGACAGTGCATGACTCTTTTCTGAGAGAGGGGAGGGGGACAGATTAATTGGTGTGGAACATTGAGGGTTAATCTAGATATTACTCCTTGTAGACTTGTAAATACCTCCAAAGCAGAGATGAGCATATTTTTATTTGTAAATACAAATTTACATATAAAATAGTATGTACTTTGCCAAAAATCATTGAGTGAAATTTTATAACCTTAAATTGCTATAAACCTGATGGATTTTCTCTTTGTAAATTAGAGGATGATGCATTTTTTTGCAACTATATTTGATATACAAAAGGGTTTGTGTCATTTTAGTACACTCACTGAGTTGTTTTTTTTCACAAAATAAGATCGAAATTCATAAAAACATTCTTAAAAGTTCAACTCGATCATAAATGACTTTTTGCAATAAACAAAAGGTATATAATAATTCAGTCATGTATGTATTATTTGCTTGCAAATAGCATAGGTATTTGCAATGACAGGTGTGAATTCAAATGTATTCGTATTTTGAGCTGTCATTAAGAATACCATCATATTCTCTTTATATATATTTTTATCTGTACAAATATCTCTATTCCATTATTCTTATTCACAAGTTTGTAATGTGTCCATTGATGGAAAAGTTCCTCTTTTTGTGGGTTTGTAAACTGTTTTTCTGAGTTGTGTTACGTAAAAACAAATTTCTATCAACCTAAACTGAATCAGTTTCTTCAAATCATAGTAATAATTTACTTAAGTAAGTAAATAATAATTGAATAGAAATGGAAGTATAAATGTCGGCTAACAAAGAAACATTAGTAAATTTAATTAACAACTTAAATTACTTCTTGTCCTAATTATTTTTCATCCATAATAATTAAATAGCAGTGTAGGTTTTTAAAAGTTTTTTCCTAATGAATAGCAATCATATTATTAATGGAATATGTGTAAGAATGTACTGTGTCATTACATGTCCTTAAGCATATAATGTATCGTAACCAAATGTTGATAAGTGATAAATTATAAAAATGATTAAATAGCAGTAATTCTATTTTTTTCTTTTATTGTGGGTTGATGTTACAGGATTGAAATTTAATTTTACAAAAAAAGACGTCTTCCTGTATATTCCATTTATTTTTCACTTTTTTGTAACCGGGTTCGGTCTTTTATAAGACCTTCATCAGGCCACGGTGTGATTGATGGTGGTCCTCTTCTCCTGCTTGTCAAATGAGGACTGATAAAGTACCTTCTATTTTTTGTACAAATTAATATTGGTGTTAGTGTATAGAAGTGCTGATGTGATGAAGACTTTGTCAGGCACTTGAAAGGATAGATCTGTAAAACAGAACGATGTCGAGGGAGTCTAAAGAAGTATAATATTTAATATAAGTATAAGGTTGACCATCAACTGTTCTGGCTCTACCCACCTGGTTGCTGCAATGTACTTACCAGAATGGAAATGTCAAGATTCATTTCCGCTGAAAAATAATCAACCAACCCAGGTGTAAATCAAATCCACAATGTTTCAAAACTGGACTTCTGTGAGACCCAGGCCGCAATATGCTCTGCCATTACATCCTTTGAAAAACCAATGAAAGTAAACAAAAATTATTGAAAGGCTTTGGTAGACATCCTGACGTGTTGCACTTCGATTTTCATACTGATTTCTTTCTAATATTGATTAGTAGTTTTAAAAACAATGAAAGCTTCATTTTCTATTCTTTAAAATTTGTTTGCTATAGTAAATTATTTTAAAGAAAAATTAAAAAAGTAGTTTTATTGAATATATTATTTTCTATCTCAGATCACCTTGGAGCAATACATATGATCCTCCCTTAGAAGATGGTTCAATGCCTTCTGAGAGGCTAAGAAAACTAGAAGTAGAAGCCAATGCCGCTTTCGATCAATATAGAGAGATGTATTTTGAAGGCGGTGTGTCTTCTGTTTACCTGTGGGATTTGGATATGACTGGTTTTGCGGGTAATTTATATAATTTACATTATTTAGGAAGTAATATTTTCAAAAATAATTTTTTTTTTTTTTTTTACTATTGATTCATTAGAATTTGATCTATTGTTTAATTTTAATTTATTTCGACAGGTGCTATTTTAATTAAAAAGGCCGGAGATGGTTCGAAAAAAATTAAAGGTTGCTGGGATTCTATTCACGTAGTTGAAGTTCAAGAAAAGACAACTGGGCGAAATGCTCATTACAAATTAACTTCAACTGTTATGCTTTGGCTGCAAACTAACAAAACTGGCTCAGGTACGATGAACCTGGGAGGTAGTTTAACTAGGCAGGTATGTATCATATATTCAATACTTGATGAAAAGAATATTTTATCATTTTGTGGTTTTATATTTATTTTATCAATGGATTAAAATTATAGTATTTCCTTGTTATATTTTATACTTGAACATTTTTTCAAACTTTTATGTTATAATTTATTTTTTAAAAATAAAAATCTACCTTAAAATAGAGTTTTAAAAAGTTGTTTATATTTTGAATTACTCATTTTTAAATATTGTCATTATTATAGTAACAGGGGTCTCCAAACTTGATGTGCCGCGGGCCAGATTGAAAACCCCACCAAGGCCACATTGAGACCTCCATTTAAGTCCCACAGGGCACGGCTTGTGGTGATAAAGAATAATATTGTGCTATAAATGACACTTCAGTTGTAATAACATTGTGTATAGGACTAAATTTCCTTTTTTAAAATAATTTTTAAAAAAATTCCATATAATCAAAGAAACTTTTAGAGGCCGTATTGGATAAGATTTCCCAATTACAGAATATTTTATCATTGATCGCTTTTAGGAACTGTTTATTCCATAGGCTTAACTCTTTAGGTGTGCGAAGTCTGAATCGATATCAGGTCCCATGTGCGTGGGGTACTAAAGGTCTAGCCAAACCTATGTGCTAGGATTTATTCACTGAATTGCTCCCGTATTTTTGCACTTTTCACATTAAAATATGCTTTTTTTTTTTATAACTGACATACATTTTTCTTTAACATGATGTTAGTTCACATTGCAATTAACTGTTAAATATTTTTTTTTAAATTTTATAGTTTATTAATTATCTTACATTAAATTTACATTGTACTGTAACATTTACATTATTTTTTGATATATTCTAATATTGCTGTGATACATATAGTATCATTATTTTTTATTCTTCATTTGAAATTTTTTTATATAAACTTTTTTATTATTAACCAATTTCTGATAATGTTTGGTATGGAAAAACTTAAAAAAATGTTTCATTGTATGATAAATTTTGTTACATATACATCATTTAAAAAAAAAAATTTTGAAAAAAAAAATTTAAAACTCATTTTGACTTTCGCACTTCAAAATATGACTGCTGTTAGATTTAAAGCTAAACTGTGTTCAAAAGACTAGAGAAAGATATACGAAGGGCTATGGTCAAACCCCTTTGAATATAAAATTTAGAATAAGTTTCTAAATAAATTTTAAAAAGTAGATACCCAAACAAACAATTTTTTTCTTTTAGTTTACAATCTGCCTTTTCAAATTTGCACATATTTGAGTCGATTTATTCTTTCTCATTCTTAACTCTCTGAATTTCATAATAACCAATTCATGGCTCTGGAGACTTTTATTATTATTATTATTTTTCATCTTGAAATATAATATAAAATTATCGATTTACAGCTTGAACATTGTTCTAAAACTAAGTATGTGTAATTGAAACTCTTAGCTAATGAGTCGAATAATTAGAAACAAATAGATTAGACATGGTTATATGCTATCAAGGTTTTGTTTACTCCAAACATCTATAAGTGAAATAAAATAAAGATTTAATTATTCATATAATTTTTAGTGCATACATAAAGAAACTTTTAGACACCTTGTAAATTAAAATGTATATGTTTAATATTTCAAGTTTGATTGATGTTGAATTAATCCTAATTTTTTGTTCTATTGCAGATGGAACAAGATGCACCGGTTTCAGAGGCTTCTCCACACATTGCTAATATCGGCCGAATGGTAGAAGATATGGAAAACAAAATTAGGAACATACTTAATGATATTTATTTTGGAAAAACTAAAGACATTGTCAATGGCTTAAGAAGCACACAGGCATTATCAGAACAGAAAGCCCAGGCTGCTCTGAGGCAGGATCTTGCTGTAGCTCTTCAGAAGCGGCAGGCAAAGACTGCGGAAAATTGAAATTCTCCACCTTTCAATCTCGTAATTATTAAGTTTATATTTATTATATTTAGGTAATTAAAAGTTATGTCTTAAACAGGGTAGTCTATGATGAGTCCATTAACATATAAATTGAAGTTTAAGGAAAATATATCCCTTATTTCAAAATCCAATAAATATTCTGTATTAAAATATCCCAATATATATCTGTACCGAGAGGTGAAGGAAATCACCATGTCCATTATTTAATTAATTAATCTAGTAACAAAGGAATGAATTTTAATAGTTCAAAGTTATAGAAATTTGGCTCCCTAAACAAATATAAAAATCTGTGTCTTTTATTTTCAGAGTATAGATTTAGTTACCAGGAAACAAATTTTAATAGCTTTAAGTTATGGAAAATTGGTTCCTCCTAAACAAATAAAAAAATATGACATGGTGTTTTTTACCTCTGAGGTACAGATATGAGGATTGTTTAACTAAATTTAAATACAAATAAATAATAATAAAAAAATGCTGCAAATTATTACACAACAGTTTATTAGTTTCTAACAATTTATCATCAAAATTAACATTAGTTTCCTTGTAACATAAAAGAAAATAAATAAAAGGTGAATCCTAATATTGTCCAAAGTATATATATTTTTTTTCATCATTGGTAATTTGCTAAAAAAAAAAAAAAAAAAAAAAAAAAAAAAAAAAAAAAAAAAAAAAAAAAAAAAAAAAAATATATATATATATATATATATATATTTCTTCAGTCGGTGTAAAACTTTCAAAAAATCAAAAACAAAACGAAAGATATAAGCTTATAGAACGTATGAAACATATTTAGAACACCATATCTTAGTTCCGAATTGTCTGAATTCAACGATTTATTTTTTAAGGAGTTTTGTAAACTATTAAAAAATAATAATACAATATCAACAAACAAATGTATTCTTCATGAGTTATTCGGAAATCCAATTTTACCACCCTGTGTAACTTTTTTCCAGAATCTTTTCATTGAAGTACATCATATAGATAAATTTAAAGGGCATCTTAGAGAAGACTTCAGTCAAGTTTAATTGAAATTGATACATTCCTTTAGGCGCTACAATCTATACCAATACAGATTTTTTCTTTCTCCATCTTGGAAGGAAATCAGGACTGATAATAATGTCGAGATAGGCAGATCATCCTCTGTTGACCTCTGACTTAGATTCCAAATTTAGAAAAAAATATTCCAGTAGTCTTGGAAAAAAATCGTGGATGGGCAAACAATTTTTTAAATTTAATTTTCGAGTTCTACGTATGGTAAAATGCAAAACCTCAAATTTTGAGGGGGAGTTAAATTTTTTAATTTTTTGGACGATTACAATGGTTCATTATAAAAAATTTGAAATTATCGCAATACTTTGCCTTATTATATGTTACACATATAGGTAAATAAATGCCTGATTAATGAAAATTTATTTAAATTCATTCCATTGACCTACAGCCTAGTAAAAGATGCATTGCCAGGGGCACACCAAGCTGGAGTGCCCAGAAGAGGATTTTATGGTGCAAGATAAGCACCATAAAAATATTTCAAGGGGGCACATTTTGACGAAGTTTTGAATTATTGAGGCTGGCACATTTGGACAGAGTTATTAATTTTCGGAATGAAACGTTTCAAACCAAGGGAAAACAGACATGGAACAGGCCCGCATCAAGTGTAATTGTAAATTCTACTTTCACTTGCACTGATTTTAAGAAGAGGAGAGAAAAAAATATCTTGGGAGGGAGGAGGGAAGGTTGCGCTATCAACCTTGAGGGGATGGGCACCCCTGACACCAAGAGTGACTTTTTAAGAGACCAGTGAGAAGTCACCCAACAAAACAAAACCAAGAGAATAAAGAGAGTAGCCATACCTGCCACCTTATTACATAGTGACTTAGGGAAAGATTTTGAACTCATCCTATTTATTTTTACTAAAACTTTTAATTCTTAATGGTATGTTAATCTAGCTGCTTGAATAAAGGGATCGGCATATTTTTAAACTCAATGTTTATATATTTGTTTCTTTATCACAACAATTTTCCTCAAAAATATGATCCTGATTCGGTTTACCTGTTCCTCGATGCAGCTTGTTCTTTCTCAAGATCATCTCTTAGTTCATGCTCCAGAATTAAAGCGTACATTTTGTATGAAACTGCATAAAGTTATGTTATAGTTTATACAATCACTATAGCTCCGTTTTGTGAATTGGCATTGTTAAGTTTATTGAGTTCATATTTTTTGGGGTCTTTTTGCCATTCTTTACCTTTTGAAAAAGGACTTGCTCTTAACCTTATGATTATTAAGCTATTTCAACGATACCATAATATTACATTACTGAATTTCAGCTTACTATATTTGGAATTAAGTTAAACATTTATGTGACGAACTTCAAAAACTTTTACAATTGTACAAACATGGTGTTAAATATAAATTTTTATAGCATAAAATTTAGATTTATGGTCTCAGAGGACGGATTAAGTAATAAGTAGAATAAGTTTCCACATGGGTTTCTATAGATAACCAAGGCCAATGAGTGAATATTTTTTAAAAAAATTCTTCATAAAATAATCAACAACAATCCTAAAAACAAAATATTAAATTGATGGTCTTTAAAGTTTTGTTTTGTTTTATTTTTTTTTAATTCATCTACAATAGTCACCTTATGCTTGTGAAGCTTTCTGAAGTTCAGCTGCGATCAAATGGTAACAAGAATTTGTCATTTAAAATATAATTGAGGGTACTGCTGTAAACGTATTACGCCAATTGGAAAGCCCTAACCTCAACTGTAAACGACCCGTTAGGAGTTTGATCATCTCTTAATAGCTAGTTGTAATAAAAGCTAATTAACACCCCAATTTCAACGGAAAAGGAATAGATGTGAGTTTGCAGAAGTTGTGAATATCAATCTAAATAATGTGAGATTGTACTGTAAACACACCAATCCTTAACTGTAAAGGCGGCATAAATCCTTGGCTTTTCTTGGAATCCCAATTGATTATGCGATCCTGGCCCTCTCATCAAATTCGAGTGACCCTTGATTAGTGGTACCGAATTGAGTGAAAAATATAGCTTGTATATATGTCTCTACTTTAATTTTTATGTTGAACTTTATTAATGGAAGGCAATAGGAAATAATAATTAAAAAACCTGTACGACTACTACCCATGAACGTTCTTCGGTTCAGTTATTTTGTTAGGAAGTAGTTCCTTGGTCCTCAGTTGTGCAAGGAGGTGATTTGACCAAGGTCGCGCTCAACCGCAAAGTTTGATTGTATATATAGTTTAGTTATATAATTGAATATGATCCCAGTTATTTTATTAGTATTATTATATTTTTGTTTTCTCTTTCAGGAATATGAAGATTGAAAGAAGATTAATGACGTGCTTTTTAATCTATGAGTGCAATGTGTTTTACACAAGTTTTCACCTCTGTTAAAACTCAGTTCCTGTTACGGATAAGGTGAAAATTATCATGAAATTTACTAAACAAACTAATTTGCTGGCTGGCATTGCTTCTGTTTATTGAAATTTATGTTTCGTTCAGTCATAAGTGGTTCAAATGCCACTTTATATATTACAGTTCTAACTGTTGGATCAATTTTTTGATATCCTGATATTATGTGTTCTTAAATCATCTTTATGACTAATTATTTTATGTAGTCATCATAGTTAGCTAGAATTTTAGAAAGACTTTTTTATTTATTTATAAATTGTTAAAGAAAATATTGCACATCTGATTTTTATACCAATGAACTATTGTTTTCATCGTTAACATTTCATCAATTCAAGTAAAATTACATTATACCATTATGATGATCATTGAGGCACAAATGCCTATAAATCTAAACGTGCATATGCTTTTTATAATCTTTGCATTTAAAAGATTCCTATTAAAAAAATTATAAAGTGCAATGATAAATAATCATGAACTGAAGGTTGATTGATTTGAGTTAAACCCTATGAAAGTATTTTTATATGTTTGTTGATTAATTATGTTTGTTTTATTATTTTTTACTATTTTTTATTATTTTTTCATATAAAAAAAGCAATGTACATTTTATAATTACTTTTATTAAAATTAAATTAAATGCTCTTGTTGCTAGTACATATTATATTTATAAAGTTTAAAAATTGATTTTAGTACCTAAAATTAATTGAATATTTAATTCTTCCCTCTTGTATCAATTGTATAAATTCAATTTATGTACAGTGATATTTATAGAATATTAACCTTATATTAATGGTCTTTGTATTATAACAAATATGTAAATTGTCAAAATAGTCTATATATATAAAAATATGTTGTTGAATAAATTCAGTTATTTTCGTCTTTGTGTTTTAATTCTTATCAATCACATAGCTTTTTCACTGTAGTTTAATTTTGTTTACAATTAAATTATTATTCCTGCCTTATTAAAATGTTTATGAAAGTGTCAAAAATAAATATATTAGATTAAGTATACTAAATTATGCCTGTAATGTGTGAGTTTTAATACCTGATTGCGAATACTTCGCTCTCTTTTTTCAAAGTTGATACAATTTAAATTTTTCATATATTAATTGATCTAATATCTTAGTAAATTAAGGGTATACAATATTGTGATAAAGCCAGTTCTAATATATTCCTGTGAGACCTGGAACTAACCAGTGTACTAGAAAAAAGTATTGAAAAATTTGAGAGAGAAATCCTCCGCAGGATAAATGGACCGATCTGGGATCAGAGTATTAACACATGGGGAAGAAACCAAAAACAGCTCGTTTGCAGCTGCTTGCAGAAATTGATCTGTCAATATCTCTTGATATGAAGGCACAGAGGTTAAGATGTGTGGGACATGTAGCTTACTGATATCCATCTGGAAGTCTCTAACACAACAATGAATGCCTCAATATTAGGCAAAGACCAGCCTAAAACGCAAATGGTTAGATCAAATCAAAAGTGCAATAAAGCTGCATGCCGATAACTGACATAAAGAGTCCAAGATGAGCAGAGATGGAGTCGGC